GGTTACGTAACAGTTACGTTAGAATGAAACTGGCATTTAAACGGGGATTAAAATTAACGGTGATTTCTTTGTGTTGTGGAATGGTTACGTTAGCATTAAACTGGCATTTAAATGGGGATTAAGATAAACGCGGTGATGTCTTTGTGTCGTAGGATAATCGCACCGAACGGCTGTCAGTTGGTAGGGTGTCGCGTGCCCCTGTATCAGAGAGAACACATCAGTCAGAAGATGAACTGTCACACAAGCATTGTTTCTTCCAGACTTTTTTCTCGGGGGGGGGGGGGGGGGTGGCGGTAGAATTTTTTTTTTTGGGGGGGGGGGGGGGCGGACACTGTTAAATGTATATATTTTCTATATAATTTCCAGTTTTAATTTACACAAATAAATTGATCTACGCGGATTTAAATTAGCAAAAAGTGTAAGTTGATTTTCAGTGGTTTATGGATCTAATGATTACTATTGGGAGAGTTCGAACAAAGAATCGCTGCAATAGAAGTGGGTAAGTGGCGGGCGGTGGGATTTCCCACTGGGGCCAGCTAGGTAATGAAATAGTTTTTAAAAACTTTTACAACCGCACCATGGGTTCCGAACTCACAACTGACGTGATAGATATCATCACCACTCGGACACAAAATTACATATCAATTTTACAATTCAGAACTTTGAGACTCTTCTAGACCCACTGAGTACTTGGACTGATAAAAATTGAGTTTCAAGAGTTTACCACAAACCCACTCACAGATATCCGGACATTGTGACCTAAGTTTGAAACAAAGAAAACAAAAGGTGTGACCTTTTGAGGTGAAGATCACTGAGAAATTTTCTTTTTCAATGCACACTGACCGAATTGTTAGAGCAACCAACAGACGTCGTGTCTTTTGGTCCAGTCTTGATCTGCCCACCATACTCTATTCTCACTCTTCAATATATAACAGCAATACATGCAATACAGATAGGACGACGAGGATAGTCGGAGCACATCGTATGCTAACCCCAAAGTCTCGAGTTCGGATCCCGGGTTCGAATCCGTAGGACATCCCTTAGTTCATCTAGTACGAGAAACGATAAAACTGGGCATCGTGCTGAACACACTATCCCTTATTAGGCCGAGGTCACAGAAACAGGTGAACTCTACTTCATCTACCATATGGATCGCCGGGTTCAAAAAGGGTAACTTTACTCTAAGCTCTTCGACAAACGCTCAAAATCACTCGGGCATAGCTAAAACCGGGATAAGCTTTTAATCAATATTGTAAAAATCCTACTCTATTTTTATTCTTTGCTTTCAAGGCGAAGAAAATTTCAGCGACTATTGAAAAAAAAATCTGCAACATCTGGTGCTTGTTCAGGAATCAATCTTTTTTTTTCTTACACCTAAACGTGTCGTGTGTCCGGATGTGGTGACTGCGCGTGTGCTTTATTTTCGACACTAGTTACCATAATATTTTACAGAACTGTTTTTAATAATAATATCAGATCCACATCAAGGCTTGTTATCGCCTGCAATAACGGTGGGATTACCCAGCCTGGATTCAATCTTCACACCTACATCAACGGTGGGATTACCCAACCTACCATGATTGTGGCTTCAGACGTGCTGAACGAGTCACTGAAAGGATGGTTTGTGAGCTACTGACTGTGTTCAACACCCTAGGCTAGCTCAGATCAGGTCTAGAACACTAAGGTCAGTTTCTATTTCTATTAAAATTTAGGCTAGTTTTTTTTTCCAAGTATATGTGAATGATGTAGCTACTTATCATCATCATTCTCATCCCTTGTGTAGCATGACGCAGTCACACCTCCATCGTACTCGATTTTGGGCGATTCATACATTAGGTCCATGAGATTCTGACTGCTTGTGTTTCACTGACAGGGACAACTGATCCAAGTTTGTTTTGTCCTACCTGCTTTCCTCTTTCCTTGTGGATTCCAATCTAAAGCCTGTCTGGAAGGTACTTATACTTGAAAAATATGTTTATAAAAAGACCATGAACAGACACCAATGAACAACCCCTTTCTGTCTCGTAACACTTCGTTACAAAAGCTAAACTATTCGGGCTGGACATATTACTGGACACACAGATGCTTGTTACACTCTACGTCTCGCATGAAGGGATTTCTATAAAAGTAAAATTTTAAAGCATGTTAATGGCTAAATTCCTGATCCAATGGCTTGCAAACTTTGTATCAGACATTTTTCTCCAAGTGTGTGTGAGGAGGGGGAAGGGGGTGAAGTTTCCAGAGGCGTACTGAAAATTTAGATATCTTCTAATAAAATTATATATTTTTCCATTTCTTTATTCGTCGGGGGAGGGAGGGGGAGAGGTCGGATGTGCTCCGGTTTGGGGGCGGGGAGGGGGGGTGATGGTGTCTTGTCTAGTGTTTTGGCTGCAGAAAAAATAAACCGGGAGTGATCTCCCCTAAACTTTCTCGAATATTCTAATATAACACTACGTGGGATGTCAACTCGGAATATAGACATGATTTTTGTTTACTTAAACTTTTAAAAATAGAATAAAATCTAGTAGAAAAAAAAATTGCGCACCAAGCGAGCACCAAAACCAAATGTGCGTAATAGTGCGCAATATTATTAGTACTTTATAAATTTACATGCGTTTTTTGAGAAATCGGAAATAGCGTAAATTAGTACTTCCGGTCAACGGAAATTACTCAAAATTTCTAGAAGGTAGAGAATTAGATCTTTTACTTACATGTGAAATTTCATTTATCTATCTGAATTAGTACTCAAGTTATAGGCTTTTGAAAAATTCAAAGTAGAAAAAGTACCACTTCCGGTTATCGGAAATCGCTCAAAAGTTGATACGGATCTACGATTTTGATATAATACTTATATATGAAATTTCATCAACCTAGCTGTAACGGTACTCAAGTAATCGTGTTTACACACAGACAGACACACAGACACACACACACACACAGACATACGGACAAGATTGCAAAATTATGTTTTTCCGTATCAGTGAGGTGTAAAACGTCGAGATTTGTAAAAATCTCGATTTTTTTTTGCACGATTACAATACTTTCTCTATACTACGTATATACGAGAAAGTAAAAATTGCCAGATTGCCAATGACTCAGTAGCAATAGAGTAGGCACGGGGTGTTGAGGGAGAGGGGGGGTAGAATCCTATCTACTCAAATTGAGGCAGCTGTCATTATGGAGGGTGTGTCAGACACCCCCCACCCCACCCTACATACTCCAAAGCAGATGCTATATGTCCGAGTCCTTCATTTCAGAAACGGTAGCGCATGTTTATTTCATATTGCTTTGCATAGCGAAAACAGATAGGAAACGTCCGCATGCCTTTTTATATTGCTTGATCCTCGATCATTTTTCATAAGTTTTGAGACAAAGCTCGTGGCAGGAGACAGTTGGGAGCATTTCCTCAAACGTTGAAACCGTGGCCATCGCTTTATGGAGGGGTAGCGCGTGAGCTTGACCGCACCACCAATTGAATGAGCCGGCCTTAATTAGCGCCTCAAATTGGGGCCGGAACAAGTTTTGTGTTAGAGCCACAGAATTTGACATAACGTCTGAACAAAAGCGCTCATGTGTTGGTCAAAACGTGTCTCTTGCGATAAGCAGTACCTCTTAGACCTACAGTTCTAATGCGCAGCGACCTGTTCTTGCGCCCGAAGGAACTAGCGATTCCCCCCCCCCCCCCCCAACTTATTTATAGTTATTCACGTGCGAAAAAGCGCCGGCCCCCTCACCCCCACGGCTAATTTGGAAAGGTCGTGGCGCTTTTTACTAGTCACTGTCCCTGAAACAGTTATAACTGTAGTGTCGCGAACAGTTAAATCAGCATGGGCAGCCAAGAGGTAATCTATTTTCTTAAGAAAGCAGCACATGATGAGCTTTTAGAAAAGCTTATCCGTCTGAATGTCAGGGAACCTGTTGTCCGAATGACAGGGAAGTTGTTGTCTGAATGACAGGGAAGTTGTGGTCTGAATGTCAGGAAAGCTGTTGTCTGAATGACAGGGAAGTTGTGGTCTGAATGTCAGGAAAGCTGTTGTCTGAATGTCAGGGAAAGCTGTTGTCTGAATGTCAGGGAAAGCTGTTGTCTGAATGTCAGGAAAGCTGTTGTCTGAATGTCAGGGAAAGCTGTTGTCTGAATGTCAGGAAAGCTGTTGTCTTTCAGGAAAGATATATCTGATGCATGACATTCCTGTTGGATTACATCAAAACCTTGTAACTTTTTCACTGTAATTTTTCATAATTTTAGTTTTATTGTGTTCGACAAAACCTCTAGATCCACTATCGTTTTGTGTTCGATAAACTTTACAGCAGAGGTCAAACTGTGTGCAATAATCATACAAATTTTCTATATTGTTTTATTAAATAGAGAGATTGAAAATTTAGTAAATCCAGCATGTTCTTAGGAAAATAATCGCAATTGTCAGTATGGAAATTGCGCTAAAAAATACACGCTGGCATTCATAACTGAACAAAAAAATTATGCGTCAGCCGGGAATCGAACCCGGATCGACTGCTTGGAAGGCAACCATGCTAACCTTTACACCACCGACGCCACATACATGCAGGCACTTTATTTATTAATAAATAAACCTTGACAACTTCATCAACAAATTGGAACAGTCCACGTCATTTATTGATTTATCTGACTAGATATAGACTCTAGAGCCTCAATAGAATACGTATAGTATTATAGATCGAGATCTACATGGCTTTCATTTTCTTTTGCGTCCAGGTAGGCATTGTTTTTTATAAGACGGTTTATTTTCGTATTTTTCTTGTGAAACTCATGGACTTAAAATTCAAGTAGATTCGATCTAGAAATTATGCCAAATTTTAAATCTTGAATTAAGTAAGATGTAACTATCTATAATCTAATCAACGTTCTTGTTTGTAATCAACTTAGATTCTAGTTCTAGTCTAGATCTTTTTTTAAAAATGTTGGAGGCGAAGTCGTAACTTCACGTGTAGCACGTAGAAGAGTTCTGGTTCAGGGGTCAAAATCGTCCTAAAGGCCGTTTTTATTGGATTAGATGTAGATCTAGAATGGTAGATTCTAGGTCTAATCTAGTGTTACACTCTATAGACCTAAGTAACATTAATACGATAACACGTACGTTACATTAATATAGATCTATTTTTAAAAAAAGGGAAATAATAATATAGATCTACATCTACATCTACAAATCTACACGGATGAATATTTAAGATTATTTCGGTAGACAAGATCTACTTTCATTTCTTACCGGTGTACGCGTTTCTTCTCAGCCGAGATATTTATAGTATACTGAATATACCTATTTAAACTATACTATATGTTTCAATACAATATTTATCATTGTGTAGTGGTTGTATTTGTGCACATTCTTAAAATGTTGGTCAGTGATAAGTTTGCCCTTTCTTTTTAAAATAGCCAGCCATACACGTCGACAGTAGCGTCAGGGGCGGTCCGCTCCGAATGACACTATACAATAGGGGCGACCAGTAGCGTACGCAGGGGGGGGGGGGGGGAGCAGGGGGAGCGGCCGCTCCCCCTCTGGCCATTTTCAGCAAAGTGGCGCCTTTTTGGAAACTTTTAAAACTCAAAGTTTTAAACGATGATATTTGTTAAAAAAATATTTTTGGTCGGCACATCTATGTAAATCACAAGATTTCTTTTCAAGCAGCAATTAAGCATTATTGTACTAGTCTAGTTGTGTCTACATTTACAACACGTATTAACAGCTGCATCAGTTTGCCATTCTAAAAATAACCATTGCAATGCAATGTTTAAAAAACTTCTACGGGCGGTACCACTTGACAAGAGAGGTGTTAAGTTTAAATCCACGGTATAATGTATTTGTTTACGAATAATTGAAATAGAAAATGCTATACATAAAACTTCACACATAATTACTTTATATATACAGTTTGGATCGTGTGATTAATTTAATAAAAAATACAATACAGAAACAAATACAACTGATGTGGCACTTCTATTTAAATTTACTTTTGGGCAAACTGCGTAGCGGTGGGGAAATTTCGAAAAGGTCAACAACGTCATCACGATGAAGTAGTAGTATTCTTACAGTTTGGGCGATAGTGATTACGATTACAAATTATATGAAACAGTTACAACCCCCTACCCCCATGGACCCCTCTGTAAAAAATATTGTCATAATACCACTGCTACATATTTTAATCTATTTCTGAATCAGTATATATGTGTAATTGAATATATATATATTATGTTTAGAACAGTCATCTAAAAACTGACGCTATGTTCACTCTGAGTTGGTTATCTCCCCCCCCCCCACCTCCACAATTGTGTAGAGCGACAATAATGTCACACGTAGGTATACTCTGGGTTGGATGATTGTCCTAAAGTGACCGGACAGTGGAGAATGAAATTGAACCCACCCCCCCCCCCCCCAATCCACTCCGAACTGACCTGTTAAGTACATTTGGGAAAACGCGTATCGATGTACCAAAGTACCATGCCACCAGAATCATAGCTTTTGAATCAGGTAAAACTCTGTGAATATTGTTTTTGCAATTACCAGTAAAAAGGTGTGAGATCGATACAGTGATGTAACCCATACCTGATCACTATGTTAAAAAACGATCTTTAAAAAACACAAATAGCAGTAGTTAATTAAAAGATGTATGATCTGAACTAAAAGTCCAATATTTTAGTTAAATGTAAGCTATTTTTCCGAATGTTTCTCTATTATATTTTAAAACGTGTTTTTATACCAACTCTGATTTTAAAAACTTTCATTATGCTGTAATATTTTAGCATTCATATTGAAGATATATTTAATTCTGATTTAAACAATTTTATTACTTTCTAAAGTAATTATTGATTTCTTTAGACATTTATAATTAAATATGTAGATATATACATATTTATATTAAGTGAGAGATTATTTCCCTATTTCGCTTGTCTTAATTAATGTCCCAGGAGATTATTACGTAAACATTTTTTACACGAATTACAAAACAAATTGTGTTGCGTTTATTGTTTTTTTTTGGTTGTAGTGTGTGTATATGTATTTTTTTTTTTGCTTAGATTGATACATTTTTTGTTTTGTCGGTCTACATTGTGTGTTTTTTTCTTATTTCTTCAAGTGTTACTTACAATTTATTTTACATCATAACGAAGTAATGACATACAGCTAGTAATTATATATATATATATATATATATATATATATATATATATATATATATATATATATATATAATATATATATAAAAAACACGTGTATAAAAACGTGTTAAAACTTCGGCGCCTTTTTCTTGCTCATTTCGCTCCCCCTACAACGAAAACCTGGATACGCCTCTGGGGGCGACATTAGATCCAAAAATTGTACAATTTTAATTTACTGCCAAAAACAATGTTTTATCCAGTTTTTTTTAAAAAAATAGCAAAAGGGGGACGGGGTGGGAGAGATGGGATGACATCCTCGGGTACCGCATCTGGTGACATCTTAGCTAGTTACGCCTCTGCACATCGATGTTAAGCAATAGAGGTGGATTGGCGATTGGATAAGTAGGACTTTTTGTAGACCAATAGTAATTTGTGATGGTATGTTTTATGGATGACTCCTATTAGTCTGTTAAACTTTTTTATTAGAAGTTAAAAAATATTCGTTGTGTTCTTCTAAACTAGGATTGAACGATGATCTAAGCCAGCCATGGATTTTATTAACGAGTCTGCTGCCCATAGTTCTGCTGCTTGTGTCTGGGTGTTGGGCTCAAGAAGCCAGCAAAGCCGCCCGAGACATTCTCGGCTCCCTACAAGACGTTGTTGCCAACATTCAAGACTACATTGGAGATAAGAACAAGGGATGCTTCTTTGAATGCCCAAATGGTAGGCTACACCGTACATAATAATATAGGCCTACAGCTTGTGAAAATTAGTGTTGTGAGCAAGAGAATGAATAGACGGGGTCGTTGATTTTCTTTAAACGTAACGCATTTTCCCCATAATACTCCCCCCCCCCCAATGCACACACAAGCGTACTCTAATTAATCCCACGTCATCACAACAACCCTCATTCATAAAAACCTCTCATTATATCATTTCCTATAAATTTTTAATCTTCGTTAGATATATTTATCAAAAGTTCATACAGTTAATTAAGCAAAAACATGTTTAGGTTTATAGCACTGAGGACTTGATTGGTCAACTCGGCCTTCATATTAGAAGTCCAGAGTTTCTTCCAGGCATCTCTACCGCCCCCATTTTTTATAGAAAATATATACTTTTACCAGATTCTGCCCCCCCCCCCCCCCCCCCCCCCCCAATATCAAGTCGTCGGTTCCCCCCCCCCCCCCCCCCCCCAGAGAAAAAGGCACTCAACATAATCTGGGCATGCCCTCAACATTATAATCCCTTAATCTCCAAGCTTATCAAATCCCACCGGATTAGAGCCATACTATGTTAACATCTGCTACCGTATTTTTCATAAACTAGGCAGGAAACAAGCTTGAAACTTACGTTTTTATGGTCAAGATTTTAATAGGACCTCCGCGAATAAAGCACCCAAGGCGAAATTTGTTTTTACCTGTCGCAGTCAGCAGCGTTTCCTTTAACAAAGCACCCCTTACCATTTATTTTATAACTTCTGTCTTATTAGTTACATTTTTTTTCGTCGGAGAAAAATAGTTGTCGGCGCAATGAGTATGTTGTGTCTATACTACAATAAGTCACATGCAATATAGACTTAGGACCTACACGATTAAGTAACTTGACGATGAAGCCGAATGGACGAGGGGGACATCCATGTAAAAGGTCATAACCTACTTTACGACTTGTGAGATTTCCGGCATGTATGGTGAGATAAACACGTAATATACACATTATTAAAAGCGAGTCCCTTAAGTAGTCGGGAGAATGACGTGCAAATTGGGGGGGGGGGGGGGAGGGGGTGAGGTCCATGACTAACAGGACTGCTGCTTATTATATGGACGCCACTGGTTGCATTGATGGCTATCTGATTAAATTGACGGCTACTGTATACAGCATGATACTTTTGACACCTAACTCCAAAAGTCCCGAGTTCGGACCCCCGGGCAGATGAGACTCGTTAGCTTGTGACAGCAACCCGTCTGGGAGAGAAAACTCATTAATCAAACAACCGTTGCCTTGCAGACTGTTCTTGTGTTGACTAACATGGAAGCAAATCCAAAGCGAAATACAGGCTGAAGTTGGAGTCAACTTGTCATATGGCGCATATCATTTTTACTCTAATTAACACATAATTGTGTTGGAGGAAATTCTCTCTTTAATATTACAGTTTTAGGAACGAAGAAGAAGTAGTAAGCCTATTTTTTAAGTAGCTTTCTTCTTCGTGATAAAGACGATGATGATGATGCGTCTTTGTTTTAAGTCGGTATTCAACAAAACTGAAAGCTGATAGTAATGAGTAAATTAGCACATCCCTTATAACACAATGTAACTAATAAATCACACCCTTCCAGTTTCGTGTTCTTGACCACCCCCCCTACCCCCTATAACACAATGTAACTAATAAACCACCACCCTACAACTTTTGTGTTCTTGGTCACCACCCTACCCCTTATAACACAATGTAACTAATAAATCACACCCTACCATGTTCGTGTTCTTGGCCACCACACTACCCCCTATAAATAACACACTGTAACTAATATTATTAGTTACATTGTCACACCCTACCATTTTCGTGTTATTGACCACCACACCACCCCTTTTATAACACAATGTAACTAATGAATCACACCCAACAACTTTCGTTTTCGTGACCACCACACTACCCCACTATAACACAATGTAACTAATAAAATACCACCCTACCATATTCGCAGTATCTATCATGGGGACGATCCCTTGGGTTTGGCGGCTCAGAATAAAGTAAGAGCTCACCTGCTACACCATAATGTCAACAGTAGTGAATTAAGTGATCAGCCTTCACACAGTGGGTCCTCTAGTCTTACACTGAATGGTTCTCAACGATTAGCATAACCGACTCGACATATTCCAAGGCATAGTGGAGCATACGGGAGGCGTCGATAAAACTTTTTTTTCGGTTTGGGCCTAGTTAGGGTTGTGTTGCAATAGTTTTATGTAGGCCATGGAGAATAACTTTAGACTACTTACCAGTGGTTCTTTCAGACTTTCCTTCGGGGCGGACTGAATTGCCCGGGAGGGTGGAGGGGGGGGGGGGGGGTGATGCCGGGGCGCGGACACTAATAAAGGTAGATATTTTCTATAGGCCTATAAATTCTATTTCGTTGGGGGGGGGGGGGGGGGCAGTGAAAGAAACACTGCTACTTACATCTATAGCGTTGACTTTTAAAATGTGTTTCCATGTATCAGGTAAGAAACCCAAGGCTAACCCTGACCACAAACCATCATCCAATGGGTGTGGAGCTTTCGGCATCCAGGTAAAGTGGCGCTAAGGACAATTTCTATTTTAATGAGATACTGACCAACCTATGTTTTTTTTTAATTAGTCAGTTCAAAAATAGTTAATCATGTTTAAAAAATTAGTTTTACCTTTTATTTTGTTTGTCCTTTTTGTAATTGTAATTGAGGATGCATTTTATTTGTCTTAAAAAACCTAATATATCATTATTTCTTTTAAATATTTTATTTTTAGGGGGGGGCGGCCTATATGATTTTTTTAAAATGTCGGGTGGGGGGGGGGGGGGTCTGCCTTTTGTCACATTTGCTAATAGGAGAGGGTGTTAAAACTTAAGTTGCGCGCGGTCATAATTGACGACCCTCAACCCCAACATTACTTCTTCACATAACCTTCCCTCTCTTACCTTCGCTTACTTCCCCACCTCACCAACCATTACTTATGCCCTTAACTGCCCGCCGTAATCTACAGAATAGGTGCTGATGGTCGCTCGGCTTATGTAAAAAAAAAAATATTGCTTTAAAAAACACGTGGATAGACTTTTTGACTAACAAAACTGAACATTTTGTGAATAACGATAAAACTGAACTTTTTGTAAATAGTGATAAAACTAAACATTTTATGAATAGGGATACAACTGAACATTTTGTGAATAGGGATAAAGCTGAACATTTTATGAATAGTGATAAAATTGAACATTTTGTGAATACTGATAAAACTGAACATTTTGTAAATATTTACTTGTTACCCCTGTGTGCATCAGTTGGATGAGCACATCCAGATGAAAGAGGTGACCTCCTGCTGTAACAAACACGACATTTGTTACGACACGTGCAACAAATCCAAGGACAACTGTGACACCAAGTTCAAGGACTGTCTTCTTGATGTTTGTAAGAATAAGAAAAAATTGTTGACCAAAGAAGTTTACCAAGGTGGGCCTTACTTTAATAGAACTGGAGTTTAGAACATTAAATAAATAGGCATTAGGGGTCGTCCATAAATGACGTCACACTCGTAGAGGGGGGGGGTCCGTAATTTTGTGACGGTGTGTGATGGGGGGGGGGGGGGTTCAGATGGTGCGACGTCACACTTTTGCATTATAAAAAAGCAATGTCAGAAAACGAATTCTAGACGTTATTTCGCGTTTTAGAAAACTGCTTTAATAAATTGTAATAGGAATTGATTAAAATACTTTATTTTTACAGAGTTCAGAAAAATATATTAGAAAAATATTGATGTTTAATAAAAATGCAACTGCAATTTTGAGGGGGGGTCTGGGTTTTTGTGACAACGTGTGACGGAGGAGAGGGGGGAGGTAAAAATCGTCAAAAAGCGTGACGTCATTTATGGATGACCCCCTTACATAAAAGTTGGAGTTCTTTCTGTGGATATAATATTAAACCAGCTATGGGAAATACACTCATGGTTGTATATCTATTCCTGTTGCACGCTTAAGGCACTTACATAATACTAAAATAATACTGAATAAAAAATAATTAAATCGTGTTCCATCCACCTCTTTGCCTTTGTAATCAAGCAAGTATATAACTAAATGTCTAAACATTCACACTAATGGGATGACTTTCATGGGTTTTTTTCAGACATTTTATCCCGAGGTGTGAGCACTTGAAAATATATATGTTCTTTAATTTCTTTTGGAAATGAGTGAGGGGGGAGGGGACTCAGATGATGCATTTTATTAAGCAAATAATTTTTCTTCCACATTTAGCCTGTCTTTCATCCGTGGATATGATGTATGCTGGCACCGTGGCGCTGGGATGTAAGCCTTACAGGGAAGCCCAGAGAAATGCGTGTATATGTAAGCCTGTCAAGACGGAATTATAACATGAACTTTTAGAATGCCTGTGTATGTAAGTCTGGCAACAAAGTGATACCATAAAAATATTTGGCATTATTTTATTTATATGTAAGCCTGTTAAGACGGAATTATAACATGCTTTTATAGAATGCTTGTGTATGTACGTCTGGCAACAAAGTAATACCATAAAAATATTTGGCATGATTTTACTTATATGTAAGCCTGTTAAGACGGAATTATAACATGCTTTTATAGAATGCTTGTGTATGTACGTCTGGCAACAAAGTAATACCATAAAAATATTTGGCATGATTTTATTTATATGTAAGCCTGTCAAGATGGAATTATAATATGAACATTTAGAATGTGTGTATGTAAGCCTGTCAAAATTGAAATATTCAGCATGATTGTATATATATGCCTGTCAAGATTGAATTATAAATAGACTATTAAGCATGCTTGTATAGTGCAGTGTATTAGTGTAAAAAAAAGAGTTATTATCTTCACTGCCATAAATGTTACTCATCTGTGAGGAAATATACAAGATCTGAAATCTAGAGAATGTTATGTGTGTTAAAAAAAATAGATATTTTATAACTATTGTTTGTTGACATTATTTTTACAGTATTGTTGCAATGCTTATATATGTAGGGCTTCAGCCAATATGGTTTGCATTTATATGTATTATTCTAATATCCTAGTTCTCTTGATGTCAAATTTGCGGTTGGAAGTTACTATGAATGATTTATAATGTAGGTAGTGTGATAGGGTGAAGAATATTCTGATAATTCATTTGCGCTTGACACCTTTGGGATATGTAGATTTTGAACTTTGTAATGTTCATGAAAGCATTTTAAAATCAAATCAGTATCATGCAATTGTGATCTTTCCAATGATAACGTTTTATTGTTAACATTGTTAAATTCATTCAATATATTTAGGGGCGACAGAATTATTTTTTAAACACCAGAATGACTATAATAAATACATTTGTTGAATATTAACTGTTTTAAACTTTTTTTAAAAAATGATAATGGAGTTGCTTTTTGTTTGCTAGGTGAATGTATTTGAGAATGATTGGGAGATCCTGAACTATTTATATTTATAGTGTTTTTTTGTTTTGTTTTTTGGAATGAATGGGTTAGTGATAATAGATTACTTGTAGTTGGCACAGATAGATACTTGGTTAAATACCCCTTCAACTCAGTCAGAGACAATCAGTCTATGGCCATGTCTGTATGTATAGAGATTATGTAGGCCAATGCAACGAAGTCTCAGCTGTACTTTCCCTAGTCTGTATTCAATGTTATTCAGTTGTGTCTAACATCAAGGGCTATACTGACAAGGAATCGACTTTTATTTTGGAGGTAAAAACTGGGATGAGGGTAGGAGGGAATGGAAGGGACACAAATAAAACAGTTTTAACATACGGAACAAAACAAAAAAAGACAAAACTGCATAGGTTTGAAATTTATTGAAAGAAAATAGGCTTAAGGTATAGCTGTAGCATAATATGTGTTAAATAATATATATGTAAATGTTGTTTAATGTGCTTTTCAAAGTACAAGTTGATAAAAAGTTGAATGTCTTCTGCTGTTGGCAGAGTTCTATCTACATCATTTACAAAAGTATAACTATTACAAGATTACAAAGAAACAATTTTATTAAATACTAATTATTACATTCTTAAAAAAAGCATGAAGAATAATGCTCTTTATTCCTAAATAGAACAGTGCACAATGTATACGACAGTGATGTTAAAATGAAATTTCAAATTAGATGGTCACTAACCATGACATGTTCATTTGATCACATGGTTACCCTTTTAGCCGAAATGCGCATCAGAATGATCGAAAATATAAAAGGGAGATAACATCTTTGAGCTTGATTCCTTCTGAAGCTCTCCTTAAGCAGAGATGAAATTGCAGCATATATTCTGATCATTCAAAACAACATCTGCATGAATGTATTTCTCTTTGTCACTGATCAACAGGGACTTGAATTTATAATTTTGGTGAAGATATTCAACAGGAATAAAGTTATTAATAAAAGAAAACAATGAGATGCAGAGTAAAAAAATAGTTATAAAAAGTTAATGGAACATATAGTTACTCACAACAATGACATGCAAGTATAATGTTTTGTTTGAAGGAGGGGAGGGGAATGCCAGTGTAAATATCAAGATAAATACCAACCCACGGGAGTAGGATTATAATGATAAATAATTAGTTTTTTTCCAAAAAGTTAAATCACAGACGGCTTTAAAAAAAATTGTGGTTTTTTTGTGTTAAAAGTTCAACAAACTAAACCGCTCTTGTTGTACAACACAATCATCAAAAAGAGGACATCAACATTACAACATTCAACTTAATGCATGGAACAAAATTTGATATGTTTCCCGTCAAATAATTTTAAACCCAAAAACTATTTGCAATAAATTATTTTTTCAAAATATTAAAATTTTAAATGTAAAATGTCAACAAAACATTACCAAGGGAATACCATTAAACCACAGGAATATAACAGGTCTGAGATCAGTAGTTAGTAAAAGTAGACAAAATGCAGTTTTTATGTTGGGATACTAAAATAAAAGATTCTATTGCAGTCTGCAGCCTTACTTTTATATTGCTAACTGTTTCTAATAATAATGAACACATTATGTGCATCATAAGGTATTTACTGCAATAATTAAATTTTAATTTTCCTAATGATGCATATTTAGTTATGGCATTTTGTGCTAGAAGCTTTAATAAAACATTTTTCTAAATCAAAACATTTCTTTCAATCAGTTGCGAACCAAACAAATATAATACTACATGTAAAACTAAAATACTTTGTCTCACGTTTTAGTTGAAAAAAATCCTTGTTCTTATTTTCAATGAACAGGAATATTTTCACAAACAATTTTTTAATTGTTGAAATAATTTTTTTTAGAATTTTAGTATTATGTATGTGGTATTTTAAAAAAATTATTCATAACCAAAACAGAACTGAAAATATATCATTTGGTTATGAGATCTTGTATTCTAATGTTCATTTGACTTTAACATAGAGAATACACACTTCATCTTGATAACAAAACTTTTGAAATTAAAACTAAATGATTAAGTCCATAAAAGAACTTCAATAATAAACAATAAAAACCCCTCAAAAACTACACAATTCTTCAATGGAATTATAAGCAAAAACAAGCAAAGTTGTAAGAAAGTAAAAGTTAGTATATAAATAGGACTGACACAATGACATGAACACACCAACTTACACAATGTAGAGTACAAGGGTCGACGCCCTGTCTATTCAAGATGAGGGAATCAACCTGGCAAGGTTCCTATAGTAACTGGCAAAACCTGGCAAGGTTCCTATAGCAACTAGCAAAACCTGGCAAGGTTCTTATAGTAACTAGCAAAACCTGGCAAGGTTCCTATAGCAACTAGCAAAACCTGGCAAGGTTCCTATAGCAACTAGCAAAACCTGGCAAGGTTCCTATAGCAACTAGCAAAACCTGGCAAGGTTCTTATAGTAACTAGCAAAACCTGGCAAGGTTCCTATAGCAACTAGCAAAACCTGGCAAGGTTCCTATAGCAACTAGCAAAACCTGGCAAGGTTCCTATAGCAACTAGCAAAACCTGGCAAGGTTCTTATAGTAACTAGCAAAACCTGGCAAGGTTCCTATAGCAACTAGCAAAACCTGGCAAGGTTCTATAGCAACTAGCAAAACCTGGCAAGGTTCTTATAGTAACTAGCAAAACCTGGCAAGATTCCTATAGCAACTAGCAAAACCTGGCAAGGTTCTTATAGTAACTAGCAAAACCTGGCAAGGTTCCTATAGCAACTAGCAAAACCTGGCAAGGTTCCTATAGCAACTAGCAAAACCTGGCAAGGTTCTATAGCAACTAGCAAAACCTGGCAAGGTTCCTATAGCACCTAGCAAAACCTGGCAAGGTTCCTATAGCAACTAGCAAAACCTGGCAAGGTTCTTATGGTAACTAGTAAAATCTGGCAAGGTTCCTATAGTAACTAGCAAAACCTGGCAAGGTTCTTATAGCAACTAGCAAAACCTGGCAAGGTTCTTATAGTAACTAGCAAAATCTGGCAAGGTTCCTATAGTAACTAGCAAAACCTGGCATGGTTCCTATAGCAACTAGCAAAACCTGGCATGGTTCCTATAGCAACTAGCAAAACCTGGCAAGGTTCCTATAGCAACTAGCAAAACCTGGCAAGGTTCTTATAGTAACTAGCAAAACCTGGCAAGGTTTCTATAGCAACTAGCAAAACCTCTCAGGCTGTCACAGCAAAAAGTTTTTAAAGACTGAAAGAACATATGAAAGGCACTCGTTTCACGCTCAAAGTAAAACGACTGTATAAATAAAGTAGAGATAGTTTATATAACCTCTTTGCATGCAAGTGATCTTATAAAAGGCAGAAAGTGAGTTTAATTATGCTGATAAACAAACAAGAGACAGCAAATCTCAATTGAACTGCAAGTATCTATGCCTTCTAATGGGAGCAAATTAAACTACAACTGTTTTTAATTATAGGAAAGGATAGTAATTTTTAAAAGAAATACAATATGTCAAGAGGCCACTTCTAAACCCTGCTAAGTTCACTTTCTGAAACAATTAGTCACCCTTCTTTATTAACTGGAATTTAAAGTAGTATACTAATTTTTGTTGTAAAAGGTATACATTAAATAAAAAAAATTTAATAGTAAAGTATAAAAATCCTAATTTTAGTTAACAAATAAATATTTAAAATTCAATTTCATCAAAATCAATCAGAAGGGACTAAGCAGGTTTTGCAAGTGACCTCCTAATGTTATTACTTAATTAAATCTATTAATTATATTTAGCGGAACATAATAGGATTGGAACAAAAAAATTGTAACATAAAACCCAAAAATATGACAAAAACAGCAGTAAAATACTTGAAAGCGAAGAGCTGGGAAAATTATGTTGGGCAGTAAGTCTTCTATTTAACACACAATGGATCTGGTCAAGAAATCACAGTAGCTGGTGTCCTTTTTTAACTTGTTAATTATACTTTAGTACTTCCCACACAAATGTTATAGTGACACCCAAAGAGAGATTAGGATCGTTTCGTTTGGGCCTGATTACTTCACAACAACAAAGAGATGAGGATAATAAAATTGGGCTGAATTACTCTTTAAAAAAACGTTAAATTCTATAAAAATTGTAGGGTCTGCACACTTAAATCAATTCTCAAAAATCAAAACAACTCAAAAATAAATAAATTAACACTGATGTGACACAATGTCACCTGCAGAAAAAAAAACAACTGCTGATGAATAAAAATAAAAACAATCAACTAGGATAAAAAATGTAAAAGTATCTCTAAAAAAAAGAACAGATTAGACTTTTTATAAAATACACAATAGCTACTCAAAAGACCTTGCTTAATCTTTATATAACAGGTAAAATTCCTTAAACCCTCCACCTATAAAGGTTATATAACAGATAGGAAGCAAAATGTGGGTTGGGCTTGTTCAGCAACCAAGACCTTTTCAAAAGTAGCCATGTGTCGATAAAGATGCTTAGACTAAATAAAAAGTAAAAACATTTAGAACTCAATAAAATTTTCAAACATGGGTGAGCAGCAATTCTACGCCCAACAAACGACAAATACCTAAAGAAAATTTAAAGCCCATCTTAAAGATAGATGTTTCCACAAACAGTAAAAAAAATTAAGAACACTTTAATTTTATAGTCATCATCAATACTGAAATTTCATTCATATCAGTGTTCCAGTGATATCTACAAATTGTTCAACCTTAAGATCACATTGTAAAATTTTGTATAATCAAGCTCACATAACTGATAGCAGTTAAAAGTCAACAAAAAAAAAACAATGTTAACACTTATAATTTCATAGATGTAATCATGGGCCTGCCTTTAAAAAAAAAGCTAGTCAAACCCAGCAGTAAATTAAAATACTCAAAGAAAGAAAGTTATGTCCCAAAACTACTGTAGAAACACCATTTCATTTTAGTATAACTATACAGGATTTAAAATACAGCATGTAATAACCAACAAAAATAGTTTGTTGTGTTGTTTAATAATCTTTTATAAAACGATACAAAAATTTTAAAAATCTAAAATACTTTGAATAAATTGATTATAAACAGTTTTACACATTAAAAACACTAATGATATCAAGTGTTGATTAAACCCCATTAAACTTTCTTAAACTTAGAAATTAGTCTTTTTTTTTTAAACATAGCTCTAGCAATGGGTGTAAAGAATAAGAAAGATTATTTTAAATGGGAGAGAACACATAACATGTCCACACTATAATAAAAATGCATGAACATGATATTTTTAACACTTGAGGAGCCTGTTTAAAGCACAAATGAGAGAAAGAAATGTTACTAATGAGGTGAGTAAGAAATTTCTGTATTAAAATATATTATTTATGAATGCTATTTTATACATTATTTTTTATTTAATTTAAAGAGATTTATTTTTACGACTAGCTCTTTAACTATAATTTTTTATAATTACTGAAATCATATAATAAATTTATATAATTAATTATATTTGTTTCTACATTAAAAAAGAGATAAATAATGATACAGATATATGTTTAAAATAAAACAACTATATTATAATATTTTGCAACTAAGTTTACATTTCTAAAACGTGGTTAAAATATTCCAGAAAGCTCACATTAATCTTTTTTGGATAATTTTTCAATTTCTTTAATTGGGAGATGGAGCTGCAGAGGATCCCTAAGCCTACGGAGATCATGTTCAGCTTCAGTGATTTTTTCACGTAGTTGGTTGTACTTGTCCACATCCAATTTCTCTTTGGATGCCAGTTTATAAAACTTGAGGAGAAACTGGCGATCTTTGGCATCAGGGAAAGCATACTCCTAGAATTTAAAATAATAACTGTAGTACAAGTATTTATTGAAACTTAAAATTGTATTCCCGCAAGATGAAATTTGTGTCAGAAACAGGTGTAAGGATTGGAGAATAGACCTACCTGTTTAGTCAGAATGAAGTAGGTATACATAGCCATACTCGTTCCATAAGTGACGAAATACGTAACTGGCTCCATAATATCCCAAGAGTACTCCCACCAGGTCAGACGAGCTAGAATTCCAAACTGAAGACTCATGCAGCCTAGGCCCAGCCAGACCAGGCGGTTAGTGCTCACACTTGCTTTAGAACACAAGTGTTGAGTTTTCTGAAGAAAAAAAAAATTAAATAATAAAGCTTAGTTCAACAATCAAACAGACTAACTAAATAAGAATGTAGTCTTTAATGTGTGTCATAACATTAATGTAAGAACATTTCTAATTAGTATTAAAAACCCTGAAAAAAAATAACCACATATTTCAGTAATTAAATTTTTGAAATTTGGCAACAGTTAAGCAACTTGCAATATTTAAAAATATTCAAGTCTCAGCAGTTATTAAAAGGAGGCAAACCTACATTAGTTTAAGTAAAAGTGTACACACACTGAGTAAGAAGTACTTTGCTGTTTACCTGCTCTAATGGTGATATTTGCATGTTTAGATCTTCTAGGCGTGTTCTAAGTTCTCGCTCCCTTTCTAGCTGGTAACTCTCCACATTGAGGGTAGTATAAAGCTGACTTATCAATAACTTAACATCTGTTAAAGTCTGAGCATCTTCATGTGATACAGGACCTACATATGATAACAAAAGTCAAATATAAATATGTTTGGCAAGTGTTTTAAGAGAACTTGATGAAGTAAATGAGTCCCATATCAATCATACATACTCTGACAACCACAGCAACAGCATTAGCCTACTAAAGCCTTAATGTAGAAAAACAGCTTAATACCATTACTAATCCTTTTTAAAACTTTTAAAAGTATGAGATACACTTTTCAAAATTTGACTTTTATTTTCTCCAGTATGTGAGTACATACTACAAAGTCTAAGTACAAATTAAATAAAATATATATAATTATTAAAATATTAAAAATGAAACTAAGGTACATACAAATAACAGGTGGGCTGACATGGTACTTCTGATCATTGATACTAATTTGAAACTCAGATCTCATGAGGACGTCAATGGACGTGGATTTAGCAATCCGGCTGCCGTCTGAAGAAAAAAGCAAATATAAACTTTAAGGTTTTTTTTTTTTTTTTTTTTTTTTAAATATTCTGATAATTAACTTTTAAAACACTCTTGTATGATTGTTTAATGTCTGTCTTAAGCTTCCTGCTACACCTAACAGCCATACCTTTGGTGAAAAAGGTAACTGTGTCAATGCCCCCATCCTCATCCTTAATAAATTTCACAAAATCTCCCACATTCTGTGATATAGGTTTGAGTGTAAATTCACAAGTTTCTCTTCTTGAAGGCAAAGGTAAAGCAACAACTGGAAGCCCATCTCTGTAGTCAACGGTTACATCTGAAATATTTTCAAGTCGTATTCAGTAAACCCCTAAGTTATAGAAATAACTTACAAAATAATTTATAAAACAGATTAGCTTTGTTAAAAAAAAATACCTGTTTTATATAAAACTTGCGAGCAATATGGACGGGAGATTTCATTTTTGAGGTGAATAAACTGAACCTAAAATGATACAGAGTACAAACACTGAGTTAAAAACAAACAAAAAAACAACTACAAATAGTATGCTCACTGTTACACCTGTGGCAATCATTGTAGAACTGCACCACACCCTTTAATAGGCTTATTAGGCTCCTAATTATTTGTTGTTTTATTTCAATTACATATTACTACAGTCTACAATACATTCTCTAGCATTGATATCGTACAAATTTGTATCATTAGGCCATTATATTTAATAACGAAATGATATATTAGAATCTATAGCCTAAACAAACTAACTATTTTGCAAAATTAGCCTACAGAAAAATAAAAAGCAGTTTTACCAAAAACTTTGAAAAAACAATAGCCTGCTGACCCTATGCCCTATCCCAGGGGTCTCCAAACTTTTCAGTCCGAGGGCCGCATCAACTATCAAATTTCAGTTCGGGTGCCAGTTTCTTCCAGGTATGTCGTTGATTTTTCTGGGCAAACTTCTTCAGCATTCACCAACAAACGATTTTTCCTTGGACAAAAAGATCTCCGCGGGCCGGATGAGAGGACTTCGCGGGCCGCATCCGGCCCGCGGGCCGTAGTTTGGAGACCCCTGCCCTATCCTATAGGCCCTATTAATTACTAATTAGTATAATAATTAGGCCTATAGCCTAGGCCTAATAAATAATTACTAGGCCTAATTAGTAGGGTAAAGGAGGGCGTTAAGAGCCACACTTTTTAGCACCTGTAAATTTTTAAAGATTTCTACTAATCTAAGAATTTTTTAGTATTGAAAATATGGCAAAATTATTCTAACATAGCTTACACAATTTAAAAATAATAACAAAGTGTATTAAATATACTTTAAATGGGTTTAATTGAACATTTATTGTCATACCCCCGAAATCAGCATTTGGGGCGAAAGGAGCCGGGCAATGGGGCAATAAGTATTATGATAATTTAGACTAACTCCGCAATAGAAATAATTAATTTCTAACCCCAAAATAGTTACAGCTGTGTACACACACTTTAACTGATACTAACTATCACTAGGCCCCAATGGGCCCAGTCTACAATTGATACAATTGCAGGTGTACATAGGGCCTAAAGTCTAGTAGTTTACAGTAGGCACATTAGTATGCCTAGTGTGTAGCTAGTATACTAGTGTGTAGCTGTCCAGAGTTAACATTCTTGTATGTAAAAAGGGGTGGTACTAACTAATCTGCCTTAATGCTTTCCCCTGATAAGCCATGTGTGCTAAACATTACATAACATCCTAATTTATAAAAGGCCATGTGCGCTCTTCTCTCTCTCTCTCTCTTTCTCTGTCCGCAAAAAATTTTCGCCGGACATCACGTCAGAATCGGCAGCGGTATATGGAGAACTTTTTACGGACTTTTGTTGAAAATAATATGTTAGATGTTTTAAATGTATAACCACAATTTTACTTAAAGAAGAAAAATAAAAATTAAAGGCGTATTCGAATGTAGAGAAACAGTATTATTTATGCAACCGGAAAAGCATTAATATATGTGAAAAAGAACGCATAAAACTGTGACGTCACTATTGCTTATACATTAACTAATGACGTCATCTGCCGTGTTAAGAATGAAAAGAAATGAACTATTTCATTCAAATTTGATTTAGATCTACGTACACTATGAAATGTATACAATACAATTTTTCCGGCCTAAACTCATAAAATTTATTTTATGTATTTGGATTCTAGATCTAGAGATTCTAGATCTAGACTAAATCTAAATCTAAATCTACGCAATAACTAGATCTAGACGTAGACGCTAAGATCTAGATTTAGACTCTAACTTCTCTAAAATCAATTCCAAAAATAAATTTCTATATTAGGACTAAACTATTTCAAGACTTATTTATTTTATACAAAATCTTTGTTTGGAACTGGCTAATTTGGGATAAAAAATTAATTTGAAAGAATAGGCATATTCGCGTAAGTTAAGATTTTAAAATACGTGTTTCATTCTCCGTATTTTATAAGGTGCCTAAATATCGGAGATGTTAGTGTACATTAAACCACGCAGGTGGTGCGGGTTCGAGACACAGCAAGTCAACTTGGTTAATGTATTCTTTTTTATTATGCTCGGGCTAAACTTAAAAAAAAAATTCTTTTAGGAATCTAGATCTAGATCTAGATTGTCGGGTGTCCGATAGGGCACTTCCCGGCGCCGCAGGCGCTTCAAATTTGGCATGATCTTGCCTTGGTGCGACAGAACACGGGGGCCGGTTGGCCGAAAAGTCTACGATGTGGGGGTCAAAACTGACCTCGACTGACCGGTACCTTATATGAGCTATAAATCGAAAAAAAATGTCCACGGAGGAACCTCTTCATAACTCTTGAGGTCGTAGACCGACCTTCGGGCGAATTAATTAAGCATTCAAATTCTCAATGTTTTCGAAAGCCTAAGCGAAGCTGGGCAGCATGCCTAGTGACATAGAGGTGAGAAATGTTGAGGGGAGAGCAGTGGTACTGGTTTCCCCTTTTTTTCTCCTTGCTGGACCCTGAAGGCCATAAATTACATAAGGAGATGCTATCTCTGGTTGGCTGAGATCTAAGAACTTAGTCCATGTTACCTACAAAGAGATAAGTTTTATGGTGGGTTAGATACAGGTGGGGGCTGGGTATCATGGGGGTGAGAAATTGTTAGGGGAGAGCAGTGGTACTGTTTTCCCCTTTTTTCTCCTTGCTGGACCCTGAGGGCCATAAATTACATAAGGAGATGCTATCTCTGGTTGGCTGAGATCTAAGAACTTAGTCCATGTTACCTACAAAGAGATGAAGTTTTATGGTGGGCCAGAAACTGGTGGGGGCTGGGTATCATGGGGGTAAGAAATTGTAAGGGGGGAGCAGTGGTATTAATGTGTCTGTTTACTTCCCTGCTGGACCATGAGGGTCATAAATTACATAACATACCACCCCAGATTGGCTGAGACCTAAGAACATTTATTCATGTTACCTACAAAGAGATTAGAAGTGTTATGGTTGGTTAGAAACAGGTGGGGGCTGAGTCTGCTGTATTGCCCCTTAGGGGTAATAAGTACAAGTACCATTTTAAAAATTACCTTGTTAACATCAGATGGCTGAATTTTTACTTTTTAGCAGGTTAGAATTGTATTTCTATCATTTAGACACAAGTCTGTTTAACAATTAATACATTTTGTGTTAACTATTCCTATACCAGTGTCATATTCAGTGGTCTAATAAATGAGAAACTTGCACTTAGGGTTTCAAGAGCCACATAACAGTATCTGTTATAACTTTTCTAAACAGGCAAGCTAGTGGACAAAATTAATGTATTCATGTAGATTTAGTTATTATCTAACAAATAAAACCATTATGGTAATGATCAGTCAAGTTTTACCCTGATAATGATAAAAACTTTATAGCATGGTAAAATGGGACAAATGTCGGCCATTTTGTTTAGGCACCAATAATCACTGTGCAAAAAAAATTCACCAAAATAAAACTATTCTAGCCATAGCTATAAAAATAGTGTTAAAATGTACAACAACCAATGCTCTAATACAGGAACAAAGAATGGGCTTGAAAAACTCATTTGGTTTATTACAAAGTAAAGTTTCCCAAGTTATGTCTATTTGGAAAAAAAGTTCACAAAATGGTTTTATGGAGATGAGAAATTTTAGGGAAAGAGCAGTGGGATTAAATCCTGTCTCATCCTCTCCCTATTGGACCATGTGGGTCATAAATTACATAAAATGAATCCTCTGCTTCTCTGTTATCAAAGAACAGCAGTGGTTGTTACCTCAGAAGTAGATTAGCAGTGTTATTGGGGGTTTTGTGGGGGTGGGGTGTTGATTGGGGCTTAATACCACACGGCTCTTAACGCCCTCCTTTACCCTAATTACTTAATTACTCTAGGCCTAAAACTAAAAGATCTAAATCTAGATTCTAAAACAATGATTTTTGTAGTTTTTTAATAATGGATCCTCCCATTTCTGTGTAAATTGTATCATTCTGTGATAATTAGAAACATTTTTACCAAATTGCCTACTATAAAGACATAGCTTTACTTACATCCTACCCCCTGACCCAATGGGCAATATTTCAATCACCTCGGTCTTTCCCTCATCCCCCCTCCCCGTACCCACATTCCTGTATTATTTTTAATTTTTATCCAACTCAAAGAGATCTATGTAACTATAGCAAAGTGCAATTTTTACTGAATTGAAAAGAATACCTTTCTAGACCTAGAAGCTTGACTTTGTTTACACACAGAAAACAAATTTGAGTTCTGTACAAAAACACTTCTATGAATTAATTTTCTCAGTGGAGCTACGGCCGCCATCATTACACTCTCACAGAAACGAGATAAGAATAAAAAATAAAAAAATACCAGATAAATTTTTTTACACACAGAAGGGCCTAAGTAAGCTTTTTTTATGCAAAATATTTCAATGGAGAAAAATCAACTTAAAACAAAGCATGCAAATCGAAAAAAGGGTATTATAATTAACTACAACGTGCTTTTTAAATATCACAGCTAAATCTTCTATAGACAAAAATACTGGCTGTGAATGGGCAGACGGTAGGATGGAAATTGGGAGTAGATCATTTTCGATGCATAGTTTAATGTTTAAATATATGTTTAAAATATGTTTAAGTATATAGAAAACAAGTTAGCAGCTAGGCCTATAGTAGCCCAATTTTTCTCTCAAAATCGTGTTGATGGGGAAACTAAAATTACAAGTAACGTCCTTATCTAAGCCATATTCTTAATTTGATGTGGATCAGGTCTATATGCTATATAATTATATATGGAATGGATAGCTCCTATTTCTGATATAAATATCTAGATCTAAATCTCAAAAAGTACAAATGCTTCGTTCCAAGTGACGCCCAGATTACAGCGACTGTTGAACTTAAACCTTTTATGAATCCCCTTATTAAGCGTGTTGACCATTCTAAATAATTATTGCAGATGGCGTTTCCTATTGATTGCCCCATAAAAAAAAAGTATTTAAAAAATTGACGTTAGAAATGTATTTTTAGTCTTTTCATTGGCATTACTACTGTGACAACCTGGCATGTTAAACATGGGAGAAAATTATTTAGCATTTACCGGAAAAAATATTTACAACTAGAGAGACCAGGTACACATTTTTTTATTTTTTAGCGTAGGCCTATCCGTTAAACTTTGAAAAAAAAATGTTCTACTTAAAATGAGAGCAATGTGTGCGTTCGTTGAATGTATTTTCATCGCTTTTTAGCTTGCTTATTACTAAACACAATCCCCCCCCCCATAAAATGCAGTTGGGTTTTTCTTAAAACATCGGTATTTTTCCAAAATCTTGTCTGAACTCTGTCAAAATAGAGTATTTAAATCAATTAAGCAATAAATTAAAATAGTTTTCTAAAACGCGAAATAACGTCTAAAATTCGTTTTCTAACATTGCTTTTATATAACGCAAAAGTGTGACGTCGCACCATCTGAGCCCCCTCCCCCTCGTCACAAACCGTGACGGACTCCCCCTCCCCCTACGAGTGTGACGTCATTTATGGACGAAATCTAGCCCGGGCTCTAAACGGAATAGGAAAAATTATATAAAGCTCATTTTGAGCTATAAGGGTCATCCATAAATGACGTCACGCTTTTTTGACGATTTTTACCCCCCCCCCCTCCGTCACACATCGTCACAAAAAGCTAGAACCCCCCCCCCCCCTAAAATGACGTCCTATTTCAGCCTACAATCCCCCTCAAAATTGCAGTTTAATTTTTCTTAAAACATCGATATTTTTCCAAAATCTTGTCTGAACTCTGTCAACATAGAGTATTTTGATAAATCCCTATTTCAATTTATTAAAACTGTTTTCTAAAACGCGAAATAACGGCTTAAACTAGTTTTCTAACATTTTTTTTATAATGCAATAGTATGACGGCACACCATCTGACCCCCCCCCCCCTCCTCATCCCACACCGTCACAAAATTACGGACCCCCCCCCCCTTACGAGTGTGACGTCATTTATGGACGACCCCATATTACTGAATTATACACACTTAAAATAAAGATAGTATGTCGCTTCTAGACTTTATACTTATTGTTAACGTGTTTTCTACATCAATTGTATGACACCAAAATAAAATAAAAAAAACCTTTTAAGGGACAGTGACTGGTAAAAAAAGCGCCCCGAATCTTACTTTATTGAGAAGGGGTGGGGGCGCTTTTTCGCACTTTTCGCACTTTTTAAAATAATCATATATAAATTAGGGAAGTAAATATTTATAGTTCGCCTCGAGCGTCGGAATGGGTTTATAATTATTGCCAAGCTATATAAGTTTATCATTATGTTAAAGTTATAGGCCTATTGTGTTATACCCTAGTTTTTTAAAATTCTTAGTTTCGCTTAATGTCTGCTATTTTGAATGATTGGATGAACAAGTAGACATATTTTAAACTCCATTAGACACCATATCTTTGTTAATTATTACTTATGAAGACGTAACAAGAACATAATTTTATAAAATGATGTGATTTGAATAATTTATTTTGTTTTAAAACACGATGATTAGTCTCCGCCGATCCTTAATAGTGTAGCTGATTACGATTGTGTGCACATAGTGTGAGTGTCCTATGATTTATACTTTTTTTAAGGGTCCACCCAGCTCTGATCTGTACCTAACTCACGCTAGGTAAAGTAAAGAGTAAAGACGTCTGGACACTGTCAGAGATTCTTCCAGGCATCTCTTCGGGGGGGTGGGGGGTGGAGGAGGGGGCTGAGCACCCCGAAGAAAGTCTACCGCCCCCCCCCCCCCCCCCCCCCCCCCCCCGAAAATTTCAAGTACACCACCCGGAGAAAAAAGTCTGGAAGAAACACTGGAAACAGGTGAACTCTACCTAACTTGCCCGGCAGGTTCGAATTTGGAAATTTATTTTTATATATTTACTTTACAATATAATGAAGAAGGTACGACCTGAAATAGTTTAATTTTTGTGTGGAAAACGGCTTAAATCAAAGTGTTTATGATTTCGAATACTATTCGGTGCAATTCGGTACATTTGTGATGTTAGTTCGACCACAGATAATGGCAGATAATGCTATTATCAACATTACCAGTAAAAAGCAATACACAGTGCGTTAGAAATTTGATTGAACATTCCCAGCTAACCTGGAAGTTATCTATCGTACATTAGTATAATTTAAGAGTATTAATATATAATTTTATTGATTATATTCTGGGCTACACCCTGTAGCTGTACTGAACACACTAAAACAATCATGTCCTCATTAACTTCGGATTTGCGGCAAAGAGCTTCCCAAGCAACGACAACGCCATCATCTTCTGGAGACGACGATAAACATGTAAGTCATTTGTAAGTTCATATTAGTTCATAAGTTGCGGCATGTACATTTGTAAGCCAACTAATTTAATAAGGGGTTCAATAACCTATAGTGGGCTATAGACTATAGATCTAGATTCTAGTTGCTATAGAGATAGTGTCCTAGACCTAGACTCTCTGCCCTAAATTATTATAAATAAATAGTATTTAAATAGGCCTAATGACTAGATAAAAGATTTAGAAAATACTTTAAAATAGATTTTATTAGATGGATGGTGTTGCTAAAAAAGGTGAATTGGAATCTAGACTAGTCCTAACACCACTTAGTCACTTACCAGCTTTTAAGTAAAGTTTGTATTTTTTATAAAGTGTAAGTTAAATGCAATTAAAAAGTAAATGACATGAGATTTAAAATACTAATTGTTATAAAGGAAAACAATTTGTGTAATTTTGTTGTACATGAGAATGATGATTTTGGAATACTTGTACATATGATGACTGCGAGTAAATGTGCTGAGAATGTAACTATATTTGAGAATGTTGCTTGGAAGAAGAGGGATGTGTAGAATCTAGGTGGTAAAATAAAGTATTGAATGTACTGTATGAATTGTATGTCAGTGTTATAAGTTTTTGTTAATTTAATTTGTGTGTCTCATCCACTGTTTGTATTGAATAAATAAAGTTTTCAACATCATAAATTATGATAATTAATTAATTTTGTTGAAGACTTAAATCACTTTAAAACAAAATCAATATTATTAAAAACAAATTAAAATCACAAGAGAAACTTTTTTTTTCATTTGAAATTACATTTTGAAACAAGAAAATTTAAAAACAACCCAAGAGTTTTATTTGTATTAGTTTTACTAGCTGTATGAATGTTTCTATACCTTATCAGTAAGAATTTCCTTAACAATTTTTTTATATTATAGAAAGATGCAGGAATTAGATCTCAAGCTTCAGCCTCTGATACAGATGAAGAAGATTTACCTGTAAAGCCATCAAAGCCGATAGTTAATGAAGGACAAGGGTCTGATGTTCTAGACAGTGCGTTAAAAGATTTTTCCCCAAGGTGTTTATCATTTTTTTTAAAAAATTATGTTAGCAGGATTTTATAGTTAAATCAGTGTTGAGCTCTTATAAATCTGCAATAATACATTAACTTTTTAAAACTCCCAGTGCTTACCTGAATTACACAATCCTCTTGTGCCATTATGAAAATAGTTAAGTTCTTGAGCTTTACCCTTTCTTTCATGGTTTGTACAGCTCACCCTGTACATCGTCTCACAAATACTGTCACATATGTTCTCGTCAAAGTTTTTTGCACTCTGCCAGATCTCAGTGGCCACTTAACCTTATTTACATTAGAATCCAGATGGAGTAAATGAAAAAAATGGCTGATATAGTGGCAGGATAGCTTTAACTTCTTTTGCTTTTAAATTTTATTTTGATGAAACCGAGTTTATACTAACCTAAAATTTGTTTTACTATGTGCCCTTTTTCTCAGTTAAAAATTGATGTTTTTATACTGCCTTGTTTCAAATAATATATTTTATACTGTAGGTGGCGAAACTGGCTAATCCGTGGAATTTTTACATGGCTGATGATTTTTTCTTTTGCAATTCTTATTTATTTTGGACCATTGGCACTTGTGCTTGTAGTAAGTAACAAGTTTCTCATAAAGATTTTTCTCTTTATTTAATTTTATGAAAATTTCCCATTAAAATTGAAATATTTGTGTGATTGATGTATTTTTAACATGTTTTTAAAACATAAACCTAGACTTATGTCAAAAAAGTTGTTCTGATATTTAAGTTGTACTTTTACACTACTAGGTTGATTAAGCAAAAACTAAAAACACATCTGTTCTTAATTTAGCAAAATAGCAAAATTGTATTCTCACATTACAAATTTGTGTGGCACTGTGTGTGTCACTGTTACAAAATGATTTTAAAAAGATAAGTAACAAGCAGATTATAAATTGTTAATTTTATTTTATCAACACATTTAAAATGTAGCTTCTCTAAAACTATTTTACTTGATGTAAAAAGCTGAGTAATAAATCACTAAAACAAGTGAAGACCACAGGCGATAAACCACAATTGTAACACTAGTAACAGTTTTCTACTTTTGGGAAAAATGAGATTTTGTTAGAGATTCTTTGCTGCTCCATTGTGGCATGATTTTAAAATTCTAAATATTGAAGGGACCCAGGTGGTTTTACGCTTTCATATTTTTATACGTGATAGATGTAAACTAGTACTACATGAATATGGCACGAAGTCAATAACTTTAAAAAGTGGACATCTGTGGTTTATTCAGTCTGGTCTTCAAGTTTGATCACAGTTTAGTGAAATGAAACACATTGTTACCTTCTCTGGGATATTTACCTGGTTTAGCCCTATCGAAGGGGAAGTGACCCGATGCCCATAAATTAAGTGGACGACCAGCCCTCGGCTGTCGCTATTAGGTCGTAGACTGACCATACATTATCGGGGGATGACCAGAGCGTCATTTTGTGGTTTACGGCTGGGGAACATTCCTGACGTAGTTGGGCCCGGCCGTAACGAGATATGACATACTGGTGCAAGTGCTTAGTGAGTGGCCATTGCGGTCAGCCTGGATTGTAATTTATGGCTGGAATAATCCTGGCCTGAGATGATTTAATTAAGTTTAACACCTGGTGGGGCGGATGTTCCCACTGTGGACTCTGCTTATCAGAGGAGTAGGGACGGTCAGTAGGACTCGGTGCAGAGTTAGTAGACTAACAGGGACATCTTGTGAGCTGGTGGAGCTCACTGGATGGACACAGTTAGGGACAAGTAGGGTAGTCACATTAAGGACTTCTTATTTTAATATTTTTCTTATTGTGTTAGATGGTGTGGTGGTTTTGATGTTAGGTGTTGTACTTATGTCGTGGCAATAAAGTGTAAATAGTTGCTAATTGCATTTATTCATTACCAGTTCTTTTTCTTGTTTACAAAACCCTGCCTAGTTTGAAAGGACTAAGGAACGGATCGTAACCACGTAAAAAACAAATATTTAACTGTATTAACTATTTAAAAATAGCCTCACAAATTAAAGGACTACTACATTAAATATAATTAACTGTACAAACATAGTATTTTGTAATATAAAAAAAACAGCTTGTTTCCTAGTGATGCAGCTAATATTGATTTTGCATAAGAGCTTAGCAGTCACACAGGGCTTAAGATCAGCTTACTGAGTATCAGTTCCCTTGCTGTTGGTGAGAAAGTCAGCATAACCTTGCTGTTATTGATTATTTGATTTTAAATCACCTGTGTCAGTTGTGTGGTCATTGGACTAACTTGACTGCCAATGTGTTATAAGAAAAAAATTAAAGTTGGCCTACCCTTGAACCAGACATTTCATTGACCTCAACATTTAATCGTATGGTCAGTACTATGACCAAGTGCCTTTACTTCCCATTAACAAAAGATAGATACCCATCAGAACTGTGTGGAATCTGGGATGTCCCATGGACTTAAGCCCTGGATTAGAAATTGAGACTTTTGTGTTGGCAGGCATATAGCACTACCTTTCAACCATGCTGTTTTTCTAATTTTGATTAATTCACCTATCTCAATGTTATTGACATTTAATTAATGTGACATAATATTATTGACATTTGATTAATCCGAACAAGACATTACTCATTATCCCCACCCTGTCCATTATAAATTGACACTAATATGAACACTAGCCCATACGGTAAGGTTACACTTAGGAATAAGGTTTAATGTCAGAGATAAGCTTATTTTACAATTTCCTGGTTACCCTGGTTGGCAAGGCCAAATGCTGAATGTTTTTTTTTCTTTCTTATTTTATTTTACATGTCCCTTTCAGGCATTCTATTACTCATTTTGCCTGTAAAATGCATAATAGGTATTCTTGAGGGGGTAATGTCCTAGGCCTTATAAACTCACCTCTCAGTATTCTTAAACTTAAAAAATAAAAATAAAAACTCAGAGTCAGAGAAAAGTAAGGTCAATTTCAACAACTGTGTCATACAAAAATCTATAAAATGTCTGTATTGTAATGGGATTTTAAAACCAAATTTTCTGTTGTAATTAGTGTTATCTATTTTGTGTTTACTATGCTGTCATTCACACACTTATCTTAGGTGGAATTTGGATTTTTTTTTTTAATATAAAAAGATAAGTAGCTGTACATTAAAAAAAAAATATTCCATTAAATTATGTGGGCAAAAAAAGTAATTTAGTTGAATGATAAGTTTAATTGCTGTAAACATGTCTAATTCTGCACAGTCTAGGGCCTGTAAATGTACTATTTTTGAGCTGCAAATAAGTAAGCCTATAACTATAATGCTGCACAATTTAGGAGATGTATACATGTCTAAATCTGCACAGCTTAGAGGTTTTAAATATGTTTAATTTTTTTTTACAATTTTTTGAGCTGCTGTATAAGGCTTCACAATTTAGGAGCTGTATACTTGTCTAAACTCTAATATTGCATGATCTGTGAATAATAGTTAAGTAGGTCCCTATGTCTAATGATGCACAATTAATAAACTGTAAAATTGACAAGTGATTTACATTTTGTCTCCAGACATTTGCCCTACAAATAAAATGTTTTCATGAAATCATCACCATTGGATATATTGTATATCGCTCATATGACCTGCCATGGTTTCGAACCTTGAGTTGGTATTTCTTGTTTGCTTCCAACTTTTTCTTTTTTGGAGAAAGTATGATTGGAAATTTTGGAGTTTTATTGGCTCGTACTGTAAGTATTTTAGAAACCTAAGTTATAATTATTCTGTAAATTTTAAAAATACAAAATCATTTGAGGAACAGTTAATAAAGAAAAACTTTTCTATTTTTTTCCAGGATTTTTTGCGACCTTTTGTGACATACCATAGATTTATATCATTTTCTCTCTACACTGCCGGACTAGTTGGCTTTGTCTGCAGTCTAGTCAAGAAACATTATTTAAAACAGTTCACTTTGGTCAGTTACATTTTATTTAAAAATTGTTTTTATTTACTTAAACTTATTTAATACAGATACTGTTATTTGAAAATATGTGCCTATTTTTGCTATCATTGTTGAACTGGTCTATATTTTCAGTTTGGATGGACTCATGTGACACTGCTACTTGTTGTTGCCCAGTCACACTTCATTGTTCAAAATGTTCTAGAGGGTCTTATATGGTATGGTAAATTATTTATTTATTAACATGCTTCTTTTTCAAAAAAAAAATATAGTTTGCAGTTAAATTTAGTTTATTATCAAAATTTGTTCTAACAGCATACAGCAATGTATTTTACTTATGATGCATAGAGTCCTCTTTCCATTGGGCAGATGAAGTAGAGTTCATGCCTCTTGACATCGTCACATGAAGGATGTGGTCAGCACTGTGCCCAGCTGCCTTTCTTTCCCCAATATAAGTCAGGTACCCATCAGAGCTGGGTGGACACAGGTACATCCTACAGTCACAAGTCCAAACTTAGATCTGAACTCCAGACCTTCAAGCTTGCAGCCAAAAGCTATGCAATTCGACCATGCTGTCCCATATTTTACTTGACATACATATCTATAAAACAATCTTTACCACAGGGTACTTGTTCCAGTATCCATGATCATCTGCAACGACATAATGGCATATATGTTTGGATTCTTCTTTGGACGTACTCCTTTGATAAAGTTGTCTCCTAAAAAGACGTGGGAGGGTTTTATTGGAGGCGCCTTCTCAACTATAATCTTTGGCATCATTGTAAGTAATGCGAGGTTTTTTTTTACTCTACACCCAGTTAAACAGTAATCCTACTTTATTATTATAAGTGAATAATAATTATTTAAAAAATGAATAAATAAGTAACTTTTCACAGCTGTTTGTTCAAAGTGTAGACAAAGTAGAATTAATCAGTTCCTTTGACTCAGGTGTGGTCATTAGTATGCTCACTTGTCTTACTATTCCCAATTCTAATGTCAATGTTTTATTTTAGCCTTACATCCAATACATGAGACTTTCCAGTAAGTAATTGACACACTGTCTCATAATGATGTTTAGCAATGTTACATTAATTTTGTCTTGTTTTCCCCAGCTGTCATACTTTCTTGTACAGTATGACTACTTTGTGTGCCCTGTGTCATACGACGAGTCTAAAGAATCCCTCTCAATGGAGTGTGAACGATCTCATGTCTTTCTCATCTATCAATACAGCCTGCCTGAAACTATTAGAGTCCTGTTCTCACTGGTAAGGTACTTTTAAATTCTGCAAGATATTGTAGTGTGTGGGTATATCATTTATGTTAGTTCCTTACATATTATGTTTAATTTTATTCTAAACAGGTGGGAATATCTAAAACAACAATCAGCATGTATCCATTCATCCTGCATTCAATTTCTCTGTCCATTTTTGCATCTGTAATTGGACCTTTTGGTGGATTTTTTGCTAGTGGATTTAAGAGAGCTTTTAAAATCAAAGTATGTAAAAGTTATTATTCTGTATATATGCATTTGCTATATTTAATATACTGTGGTTTGGTATTTCAACAGTAGTTTACTCATTCACAGAGAGTTCATTGTTTTTTGTTACTGTATCAATATGATCGAGGCAGATACTTAAGAAAGTGTAACAAGCAAAATAAATATAAGCAGACAGTTTTTTTTTTAATAAAACAGTGATGTGTAAACAATTATTTTTAAACTAATCTAATTCACATTTGAAAACTTTCTTAGGATTTTGGAGATACCATCCCTGGCCATGGTGGAATTATGGATCGTTTTGACTGCCAGTTTCTAATGGCAACATTTGTTCATGTCTACTATCATAGCTTTATTAAGTAAGTTGGCCTATGGCTATAACATAATCTTAAGTTTAAACAAGAAAACTTTAAGGGGTTTTTCACCATTTGTATTAATAATGTATCCTGATTTTATTTTATCATTTAGTGATTATTTCAAGTAGTTAAATTTTTCTCATCTGGATATTTTTTTTAAAGCCTATGAGTACATATATTTAAAACGAGCCAACCCGCGGCACATCATACGCTGCTATTTAGTTGTTTTATTTTCTACTTTCCAGTAATTCATAATTTGTGAATTCGACAGTACCAATGCTGCCACTGAAAATATTTGCTTTAAAAAAAACACTATCAGTAGCTCGTTAAGGACGATAACCCCCACCCTCCTTTCCCTGACCCCAAACACCCCCCCCCTGTGAAAGCAGCCTTCTCTTAGTTACCTCCCCTAAGTTTAAAATAGTTTCAAACTAAATTATCTGCCCTTAATAACCATCACTAAACCCGGCTCTATGATTGTAAACATTTAGCGTGACCCACAGCTCACCAGACCATGTAGGGGTGGGGCTGGTAGTGAGCGCACTTAAAGCTTGGTGTTTTCTATCCTTTCCAAGAAGAGAATTATATATATAGATATTTGACTGTCTTGTATAAATTATCGTATAATATTATGTATTATGTTTTTTGCCTTCTCCAGAGTGATGAACCCCCAAAATATTGTCCAGAGTGTGTTAATGCTGAAGCCAGAGCAGCAGATAAAAGTGTTCACCATGCTGCGAGACAAACTGATGCAGCGGGGGTTGATTGAAAATGTAACCGCGGCAATCACTGAATCTATGTAAGGTCTCACTACATGTCATTTAGCTCATCCTGTTGGTTTATTGTTTTAAATGGAAGTCTTTTAATCTTTCAGTGTTATCAATATTTATTTAGATTCAGTTCTTGTGGTGTTATTACAGATAACAAATTTCTGCATGTGGTTTTGTAAACATAAAAGTATATATATTTTATAAACATATTGTCATTGTTAAATATTCACTAGATTAAATTATAAAACAGTTTAAAATAGTTTTCATCATTTTATCTTCAATGTATTTCGGTAAAAATAATTATATTTGAAACTGAAATAAAAATTGTACACATTGTTATTTATATATTGTGTTTTTAGATAGCCATAGTGTTTATTGTTTTTAATTGGCATATATTAAAGTTGTGTGAATTGCTTTGGATTCTATAATAATTATAAATAAGCCAGTAACCAAAGCTGCTCTTATAAGTGAATGCTAGTTTGAACGTGTATTTAAATGTAATGCTTAATTCGTACTACTCCTTTTTTTTTATTATTAAAGTAAGTTTTGAATTAAATGATTTTTACTTTTTGTGTGAAAGAATTAAAAATTTAACCAAAGCAGATGAGCATTCCTTTCAAGTTTTGCAGAGCAGTTTTTAATAGAGTTTTTGGTTTTAAAAAACTGATTCAGTATATTTTAGTTTGTACATGTTCTTAAATTGTAATTCAATAGTTGCTATCTTTACCACAACTTGCAATAATTATTAAATTCATATTTTTAAAAAGGAAATGTCTAATTAGACTAGGGATTGACGAATATGAATCTAATTTATAACTCTTTCACATCAGGTATTAATTTTTAAAAGAATGGTTGGTTGCTACTTAGCAACCACTTTGTCCTCAGTTCGTTGGAAGTGGCTACTTCAACGTTCAAAGTATGATGTAACTGTAATACTATTATTCAAAATAGATGTATTATGATTAAGTGCAACCAAAGAGGATGAATGATGCATAATTTTTTAGATCGTGTGTAATTGCAATTTTTCAACAAGAATAATTTATTTTCATTAGTTAGGACTTAGGTAATTGTTTTAAAAAAAATAGATGGTTTAGTGGCAAAAGAGTAATTTGGTTTTAATTTATCTTAAGATAATTACTTTTTAAACCCAACTTTTAGATGTTTGTTGGTGATTGTTTTACTAATGGCTTTGTTCTTATACATATTTTTCCATGATGGCTTCTAACTTTACTCTTTATTTTTTAATAAACATTATTTCTTTTTATTTTCTCTTTAAAAAAATTGAATCTAAGCCTACAATTTGTACTACCTTTTAAATTTAAAAAAAATTCTATTTTCAAATAATTATGTTGAGAAAACTATCTATGTTAAATGTATTTTATCATATATAATATAAAAACATGTCATTAGTTGGTTGTTCATTAAATATTTCAGTGATAGAAACTTGATCTGTCATTTTGTCTGTTTAGTTTTATAATTTTTATAAGTAATTATATTGCTATTAAAACACTGACATGCATACTTAAATTAAGATACATATTTCTTTGAATGGAAACAATACCATGATTGATGTTTTGCTAGATTTTTTTTATCAAGAGTTTAAAACCAACATTATTTTTGCTGTTACTGTTTCTTATTTAAAATTTTATCAGTAGGCCTATATTACATCAAACCATTATTTTAAGAGAATGTACATTATTTTTTTCAATACTAATCAGAGATGGAGAAAAGTTAATGAGTTGTTGGAAAATGTAAAAAATGTTAGAATCTTCCATTTAGTTTAAATAATAGTGATCAAAATCCTACTGCTTAAAAATGTAAACATCTAGTATTAAGTCCTACAAAAAATGTACCATTAAGATGTTGCTTAAATTTAATTTGTTTTTTCACTTTTGGTGGAAAAAACCCTCCATGCTAATATACAATTAGTTTATATAAGCTGTTTAAATTGTGTATAGAAACTGACACTTAAAAATATAAATTGAAATATAAATTTCAATAACAGAGCATAGCTTTGTAAAGAAGATTTGGCACTACATATTTGTGATATTGTTCACAATCAATAATTAGAAGAAAAAAATGATGTATGTTAATGGAATCAACAAAGGTATTTTTTCACTGCACAGGTTAATGTAATTTTTTTTACCCAAATGGTTTTTATAATTGTGCATAATCAATAATTAAATATTGTAGAAACCAAAGCTTGAAATAATCAATGTTTAATTTACTGCAATTATTTAAAACTACCATAAGCCATATCAGAGGTGTGTTCTAGTTCACTTTTGAAATATCCTACTTGGTAAAAAGCCAGAGCTGAGGTTTTAAAATAATTGAGGTGCATTTTAAATTTTTTTACACAATCAGATTGCTTATTAGTATACAACAGCAGCATTCCAAAATTAAATGTTGTTAATCTTAATGTGGTTGGTAAAGGTTCTTATAAATTGCTACTGTTGCTATGATCTAAAAAATAAGTTTGAAATTAAGCAAAACTTATGGTATGAAAATGGCATGGTACATATTGTGGTACATTGTCTTGTGATTGATTTGTATTTGTGTATAGTTTATTATTTATTGATTCCAACGCCTGTCAACAGGGAAAATAATTCTGCTTTTTAGGGTGCCACATTTTAACGTTGTAGCGCCTGTTCAGTGAATAGTTTTTCAATAAATATATATTTAAATTTAATAACAAATTTTATATTTTCCCTAGAAAATTTATGACTTTTGCATTTTACTTCCCAAGATAACAATTTCTTTCTAAAACAAAAAGGTCTTACTATTTAAAATTGTTTGGTTGATTCCACCTTTGCTCAATAACTTAACATTCACAGTTGGCTGTTCAGGCTAAAAATAAAACCTCTAGTTTCAACAACTGGCACTAAAAGATGGGATACTGAGATAACTGCACTAGTCTGGCTTGGCCCTCATTTCTCACAGTAGAACATTAAATAATTAATTTCAGCTAACATAAAGTTCCAAATTTTCAAAAGAATTAGGTTTATTGAATGATAAGTGTTTTACAACTACAATGGAATCTTCCCCACTATGATTTTTCTTTAACTTTACAAATATGTCCAATATAGATCTTTTAAACAGTTTACAAAAGTTAAGTAACCAAGCAAGAAATATCACCATTAGAGTTGACATTGCTGGCTAGAAAGTTCCTAACTCATCAAAGATTGGTTATTCTCTCATTCAGGTATATACCTTATGTTGTGCTAATCAAGATTTTTAACATGAACACAATCTTTGAACATGAGCAATATTCAACTACCGCTAATATCACATAAATATAAAGTCTGCATATACAATTTATAAATCCATGCAAATAAAGAAAAAAGTTCAAAATATTTACTGGTACTTAATAAAAATCTGATGTCTTTTTTTTTAATAGTAAATTCAAACACCACCAATAGAAGGCTCAGCTTTGACTCACCTCGTAATGTTAAAAATAATTCTGTTAAAACTTGTTTATTTTAAAAAAGTACTACTTGATCATGTACTTGTGTGATTTAAATTATTTTTCAGTGTTTATTTGTTAATTAGCACTCTAAGTTTAGCCATGTCAATAAAGTGTAAAAAAAAATACAAACAAATGTGTTGGGTGACTTTAAAAAAAAAAGTTTCAATGTCTAGATAATACACAAAATGTTAAGAATAAACAATGAATATTGTGCATCAAATAAATTGATTCAAATATCCTTTACCACTGTTCTAATATAGTCAGGTGGAAGGTATAATTTTTTTCATTATGTACACATTTAAAATAAAGTTGCATGCTCATCATAAATGCAACCTATGTACAATACATTAAATAATCTCTGTATTTCATTTATTCTGATACAACCATGCTCCCATATCTTAAAAAGTAATAAGCACCCATGTGCTTAATATTTTAACTGGCTTTTATAGCTGTACAGCCTTCTACATCATGCCGACAACTTTGCTAACATCTTTTAATACATCATCAAGTTCATTTTCTAATTCCAAGATAAGTCCTGAAAAAAATTAGTATAACATAATAACAAATTCCTTTACTTCGATTTGAAAAATTAATTTCCACCTTAATATAGCAATTTTTAAATAAAGTAACAAGTCTTTCACTTGGATAAAGTATGGTTTTATAAAGAAATTCTAAAGGAAATAAAAGTTTTACACTAAAATAACATACAAATTAAAAAAAAAACCATCAGATTTATAAAAAGTGTTTTAAGTAAAAAACTAATGTGATGAAATCTGGGTGGGTGGATAAAAAAAATGACTGTTTTTAAACAGAAAATTATCCTACAGTGTGTGTTTTACCTGTATTAGCATTTTTATCTGCTATGAAGTGAAGAAGCAATGGGTGGTTATTGATCTGCACTGTCTGTCAAAAGAAATTTTTAAAAATTAAATTTTACATTTTAGAAAAAGCATAACTAATTGGATAGGCTTACTAATTAACAAATAATGCATACAGAGTACATGTCTAAAATATTCATACCTGGTATTTGTCATAGAAATTAATGATGCGCTTGTTAGGGCCCATGCCCATTTTACTAGCCTGCTCAGTTTTAACTCCAAACACAGACAGAAAAGGTGGCCGCAATGCTGAGTCTGGTGCCATCTGGTTAGCTACTGAACAGAAATATTTTTCAGATAATAAACAGAATTTTGGTTCTTAAAGAAATACATCTACAATTAATTTTTTAGAATGCTACTACTACGTTTGGCAGTATATTACATTAAGAGTAATTGGGATGTTTTTTTCTATTTAAATTGATTAAAACAGAAAAAAGTCAACAATAATAAGAAGTAAATGTTTATGAGAGGTTAAAATAATAAAAAGCATGACAACAATTTTTTGCTACATACCTTTTATAATAACTACCCCATCTCTGTCTGTGATAGCAATAGCAAAAAGGCCTTCAACTCTGAAAGTTTACAAAAATTAGGTATATTTCATTATAAAAAGTATAAAAATGTGTGTAATTCATGGGTACTGACAGTAGTAGAGATAAGGGTGACATATCAAAGAAAGACAAAACTAAAAAGCTTCCTATGCATTCCTAAAGTACATACAGATGAAGTTAAAAATTTTTTTTACATGGTTTTATAGTATAGACTTTTCTAAACAAAATAAGTTAAGTTCCTTAACTATGTATTTTTTCTATATCTATTGTATGGTAATCTCTTCCGACAAGTTAAATAGCCTCCGACTAGAGCTGGACAGTTGGAAGGGTGAGGTGCTAGTAAAAAAAAATACCCTTTATAAGCTTTAATAGCTATGCCAATTTACAAACACGAAAGACAATTTAGCAACTCAATGACACAAACCAGCTTTAAGTATTAGTGACTAGATTTGAGCACTAAACAGATCAGTAGTTTCTGACAAAGACAGATGATTTTCCAAGTATAGTATCATTTTACAATAAATATACTACATGTAACAGCTCATCCCCGATATTGATAAGCAACCTAAGCTTATGAAGCAATCAATCAGCACAAAATGTGAAGGGCATTGGAATGATTATTTCATTACACCCACCTCCCATATTTTTCTATAGTTAGGTGCAGTTTTGACTATCTAATGTTCTCCAATACTTGAAATCCAACTATGAAATGTATTATAATCAAGATTATTCTGAAAAGAAGACATGAAACAATACTCGACTCAACTAGTTTGCTTGTAGTGCAAAAGATTCTCTAAACTTTGAGCATTTGTTACAGTTTATGGATTCCTTATAAAGGCTAATGTAATTATAAGGGGCATTGAGTATTTAAAGAATCATACACTGTACATACACTGGAAGGGGTTGCTATGCCTATGCATACATTTTGATTTTGTCATTTGGACGTTTACTTAGCTGGTTGAGGAAAAATAATTGTTTGGTTGCAGTAACTTAATTTGATGTCACTGCCCTACCAGCATTAAAAAAATGGTTTATTATTACTCACGTGGCCATAAGCTTGAATAAATATGATTTCAATTCCTGGAAAAAAAACGATAATAAACGATCTAAGTAAATTATTTCATTGCTCATCCTTGGCCCTCTAAATCTTTAGAATACTGAATTTTTTCTGTACATCGTGAAGTGCACTAAAGTTTTGTTTATTTTCTGATGCGTCCAGTATTATATATGAGCCAATTACAACACATAAAAGCAAGAAACAAGGTTACATATCTAAAAATACCCCACTGGTAACAAATTGATGTTATCATGAGTTCCCTTGAATTTTCTTTCTCTGAGATTGCAGCAATGCAAGATGGGCAAGGTAGAATCTAGTACTTTAATAAAAATATTCCAAACATGGCTGTCCCCTAGGAGGAAAGGCTCTGAAAGGCAGTCCATTACCTACTTAGTACTTAGGTAAGGAAGATGTAAGCTAAATAAATGTTGAGCTGCATCACTAATCCTGTCGAATACAGTAAATTCAAAAAGCCCTAATGAATGGGGGCTAATCAAATTCTGATCTACTAAAATCTAGATCTAGACCCAGATCTATAAATTAATATTAATTATAAACTTGTTCAATATGTTATGTTTTGTTAAATTTTGTTTGGTCCTGCTTTAGTTAGTAGGCCTATTAAAAGTAAAAGGCAAGGCAATCTCATAATCTTGACAATCACTGAGTCTGAGTAAAATCTGTAAAATGCCACGGACTACCTAAAAGATCTAGAATTTAGTAGAATTCTAGATCTAAATCTAGCTAGATTCTAGAGGATTTCTTTCATTTTAGGCTAGGCCAAAAAAAAAAAATTAAAATATTTTTCGAAATCTTTTATTTTCAGTCGCAGGTCATGTGATTTTCAAAATATTTCTTTAGCCAACTCTGCAAAACATTCATTTAGAATAATTTAGATCTAGTTTTCTAGAATATATTTAACTGAAGCTAAGAGTAAAACAACCATAAGAATTAACAACAATGTAAAGTAATTTTTTAAAAATATCTAGACTAGATCTAGCTAAATCTAGAGTCTAGATGTAGATCTAGATCTAACTTACCTCCGTCATGTTGGTGTTTGGCGAAGATGTAAAACTGTAAAGACAACACTCTCTTGGGCTAGAGAGCTATATTTAGTTTTCCAGTCCAGATTTTTAACTATTTCCAGGTTTATCTTTTTCCTCATGAAAAAGGCATTATTTTCCTTACAGAAAAGTCATTCGCCACTGTTTATAGGCTAGAAGATTTTACTAGACTAATGAATTTAAAATACATTTTAAAAATAATAAGAACGGGAGAGACAAGTAAAATGCATCTCTAATTTTAAAAAAAAAACTTCCCAAGAATGTATATCACAATATATATATATATATATATATATATATATATATATATATATATATATATATATATATATATATATATATATAGGCCTATATATATATATATATATATATATATATATATATATATATATATATATATATATATATATATATATATATATATATATATATATATATATATATATATATATATATATGTGTGTGTATATATATATGTATGTATATATATATATATATATATATATATATATATATATATATATATATATATATATATATATATATATATATATATATATATATATATATATATATATATATATATACATATGTTACGGTCAGAGCCCGAAGTGCGGCCAAAGCTCGCATTGGCCGGCTCTCTTGGCCAAAGCCCGAAGAACTTAGCTCTAACAGCGTATTTTGTACATTGGCTGGCCAATGCTCGCACTGGCCGGGACGTACTGGCCAAAGTCCGAAGCGCTTAAACTTGACAGCGTATTTTGTACATTGGCCGGCCAATGCGCGCACTGGCCGGGATGTTCTGGCCAATGTGATTTCTAGACTAAGTTGTGATCGCGTTTTCATTATTCTGGGTGAGGTTTCATTGTGAGTAACGTATTGTTTAGCTCTTGTTTGTATATCATTCTATATGCAATACGACATGGACTAAAAGGACCGTCAGATCAAGAGACAGCCATACCAGATTGCTGCCAAAATAAATATTCCAAATCCTAAAGGAAGAGAATTTGTGAAGCAAGTTATTTCTGAACTAAAGAACATGTGGCCTGAACGGAAAACCAAGGCATAACCAAAGCCAATGTACAGTAGAACGTGCCAACAAAGATGTTCAAAACATGATTATGACAAGGATGCAGAAAATGAATCAGTTTATTGGGCTGAGAGTCTTAAATTCATTCAATTTATGAAAAACCGTAATTTTCATCAAGGAATCCAACAATCGCCATACGAAACCTTGTTTGGATGCAAAGCAAATGTGGGACTTAACACTTCAAATCTACCAAGAGAGGCTCTCGATAATTTAGCTACTTAGGAAGATCTTGAGAACATTGAACAAGAAATGGAGGTTGCCATAAATGCAACGACATCCTAAGCTAACACATATTCTGCCGTGGCGCAACGGCCAGACCAGCTGCATGACAATAATAAGGCCAACATATTCTGTGTAGTTTGTGAAAAATATTGTAGTGTAGCCCATTCTTGTGGATCTTGTGGGAACTATGTCCATGCAATATGCGGAATAGCCAATGAAGCAGACGAAGGGTAAGGAGGGAACAGTACTCGCAGAATATGTCACAATAAACAAGAAACGATGGACAACAGGTCAGCAGCGCATACTACCTTGCAAACTCAGGGTGCTAAGATGCTAACAAAATTTAAACAAGTTGAAGTGGGAGATACTGGTCCCTAGCCAGATGATCTTCTGATTCGGACTGGCTGGTCCACCATAGCCAGTCCGCGGACTGGCCGGCAAAAGGCCGAAATCAAAAGCCATTTCAGACTTTGAAAATGAAGTAAAGTTTCGGAGTTTGGCCGGTCAATGGGAGGCGATATCGGGCAATGCGCGCATTGACCGGCCAATGTGCGCTTTGGCCGACTTCGGGCTTTGACCGTAACATATATATATATATATATATATATATATATATATATATATATATATATATATATATATATATATATAAGCTTATACCGGTGCTTCGCTACGATTATAGAAATGGCGCAACACTCTGATTGATGTCCGTCCCTTGCGTATGCGTCGCATTGGTGTGGATATTGACATTCCAAATACGCGCACAAATAAGCCTCATGTAAAAAAAAGAAAAACCAACTAAAATTATGATTAAGCCTTCGCTTTGTTGCCTGACAGTACTAAAACAATCAAATAATTGCTTCAGTTCATGGTACCCTAGCCTAACTTAAATTAATTAAGAAAGAAACACAATAAGCCATAGCTCACGTATAAAACCAGCACATTTGCCTCCCCATTCTAATGTAAAATAATAAGCTTGCAAGACAGCTCTTCACCGCTTAAAGCTATTGCTCTGAATTTTAAATAAGTTTTACTTGCTTGTTTAAAAATTAGTATATATCCTTTGGCAGTAATACACTTACAGTTATTATTCCATCTGTAGTTGGTAGCTACGGTGGCCTAACAATAACTTCTAAAAATTATTTGTTTCGGTGCTTAGAGTGACTAATCCTCGAATGTTTACATCATGGCGGCGAACGTACCAACTGAGGGAAGCGGTGACGGCATCACTATGGCAGATGAAGATAAATGCCTAGTTCACGAAACATTTAAAGAAGTAGATGAAGTTAAACATCTTATACAAAGTCTTGAGACAATATGGCAAGATACCGTTGCAATGGAGATGGCAGAAGAGCGCTTTCGAAGTACTGTAGTAACTGTGTCTTTGTCTAAAAAATTAAAAATAAATTATAAAAATTAAAAATGTCTAGTCTAGCCGCTAGCCTAGTGTTGAAAGTGTCGTTGATTTTGATAAAATTGCTCTCCAGTCTCCAAACATCACACACACCTCTAGAGAAATCTAGACCTAGATCTGTATTACATTTGTGTTTGTAACAAAATAGAATGACAAATAAATATAATATATTTTATAATATATAGTAGTTTTTCTCACTAAATCTAGAATTTACGCAATTATCAATTTAAACATGACCACTGAATAATAGACATCCATATTTAATCCATTAGGCACTAACTTTGGAGTTTTTAGTTCGTTTTGAACTAAATTAGTTAATTTAATATTTATTGTCAATCACTACCATGTCCAACACATCTCTCCATGACAACTCTTCTTAAGCTTGAAGCTAAAGAAAACCACAAATCAGGTTAGACTCCATGCACAAGAGTTCCTCACTAGTGATCACCAAATAGCGGTCACGTGGTTTTTAAAAAATAAAAATAAATTGGTTGTGATACGGACGCCGGTCTTATAAAAAAACAGCTCACAATATTTGATTTCTTTTTTCATAGACTGATAAAACTAATAATGCTTTACGTTCTCGCTCATTTCTGTACCTACACTGTTGATATTTTTTAAATTCTATTAATTTTAATGAAACCAACTTTTGAATTTAGCCTCCGTTCTCCAAACCAAATTTTAAAATGCTTTTCTGGCATATCTAACCCTGCCACTTATGGTTTGTTGTTATGACACGGAAATCCCGCCATTTTGCGCGTGGTAAACATTTTTAAATGTAATTAGTTGAAGGTCTCTGGAATTTGGCCGAAAAATCACCGGAAATCAGACGTCCGGTCCGGGCGCCATATTGTTGTTAGCAACCGACCACGCATCCAAGTTAGAGAGAAATACTAATATATAGGCCTATCCCATGCGCCCATATTCTACTACTACATAATATAAAATATAAATAGTTATTAGTTAACTATAGTTAGGCTGCGGCTTTTCGTACTTCACTACAAATCCCTATGAACTTATGAAGGCTATTTGTACTCTGACCAATCAGCGCAAGGAAATTTTTCTGAAATTCTTAAATTCACTTAATCATGCTATGAAGAACTAATTTTTTTTTTAGATCTAACCTTATTACTAAACCTAACTCTAACCCTACCGTAATCACCATCCCTAATGCCTGACCCTAACCCTAATGCTTAACCCTAATCCTAATGCCTAACACTAAATCCTAACCCTAATGCCTAATCCCTAAGGAAAATTGAAAAAAAGCAAAAAAAAAAACAAACTCTGAGCCAAAAGAAATAGAGCCCACGCCTCAAAAACAAACCAGCTGATGCATAACCACTTCGACCACCGGAACATTTCAAATAATGTTCCAAAAGTCGAGTGTCATATGCCCAGGACAGTAAATTTAAAAATAAATTTGATTGGTCAGCTAAAAATAGCGAAGGACGAATAGCCTTCTGAGGGCTATTTGTAGTAAAGTACCATTATAGACACTCCCTATAAATATTATAGGCCTTTTCTCTTCTATAGCCCAGTAAAATAAGTAAATAATTCAAATTCAGCTCCTTGTCTAAATTCAATTGTCAATTATTTTATTACAGTTAGATTAGACCACTCTGTACTCATACAAATTTTAAGCTATCAATGAAAGAGAATGAGAGAATTTTAGTAGTAGCCTACTTAATTGTTCATCATCGTAATTTCCCGTTCTTGCCTTAGAGTAAGACACATGGGGCAGATGAATTAGACTGAGTAGAGTTCATCAGCTTCAGAGACCTCTGCATATGAAGGGATAGTGGTCAGCATTATGCCCACTTACCTTTGTTTCCCTTACTTGAGTTAGGTACTCATCATAGATGGGTAGACTCAAGGACATTCTATTGATTTGAACCCAGATTCGAACTCAAGACTTTTGGGTTAGCAGTCTAGCTCTCTGCTGGCTGCTAGATCATGCTGTCCAATACTTAAGTGTTACTGGCATTTAAGGAAATTTTAAATTAGCATATCTAACCCATTCAACAACTCATGTCAACTTATTTCTTTACTACTGTATTTGTACTTTAAATTTAAAAAAAAAGTTGTTTACAAAGTATTGGAGGTGATCGGTCTTACTAATCTTAATAAAATCAACATCTTTATAAATTATCTGTGTTATTTAATTATATGTATTTATCTACAGTTATCATTGATGATTATCAAGAACAGCCTCATTTAATTGATCCTTATCTAGGTGAGCTTAAAATTATTTCCTAAGCAAGAATTAGATTAATTCAATCAATACAATAAATTGAAGATTTATGTTATTATTCTGTTTTTATTTGTTGAATATTATTATTCTAAAATATTTGATAATTAATATCATATATGCTATCTGATTAAAACTAATATATACCCTTCAGTACAAATTATATTTACTCTTTGTGCATCATTAGTTATTAAAAATGCCCTTTATTTCATGCGAGCAGAGGAGTTTCTCATCATGTTGTTAAATATTGCAAAGCAACCTACAGCACCAAGACCTGTTAGCAAGCAAGCATTTGTTTATTTATACCTCATTACAAAGGTATGTAAATCAGTCACTACATTTTTTCTAAACTGTATTCAAATTTTCCCACCAGACATATCTGTATGAAATCGGAATCTTTCAAATTTTTTCTCTGCTAGATGCGAGGATTCAAGCAAGTTGTACGTCTGCTACCACATGAAGTATCAGATATGGAACCACTCTTGACTCTTATTGAAGCTCAAGATCCTTCAGACTTTGAAGTAAGATTTTTTTTTAAATTGGATTCATTTGTTTCATCTTAGTAATACTTAAAAAAAAATTAACTTCTTTGAAATTTTATTGCAAAAGAATGTGTCACATTGAACTATTTATTAGTCTGTATAACTGATGAACAGGTATTATTTCATTAACTACAAGTATATCATTTAAAAAAAAAATTGTTGAAAGGCTTATTAGTGATTTTGGGACTTTACAAGTCAGCATTATGAGACTCTTTATAAAAAAAAACTTTTTTTTTTAATCTGCAAACAAACAACATATAGAATAATATAAACAATGATCAAATGCAACATTACAGAAAATAAAATCATTTAGGGCTTTAGTTAAATTGGGTGTAGACTCAAAAAAAATAATTAAAAATCATTTTAGTTTTTTAAAGTAGTGTTTAAGTGATTTAAAGTTTAAGTATGCTTGTTGAATCATGAGAAGTGTCATTTAAATAGGTAGGTATCAGCAGAGCAGTCAGATTATTTCATGTGACCCATACATTTGCTTCTGAATTCTGGTAGTTCTTTATATCAGTAGGTTGACAATCCTTTATTGTATTAAAAACCAAAGATTTGTTTCTCTGCAACATGATGTGTTTGTGTTTCTCAGTGCCAGTTACTTGTGTTATGCTTAAACCTTCTTTGTTGGTCATCTGGTTCTTATGTCTTATGGCGTTAACTCAAAGTGAATCATATCTGCCCCCAAAACATTACAAATTTGTTCATGTAGTTATAACCACTCATTTCACTAACTGCTTATATTTCCAATATTATCTGTAACTTTGTCATATTTCATTTTTTTCTTTCTAGTTTTATGGTAAACATATTGGTTCTAGGCCATTAGCCAAACTGCTAGTTGCAGGGTGGGGGAATTGACAGAGGGTAAAAGTCCTGCTTTGAACATATCAGTGATGGTGTTTAACATATAGAGTTTTGGACTTCCAGAATTAGATACATATCTTAACTTGCTCTAAAACTCATTTCCCAACATTTTCTAAACAAAGGTAGCAGCTAAGCCCAAACAATAAGCCTACTCGTTTTTTACTTTTTACTCTTATATGTAGTATAGAGGAAGTATTGTAATCGTGCAAAAAATTGAAATAGAGATTTTCATAAATCTCGATGTTTTACACCTCCCCAAGTCGGGAAAATATAGTTTTGTAATTTTGTCTGTGTGTGTGTGGATGTGTGTCTGTTAACACGATAACTTGAGAATCGTCACAGCGATTTCCGGTAACCGGAAGTGTAACCTATTCTACATTTTTTTTAAAAAGCCTATAAGTTGAGTACTGTTTCAGATAGATAGACGACATTTCACATATAAATACAAGATCTAATTCTCTGCCTTCTCTCAAATTTTGAGTAATTTTCATTCACCGGAAGTAGTACTTTACGCTATTTCCGATTTCTGAAGAAAAAAAAACGCATATTCGAGAAAGTTTAGGGGAAATCACTCCCGCTTTATTCTCCTTTAGAAGCTTTTCTTCTCTCTTATGTAAAGAGTATTGTTCCAGCTATTCATTCCGTCTCGGCGGACGTACTGGTCTGACTCAGCCGTTAGTGCTAAAAGTTTGACATGATTCAGCTGTAACGTACTTACTCATATTTAATCTGGGACTTCTCCATTAGTCATAGACATACGTCCACATTTGTATCTTCGATTATCTCCCGACACACGAAACATAACACAGACCCAACTCAATAGGGTTTAAGTATTGACTATTTTTGCGGTATTATTTGACTAAATCGCCAAGAACCCAATCGGCTGTGCACTTTATGAATACCACTAGTAGAGTAGATGTAGTTAAACGGGGAATACTATAGCGTTATGTTATCTGTTGTTGTTTTTAAATTAGTCACCCGTGAGTCACAACCGTATCGGTTAATGTGGGGTAGTTTTTCTCCACGAGTTCTGACCTTCGATAATCCGTGTCGGTGTTGGAAACCAGCTCGCGATGATTCTAATTAGCACGCGTTTTTTTAATCGAGTTAAAATATTTTGTCAGAGTACGGCGCTGAGCATTCCAAATCCAATATTGTCCATACCCCCACCCCACCCCAGGTAATAAGTTAAATTTTCTAGGCCCAAGGTATTCTGTCTAATTTCTGTGTCAATATGGAGATGTGTTGGCAGCGCACTGATCTATAATTAGTAACTTATGGAGAGAAGGGGAAGTAACTTTAGTTTGAGTTAGACTGACATTTCAAACGAGTAGAAGGGCGCGTAAGGTATGAGTGCAGTACATTACCTTCAATTTTATTTGTTTAGCTATTTATTTATTAGTTTATTACGCTTTGATTATTTTAAAATATGCTAAACTATTTGTAATACCTAGTGCTGTAAATTGTGAGATTATGGTTTAAATCGTCGGTCTATAATAAAAGTCTACGAAAATGAAACGTGTTCGTTAGCTCTTTAAATTCTTACAACTGTCAGACAAGTAGGACATGAAGACTAATACAGTCTTTGGTCCACCCTATCTACGAACTTTGTTAGTATTTCTGAAATACTTGTTGTAGAAGATAAATTCATAGTATAGAAAAAAAAACCCAACCAACTGGCGCGTTCTTAGTAGTGTTTGCACTATTTGGCTATCTATACGATTATACTGTGTATGCAAAACCTTGTCACATTTGATGTCAAGGTTTCTGTTGAGCGGAGTACCGATCATTCACGACCAACAAAATCTGTTTTAAAATTATTGATACAGTTGCGATCAAAATCTCGCACGACGCTTTTAAAGGCGAGCGCCCACATGTCATTACTGAGGTAGATACGATTTCTGTTTTTTTTACGTTCACCGCTCCCCCATTAGAGCAAAGTGTTGTGTTTAATGTCCACATCAGTGACACAAGAAAAGTGACGAGAAACACGGTGTTCGCGTGCTGCGATTATTGTGTGACAATAGCAGTGGTGAAACTCGCCGGGACTCGCGTTCGTAATAAACGAAATTAAGTTAAAACCTCCATTTTTACCTCACAACGCATATTTATATTAGGGGTCATCCATAAATGACGTCACGCTTTTTTGACGATTTTTACCTCCCCTCTCCCCTCCGTCACACGTTGTCACAAAAAACCAGACCCCCCCCCCTAAAATGACGTCACACCTCAGCCTACAACCCCCCTCAAAATTGCAGTTGAATTTTTTTTTTAAACATTAAGTTTTTCCAAAATCTTGTCTGAAATCTGTCAAAATAGAGTATTTTAATCAATTCCTATTACAACTTATTAAAACTGTTTTCTAAAGCGCAAAATAACGTTCGTTTTCTAACATTTCTTTTCTATAAAGCAAAAGTGTGACGTCGCACCATCTGACCCCCCCCCCTCATCACACATCGTCACAAAATTACCGACCCCCCCTCCCCCCTACGAGTGTGACGTCATTTATGGACGACCCCTTATGAAATCGGACTGCCGGGGAAATGATCGTTCTCTTGGCGATTGGTAGACTCTTTAGGCTAGATCGCTGTTCAGCTTGACATGATGGAGAGAGACAAACGTGTTGAGCCGCAACTCGTTTCTAACTAAAGAAAGTCCGTCTTAAAAATAAAAATATCCTTTAAAATGGCGTCACGCTTTTGTGCCATTGGATACACCCTGTTGTCACACATAGCAAAAGTCAAAACCCTCTAACATGACATAAGACATATTCCGATTATTTCTGTAAATATTAATTGAGTTGTTTCCCTTCCATAAGGGGCTATAACCAAGATAGGTTTAGTTTGCTATACATTAATTTAGTTTAATTCCCTTCATAAAGAAAATGAGTTTATATAATAACTACTGTTAAATATTTGCTAGCTATGTTGTTTTAGTTTACTCTTTCTTTCCCAATAGTTGTACTGTCCTTACTGATTTAACTCATGAATTATTAACCCCATCTTCCCAACAGTTGTGGGAAACCCGCTATGTACTGCTAGTGTGGCTCTCCATTGTGTGTCTGATACCGTTTGACCTGAAGAGATTGGACAGCAACCTTCAACAGGGTGACGGCAACATCAAAACCAAAACAATGGACAGGATCATGGCTATATGTAAAGTAAGTCAGCAACATTAAAACCAAAACAATGGACAGGATCATGGCTATATGTAAAGTAAGTCAGCAACATTAAAACCAAAACAATGGACAGGATCATGGCTATATGTAAAGTAAGTCAGCAACATTAAAACCAAAACAATGGACAGGATCATGGCTATATGTAAAGTAAGTCAGCAACATTAAAACCAAAACAATGGACAGGATCATGGCTATATGTAAAGTAAGTCAGCAACATTAAAACCAAAACAATGGACAGGATCATGGCTATATGTAAAGTAAGTCAGCAACATTAAAACCAAAACAATGGACAGGATCATGGCTATATGTAAAGTAAGTCAGCAACATTAAAACCAAAACAATGGACAGGATCATGGCTATATGTAAAGTAAGTCAGCAACATTAAAACCAAAACAATGGACAGGATCATGGCTATATGTAAAGTAAGTCAGCAACATTAAAACAATGGACAGGATCATGGCTATATGTAAAGTAAGTCAGCAACATTAAAACAATGGACAGGATCATGGCTATATGTAAAGTAAGTCAGCAACATTAAAACAATGGACAGGATCATGGCTATATGTAAAGTAAGTCAGCAACATTAAAACAATGGACAGGATCATGGCTATATGTAAAGTAAGTCAGCAACATTAAAACAATGGACAGGATCATGGCTATATGTAAAGTAAGTCAGCAACATTAAAACAATGGACAGGATCATGGCTATATGTAAAGTAAGTCAACAACATTAAAACCAAAACAGTGGACAGGATCATGGCTATATGTAAAGTAAGTCAGCAACATTAAAACCAAAACAATGGACAGGATCATGGTTTTATATAAAGTAAGTTGTCATGTAATGTTGTAAATAATTTGTTGTGTTGTATTGTTCCAGAACTACCTGTCATGTAATGTTGTAAATAATGTGTTGTGTTGTAAATAATGTGTTGTATTCTATTGTTCCAGAACTACCTGTCATGTAATGTTGTAAATAATTTGTTGTATTCTATTGTTCCAGAACTACCTGTCATGTAATGTTGTAAATAATGTGTTGTATTCCATTGTTCCAGAACTACCTGTCATGTTGTAAATAATGTGTTGTATTCCATTGTTCCAGAACTACCTGTCATGTAATGTTGTAAATAATTTGTTGTGTTGTAAATAATGTGTAATGTTGTAAATAATGTGTTGTATTCTATTGTTTCAGAACTATCTGTCAGTGAATGACAAGAGCAGGGACGCTGCTGCTTACCTGATGTCAAAATTTCTGACACGACCTGACGTCAAACAAGATCTCTTGCCGCAGTGTCTGGACTGGATGATGCAGACCTTAAAAACAGCTGATTGTAAGTTACCACAATTGTCTTCATTAACCAACCCATAATGTGCTGGCTTTTCCCTGCTGACATTCCATGCTTACAGATAATAATTTCCTGACATTCCATGCTTACAGATAATAATGTCCTGACATTCCATGCTTACAGATAATAATGTCCTGACATTCCATGCTTACAGATAATAATTTCCTGACATTCCATGCTTACAGATAATAATTTCCTGACATTCCATGCTTACAGATAATAATGTCCTGACATTCCATGCTTACAGATAATAATGTCCTGACATTCCATACTTACAGATAATAATGTCCTGACATTCCATGCTTACAGATAATAATGTCCTGACATTCCATGCTTACAGATAATAATGTCCTGACATTCCATGCTTACAGATAATAAAGTCCTGACATTCCATACTTACAGATAATAATGTCCTGACATTCCATGCTTACAGATAATAATGTCCTGACATTCCATGCTTACAGATAATAATGTCCTGACATTCCATGCTTACAGATAATAATGTCCTGACATTCCATGCTTACAGATAATAATGTCCTGACATTCCATGCTTACAGATAATAATGTCCTGACATTCCATGCTTACAGATAATAAAGTCCTGACATTCCATGCTTACAGATAATAATGTCCTGACATTCCATGCTTACAGATAATAATGTCCTGACATTCCACGCTTACAACTAATAATGTCCTAGCTTATTCCATGCTTACAGATAATAATGTTCTGACATTCCATGCTTACAGATAATAATGTCCTGAATTATTCCACGCTTACAGATAATAATGTCCTGAATTATTCCATGCCTACAGATAATAATGTCCTGGCTTATTCCATGCTTACAGATAATAATGTCCTGACATTCCTTGCTTACAGATAATAATGTCCTGACATTCCATACTTACAGATAATAATGTCCTGACATTCCATGCTTACAGATAATAATGTCCTGACATTCCATGCTTACAGATAATAATGTCCTGACATTCCATGCTTACAGATAATAATGTCCTGACATTCCATACTTACAGATAATAATGTCCTGACATTCCATGCTTACAGATAATAATGTCCTGACATTCCATGCTTACAGATAATAATGTCCTGACATTCCATGCTTACAGATAATAATGTCCTGACATTCCATGCTTACAGATAATAATGTCCTGACATTCCATGCTTACAGATAATAATGTCCTGACATTCCACGCTTACAACTAATAATGTCCTAGCTTATTCCATGCTTACAGATAATAATGTTCTGACATTCCATGCTTACAGATAATAATGTCCTGAATTATTCCACGCTTACAGATAATAATGTCCTGAATTATTCCATGCCTACAGATACTAATGTCCTGACATTCCATGCTTACAGATAATAATGTCCTGACATTCCATGCTTACAGATAATAATGTCCTGAATTATTCCATGCCTACAGATACTAATGTCCTGACATTCCATGCTTACAGATAATAATGTCCTGACATTCCATGCTTACAGATAATAATGTCCTGAATTATTCCATGCCTACAGATAATAATGTCCTGAATTATTCCATGCCTACAGATAATAATGTCCTGGCTTATTCCATGCTTACAGATAATAATGTCCTGACATTCCATGCTTACAGATAATAATGTCCTGACATTCCATGCTTACAGATAATAATTTCCTGACATTCCATGCTTACAGATAACAATGTCCTGACATTCCATGCTTACAGATAATAATTTCCTGACATTCCATGCTTACAGATAATAATGTCCTGACATTCCATGCTTACAGATAACAATGTCCAGGGCCGCAGTCAGCTGTGTGGTGTCCTGAGCTCTCTAGCGCTGCTGTTCCAGCATGGGAAAAGGGAGGACTTACTGCAGTTTGGTAGGATAAAATTGTTGGATCAAATGTTGTATGTCAGTTTGGTAGGATAAAATTGTTGCATCAAATGGTGTATGTGTACTTGCTGCAGTTTGGTAGGATAAAGTTGTTGGATTAAATGTTGTATGTGTACTTGCTGCAGTTTGGTAGGATAAAATTGTTGGATCAAATGTTGTATGTCAGTTTGGTAGGATAAAATTGTTGCATCAAATGTTGTATGTCAGTTTGGTAGGATAAAATTGTTGTATCAAATGTTTTATGTGTACTTACTGCAGTTTGGTAGGATGAAAATTGTTGTATCAAATGTTGTATGTCAGTTTGGTAGGATAAATTGTTGTATCAAATGTTGTATGTCAGTTTGGTAGGATAAAATTGTTGCATCAAATGTTGTATGTGTACTTACTGCAGTTTGGTAGGATGAAAATTGTTGTATCAAATGTTGTATGTCAGATTGGTAGGATAAAATTGTTGCATCAAATGTTGTATGTGTACTTACTGCAGTTTGGTAGGATGAAAATTGTTGTATTAAATGTTGTATGTCAGTTTGGTAGGATAAAATTGTTGGATCAAATGTTGTATGTCAGTTTGGTAGGATAAAATTGTTGGATCAAATGTTGTATGTCAGTTTGGTAGGATAAAATTGTTGTATCAAATGTTGTATGTCAGTTTGGTAGGATAAAATTGTTGGATTAAATGTTGTATGTCAGTTTGGTAGGATAAAATTGTTGTTTCAAATGTTGTATGTCAGTTTGGTAGGATAAAATTGTTGGATCAAATGTTGTATGTCAGTTTGGTAGGATAAAATTGTTGCATCAAATGTTGTATGTGTACTTACTGCAGTTTGGTAGGATGAAAATTGTTGTATCAAATGTTGTATGTCAGTTTGGTAGGATAAAATTGTTGGATCAAATGTTGTATGTCAGTTTGGTAGGATAAAATTGTTGGATCAAATGTTGTATGTCAGTTTGGTAGGATAAAATTGTTGTATCAAATGTTGTATGTCAGTTTGGTAGGATAAAATTGTTGGATTAAATGTTGTATGTCAGTTTGGTAGGATAAAATTGTTGTTTCAAATGTTGTATGTCAGTTTGGTAGGATAAAATTGTTGGATCAAATGTTGTATGTCAGTTTGGTAGGATAAAATTGTTGGATCAAATGTTGTATGTGTACTTACTGCAGTTTGGTAGGATAAATTGTTGTATCAAATGTTGTATGTCAGTTTGGTAGGATAAAATTGTTGCATCAAATGTTGTATGTGTACTTACTGCAGTTTGGTAGGATAAATTGTTGTATCAAATGTTGTATGTCAGTTTGGTAGGATAAAATTGTTGCATCAAATGTTGTATGTGTACTTACTGCAGTTTGGTAGGATGAAAATTGTTGTATCAAATGTTGTATGTCAGTTTGGTAGGATAAAATTGTTGCATCAAATGTTGTATGTGTACTTACTGCAGTTTGGTAGGATGAAAATTGTTGTATCAAATGTTGTATGTCAGTTTGGTAGGATAAAATTGTTGGATCAAATGTTGTATGTCAGTTTGGTAGGATAAAATTGTTGGATCAAATGTTGTATGTCAGTTTGGTAGGATAAAATTGTTGTATCAAATGTTGTATGTCAGTTTGGTAGGATAAAATTGTTGGATTAAATGTTGTATGTCAGTTTGGTAGGATAAAATTGTTGTTTCAAATGTTGTATGTCAGTTTGGTAGGATAAAATTGTTGGATCAAATGTTGTATGTCAGTTTGGTAGGATAAAATTGTAGGATCAAATGTTGTATGTGTACTTACTGCAGTTTGGTAGGATGAAAATTGTTGTATCAAATGTTGTATGTCAGTTTGGTAGGATAAAATTGTTGGATCAAATGTTGTATGTGTACTTACTGCAGTTTGGTAGGATGAAAATTGTTGTATCAAATGTTGTATGTCAGTTTGGTAGGATAAAATTGTTGGATCAAATGTTGTATGTCAGTTTGGTAGGATAAAATTGTTGGATCAAATGTTGTATGTCAGTTTGGTAGGATAAAATTGTTGTATCAAATGTTGTATGTCAGTTTGGTAGGATAAAATTGTTGGATTAAATGTTGTATGTCAGTTTGGTAGGATAAAATTGTTGTTTCAAATGTTGTATGTCAGTTTGGTAGGATAAAATTGTTGGATCAAATGTTGTATGTCAGTTTGGTAGGATGAAAATTGTTGGATCAAATGTTGTATTGTGCTAAGGTTTTGACATGTATGTGTGTTGCTGGTATACAAATGTGTTATTGGCATTTGTGTGTGTGTTGACATTTGTATTGTTCATTTAGACTTTGCTGAGAGCTGATCATGTGTGTTGTTAATATGTGTGAGATGTTGACATTTGTGTGTGTAGCTGACATTTGTGTGTTTTTGACATTTGTGTGTGTAGCTGACATTTGTATGTTGTTGACATTTGTGTGTTGTTGACATTTGCGTGGTGCTGACATTTGTGTGTGAGCTGACATTTGTGTGTTTGTTGACATTGTGCATGTTGTTAACATGTATGTGTGTGTTGTTGACATTTGTGTGTGTTGCTGACATTTGTGTGTTTGTTGACATTTGTGTGTGTTGTTGACATTTGTTCAAAAGTCCTGACATTTGTACATGTTGCCCCACCAGCTCCTACTGTGCTGAAAGTTGTGCTAGAGGCTGACCTGGAGAAATGTGAAAGCTGTGTCATACGCAAACTGCTGGGGAAACTCATTCAAAGGCTGGGTCTGACCTTTCTCAAGTTCAGGGTCACTGCATGGAGGTCATTCACTTTTTTTACTTAAAATTGTTTTACTTAACAGACTGAATTTAATTGTAATGTTTAAAATTTCTGTTATAATATTGTATATTAGTTTCCTTAAAAAACACGAGTGACTACTATTTTGTCATAAAACAGGTACAACAGAGGAAATAGATCACTTGCAGCCAATCTAGGGGGAGTGTCTACTACATCTAATGGGGGAGGTAACTCTGAACTTACTGTTGGGGAAGAGGATGAAGATATTGATGTGCCAGAGGAGATGGAAGACATTATAGGTATGCCGTGTGGTTTATTTTTTAAAAGAGGTAATCTGTTTTTTTTTAAAATTAAGTTCATATAAGATACAAATAAGTACTCTATGAGTTTGATCTATTAAGTTTTCTGGGATTAAAAGTTAAGATTAGATTTGTAAACACTTAATTAAATAACATCCCATAAAGCTTATGATTATCTCTTTTTTTAACCACTCTTTAGAACATCTGCTGGTGCATTTAAAAGACAAGGAAACCATTGTCAGGTGGACAGCTGCTAAAGGGTTAAGTATTTATTAACTTTTAGACTTTAAGGCTGAACAACTATTACCCATCGAGCAAGAATTAAGTAGTTTTGTAAGAATCTCTTTCCCAGTGGTCATTGCCTTAAAGTCAACTGCTTCAACAAAATCTAAAAATACTTAGATTGTAAAATAAAATTATTTAGTTTTTTTAATAAATTAATATTTTTTAAAAAATAATAAACAACCTGAGTTCACATTCATTTCTAACTCCTAGCCAAATTTTTAACAGTTTAATGAGACTTTTTATTTTTCTAACTTATTTTTCTTAACTTTATTAGCTGCTGAGCAATGTATGTTAAAAACTATATCAGGAAAATCTTGTATTCTGCAAAGATTCTAACTGCTTGGGTAGATTTTGATTTAGATCATCCAACTCTCAATTTATTTTAAACATTTCAAAATTTGGCTCCAACCACAGGATTGGTCGAGTGACAGGACAACTCCCTAAGGAGCTGGCAGATGATGTGGTCGGGTCTGTTTTAGATTTGTTCAGTTTCCAAGAAACAGATGGGGCCTGGCATGGAGGTTGGTCCAGACTTTGTACTCTCTTTTGTGGGGTCTGTGTTCTTAAAGTTATTTTTGGTCTTTATATTCTCTTCTACTTAACAGTTAATTTGATAGTAATATTAAGTGTTCTCCCTTTAAAAAATGACTTTATTTTATCAGGGTGTTTGGCTTTGGCTGAGCTTGGTCGTAGAGGACTCTTATTACCAGAGCGTCTTAAAGATGGTATGGTTAACTTGAACATGAGTTGCTGTCATTGTTTAACATCAGTATAACACATACATGTATCTTCTATACACATGAATTCATTTATTTATTAGTTTGGATCATTATACTTATCAGCTTTAAATTAAATTCTTATAAACTTTGCAAGAAATTTATAAAAAATTAAATGAAATAATTGTTTAAATAATCATATTTAGTCAGCTGAATGGCCAAACTGTCCTGATCTCAATAGTAAGTTTGTATTTGCAACACATTATTCTTGAATGAAAATGCCACAGCCTTAATGTTTTACCCACTCCCCTCTCTAGTGGTGCCAGTTATAATGAAAGCCCTGATGTATGATGAAAAAAGAGGCAACTTCTCTGTGGGAGCCCACGTCAGAGACGCAGCGTGCTACGTGTGCTGGGCTTTTGCCAGGGCCTACGAACCCTCAGACATTGTTTGTTATGTAGATCAAATAGCCAAGTAAGTTGAGATACATTTTATTCTTTCATCGCTCCATATAGTATAAAAACAGCATGCAGCTTTAGCAGTCAGCTGTTTGGAGCAGTCAACTTTGTTTAGCAGCCAACTCACTCAGATATTTGGCTCTAAATGCATGTACATTTAATTAGAAATAACCAAAATTTCATAAGTGAAATCCAAAACTCTTTCCTCATATTTTTCCTCATATTTTTGACTTCAGCAAAGCAAATGATTTTACTGTGGGGGGGGGGGGCACTATTAGAAGATGTAACTAAGCATATTTATGCTGTTTACTTGTTTGCAGTTACCTGATTATCGTCTCAGTGTTTGATCGTGAGGTCAATGTCAGACGAGCGGCAGCCGCAGCCTTCCAGGAGAATGTAGGCCGTCAGGTCAGGGCCACTTCCTGTTCATTTTATTCATTAGTTAATTTTTTTAATTAGAGCTTCAGTTAATTTTGTTACCATACATATTTTAAAAAAAACATTTCAAAATTATTATATTGATTGAATTAAATTAAAGTAGTGTTTAAAAAAAAAAGTTTTAGTAGAAATTAAGCAATTACTACTTTTATGTAAGTTGTTGTTTTAAATGTAATTTTGGTATGAACAGGGCACATTTCCTCATGGTATTGACATCCTCACTACAGTTGATTACTTCGCTGTTGGCAACAGGCCCAGGTGTTATCTGGAGCTCAGGTATTGTTGTCTGTCATTGACAGCTTCATTCTGACAATCTAGTTTGTTGTGGGCAGTAAGCTTCATTATGACAGTTTGAATGAAAAATAATTGAATAATTTTTTTAAATCAATATTTTATTCCTATGAAATTATTTTGTTTCAGTGTTTACATAGCCAACTTCAAAGAATACACGCTAGGTGTGATTGACCATCTGACTGATGTTAAAATTGCCCACTGGGACAGGTACTGTGTCAACTGTGTGTACATGTTCTGTTATGTCAAACCTGCTCAATGATGTGTGTTGATAAAGTAAGCCATATTGTCCTTATAACATTTCTATTATGCATAGATTTAACCCTGTTGTTTTTTTACTTTCAGTGTGATCAGAGAACTTTCATCAAAAGCTCTCCACAGGCTCACAGCTTGTGCCCCTGACTACATGGCCACTACAGGTAGGTCTAAGTGACATTGGTAACTACATGGCCACTACAGGTAGGTCTAAGTAACGCTGGTTAGAGAAGTATGGTCACAACAAAAACTCAGGTGCTTTTAGTAGTGGAAGAAGAAAGACCTGGGGGGGGGAGTATTTTTTGTTTGTTGCAGCACACTTACGATTATGTGATTACAGCTTATGTGGTATTTGTAAATATTTAAACACTTATCAAACAGATTTTATTCTTTGAATATGGTAAAATAGAAGTTTCTAGATTTTTTGTGTTGATCATGATATGTATTTAGTATAAACTCACATTGTTAAAAATTGTCAACATTTGTTCTGTTAAAACCTGACCCCTCTAACTTGACTCCACTAACCTGACCCCTTTAACCTGATCCCGCTAACCTGACCCCTCTAACCTGACCCCACTAACCTGACCCCACTAACCTGCCCCCTCTAACCTGATCCCGCTAACCTGACCCCACTAACCTGACACCACTAACCAGACCCCACTAACCTGACCCCACTAGCCTGACCCCACTAACCTGACCCCACTAACCTGACCCCACTAACCTGACCCCACTAACCTGACCCCACTAAACTCACCCTATTAACCTAACCCCACGAACCTGGCCCTACTAACCTGACCCCACTAACCTGACCCCACTAAACTCACCCTATTAACCTAACCCCACGAACCTGGCCCTACTAACCTGAACCCACTAACCTGACCCCACTAACCTGAACCCACTAACCAGACCCCACTAACCTGACCCCCCTAACCTGCCCCCTCTAACCTGACCCTACTAACCTGACCCCACTAACCTGACCCCTCTAACCTGCCCCCTCTAACCTGGCCCTTCTAACGTGACCCCTCTAACCTGACCCCACTAACCTGACCCCACTAACCTAACCCCACTTACCTGACCCCACTAATCTGACCCCACTGACCTGACCCCACTAACCTGACCCCACTAACTTGACCCCACTAACCTGATCCCGCTAACCTGACCCCACTAACCTGCCCCCTCTAACCTGACCCTACTAACCTGACCCCACTAACCTGACCCCTCTAACCTGCCCCCTCTAACCTGGCCCTTCTAACGTGACCCCTCTAACCTGACCCCACTAACCTGACCCCACTAACCTAACCCCACTTACCTGACCCCACTAATCTGACCCCACTGACCTGACCCCACTAACCTGACCCCACTAACTTGACCCCACTAACCTGATCCCGCTAACCTGACCCCACTAACCTGACCCCACTAACCTGGCCCTTCTAACGTGACCCCTCTAACCTGACCCCACTAACCTGACCCCACTAACCTGACCCCACTAATCTTCCTCCTCTCATCCACCAGTACTGCCCAAGCTACTGCCTCTAACAACTGGGCTGGATTTGTTCCAGCGACATGGTGCCATCCTTGCCATAGCTGAAATTCTACATGCTCTCTATGATATTTCCAAATCTAGGGGAGTGTAAGTCTAGCAACTATTTCAGTTTTCTAAATCATGACCCACAACAATAGCTTTGTTTTGTGTTGTTTTCATTTTAGTTGAAAATAAAGTATTTAACCATATTCAGGTATATCTTTACATATGAAAATAATATATATATATATATATATATATATATATATATATATATATATATATATATATATATATATATATATATATATATATATATATATATATATATATATATATATATATATATATATATATATACATATAGTATAGAGGTAAGCAAAAATGCCAAGAAAGTAATTAAATCTTTGTGTAACTGACTAATTGTCAATTTTTAACAGGGAACTAGTCAAATTATTAAACGATGATACAGTGGAAGGGATACAAGATATATCAAAAAAGGTATTTAAAATTGCATCTTCAGTTAAACTTTTTTTTACATACGCGTATTTTTTAAAAACATTTTTCTAGGTATTGATCAAGATTTTGCCTTTATTTCCATAGCTCCAAGACCTAAAGATGTTCAAGCGACATGGAGGAGAGTATATGAGAACATCTGGTAATTACTGTTGATTTTTTCTTCTTAATTTGACTAGCCAAGCCTTTGCTGTGATCATGAATATTTTAATTCCTTTATTGTGAACCAAAATAAATATATTTTAGACAAGATTTAACAGAGTATATGGGGGGTCGGCGTGGTCGAGTCGGTAAAGCTCATGCTTGCTGAACCGAAAAGTCTTGAGTTCGAACCCTCGTTAGCTGGGGACAGCCACTCTTCTAGGAGAGACAACTCCAAAATCAAACAACTGCTGCCTTGTAGTTTGTTCTTGGTTGGACAAAGGCTATGGAAGCAAATCCAAAAAGATAAGCAGGCTGAAATCGGAGTCAATGGCCTCAATGGCGCATAACCAGTTGACACGAAATCCTTAATTGTGATGGAAGCATGGTCGAGTTGGCAAAGCTCATGGTTGATAAATTTGAAAAAAAGTCTCGAGTTCAAACCCTCTGGCAGATAAGGCTCGATCCCTCCCAACACTAAAAATTAAGAACGAAGAAGAAGAAGAAGAACAGAGTATATAATATTTTGTGAAACAAGATTTACATTCATTTTTTTATAGAATACAAAACATTTTTTAGACAAGGTTAAACATTTTTGTTTTCAGTGTGCTGTCTCATAGAGAAATGTGCGTTGTCCAAAATGCCTTTTCATAAAAAGCCAGTCTTAGGTGAGTGCTTAACATGCATAGAGACTTAAATATGTAAAAACAAATGTCTGTATAAATCAGATAAAAATGCATGATTTATTTTTCTTTCTATTAGAATTGTGGCAGTCTTTGATAGATGAGTGTCTGACTAAGATAGAGCCAGAGATACAGGTAGGATTTTGTTCCTTAAAAATCTCAAACGTGAATGTAGTAACTTACACTTATAGACGTTATTTTACTAAAAAGTAGAGATTATATATAGCATTTATAAAAACTTTTTGATTTTTGTCATGAGCATATCACAGACCAATCACTAGCCTTGTTACAGTTTTCTTTACCCTTCTCTTAAATTTTTAAAAGTTTGGCCTTCAAAAGCTGGTGAATCCTTTTGAACTCAATCAAAGAATGACATTTTATTTTAACTTCAAAATAGTAACAGCTAAAACATGTACTTAAGATTCACACATGTAGGGCTGGTAAGTAGGTCATCAACCTCTTCTACGGCTTAATAAAACCTGCATAAGCCATAGAACTTGTTGGTGACCTACTTACCAGCCCTATTCTTTGTCAACCTCCATTCATCCTTTAGGCGGCAGCTGTCTCAGCCATTCCTCCATTCTTCTCTGAGTACTACACAAAACCTGATGGCTCAGTTTATGAAGACATCCAAGGTGGGTACAGTTAGAGCAACCATTTTCTCTGCTCCCATTGTTAAACACTGTTTCAGGAAATTTTCATTGAAATAAATGCCTAAAACTTAAGAGTTGTTCCTCATTTCAGGAAATTCTCATTGAAATATTAAGTGTCAAAACATTAGAGTTGTTCATCTTTATTGTTTTAAGTTACTAAAACTTGTCAACTGTCCATGAAATGTTCCAGAGTCCATTCTGTCTCACTACCTGACTGAACTCAAGTCCTCCAACCAAGCTACAAGGTAACATACAGCTATTTGGGTGGCTAAGTAAAGAAAACTTGATTCATGGTTGTTTTAAACACAATTCATGAAGAGTTATATATTGTAATGCCGTGAGCACTATAATGCAGAATTATTTTTTTAAATACAAAAAAATAGTTTCATCATTTCTATATTTGTTATTGATAGTGAAAAATATTACTTTATTTGTTACTTATAATTAACAATAAGTATGTTTTAATACAACATTATTGTGAAATTAAGTTTATAATAGACTTATAAATAAATATTAAAATTATGTACATTTTTGTTAATGTATGACTATTTCTCCCCCCTCATGTTCCAGGCAAGGTCATAGTTTAGCCATTGGGGCATTACCTGAAGCAGTATTGAAGGGTCAGCTGTCCAGAGTGATGAGTGGGGTTATTGCTGTCTCCAAGATTACAGAGAAAGAAGAGAAGATGGCAGAGGCTAGAAGAGATGCTGTCAAAGCTTTATCCAAGTAACTAGTGACATTTTTTTTACTCAGTCAAAGCTTTATCCAAGTAACTAGTGACATTTTTTTTTTACTCAGTCAAAGCTTTATCCAAGTAACTAGTGACATTTTTTTACTCAGTCAAAGCTTTATCCAAGTAAGTAGTGACATTTTTTTTACTCAGTCAAAGCTTTATCCAAGTAACTAGTGACATTTTTTTTACTCAGTCAAAGCTTTATTCAAGTAACTAGTGACATTTTTTTTTAGTCAGTCAAAGCTTTATCCAAGTAACTAGTGGCATTTTTTTTTACTCAGTCAAAGCTTTTACTATTTAACTGGGATAAACCAACAGCACTTGATAGTCATTTAGAATTATGGATTGAGGGTAGAGGTTGAGAATTGATGTTAGAGTTTATGTATGTTGAGGGGATGGTGTGATTGGATGATAATGTGCATGACTACTAACCCAAAAGTCGCGAGTTTGGATCCAGAGCTCAAGTCCGTAGGTCATCCCTGAGTCCACCCAGCACTGATGAGTATCTGACTCATGTAAGGGAAAGTAAAGACAGCTGGGCATAATGCTGAAAACTTTATCCTTTTATATGCCAAGATCAGTCATCACGTGAACTCTACTTCATCTGTCTGTTCAAAAGGGTAAAACCATGTTGAGACATGATATCTCAGAACAAGATTCTTAATATTTCAGATTTGAAACCTCCAGTTCCCAGAAAAATGTGCAATTGGAAAACTGGGCACACAGAAAAAATGCGCAAATGCAAACTAATTATACTAATACACTTTAATTTTATCATATTTCGAGGAAATATGTTTTATTACGCCACAGTGCAGATGCAGTCACTCTTTGTTAATGTCTATAATTGCTCAATTTATGAAAACAAATATGTGTACGGTTTTCCATTGCACAGTTTTCCTGATGTTTCATTATCTGTACTTGTTATTCTGTAAAGAACTGATGTTTGTGTGAAAAGACTTGATATTTCAGTGAGTTTTCTCTTGATGTTTCAGTATCTGTACGACAGTTGGTGTTAGTTTTGATGGGAACCCAGAAGAGGTGATCTGTTCTCGCAATGTAGACGTCGTGTATCAAGCTCTGCTTCAGGCAATGAGGGACTACACCCTGGACAGTAGAGGGGATATTGGGGCGTGGTCAGTACTACACTTTTACCATTACCATTTTATTTTTAAACTTTGTAATATTAACATGACTTTCAAGCCATTTTGAAAAAAAATTTTGCTCGGTATATAATAAATAAGAGAAAAATATCTATAATTATGTAATAATTTAAGTTTTGAAATGTCTTATTAGGGTTAGAGAGGCATCTATGCAAGCACTTCATGATATTACTAGTCGTATTGTTAAAATTGACAGTCAACTTCTCTCCCCTGATATGTAAGTGAATACATATTTTGCTTTTATTTCATGTATTAGTGATGACATTGATTTCCTTTATTTGAATCCTTATTAAAATCACTTAATATTTTTTATATTTAAAAATTAATTTAAATCTGAGAAAGTTATGACCATTGTTTTTCATGTGTAGTTCTTTTTATTGCAGAGTCAGGCGTGTGTTTTGTTGTTTGATTCAACAAGCTGTAGAGAAAATAGACAGAACACGACGACATGCTGGGGTCTTGTTCAGTAATTTGCTGTACCACAAGTAAGCCAGTTAATAGCACAATTTTTGTTTAATTAGACTTACCAGCCAAGTGCAGGTGTTATTTAGCCAAATTTACTGCTGTCATCAGCTAACCACACAATTTTTGTTTAACTAGACTTACCAGCCAAGTGCAGGTGTTATTTAGCCAAATTTATTGCTGTCATCAGCTAACCACACAATATTTTATTAGTTTGTCTGTGAGGCGTTAGATGATTTCTATCTAAGACTTAAATACATTAGTTTCTGTTATTAGGTACTGACCTTGTTATATTTAATCCCCTAGGCCTGGGATTCCTCACATACCACAGGAGGAAGAAGTCAAGGCCATTTTTCCAGAGTAAGTTCCTAGTAAAATATAAGTGTTCAGTATCAAACATTGATAGACTAAATTATAGGAACCTTTATCAGTCGTTTATTTAGCTTGCAACTTTTGTTCATATAAGTGTCATGTACATTAATTTTAAATAAATCATAATTGTGTAATAATGTTTAATTTTTTTTATAGTCTAAAGTTAAAAACTAGCTTCAAGTAAAGTTATGAAATAATTCTATTTTTAAACCAAGTACAGTGTTTGTTCCTTGTAAATGGAAGTTATATTTTATCACTAAATACAATTTGTTTCATGAAAATGAAAGTTCTGTTTTTACAACAAAAAAGTTTGTTTCATGAAAATGAAAGTTCTGTTTTTACAACAAAAAAGTTTGTTTCATGAAAATCAAAGTTCTGTTTTTACAACAAAAAAGTTTGTTTCATGAAAATCAAAGTTCTGTTTTTACAACAAAAAAGTTTGTTTCATGAAAGTTCTAACTTTTTTCAGATCTCTAGTTAAAGTAACAAATTGGGCAGCAGAAGCTGACACATATCCCATGTTTTCTAAACTGCTAGCACTACCACAATACACATACAGTGTTTTGCTGGGGTTGGTGGTCAGTGTAGGTGGGCTCACAGAATCTCTTGTAAGTATTGGCAACCAAGTATTTGCTTTGATTCTGTCAAAACATCTATAAAAATAGAAGCAATATCACTCTCAAGCCACAAAGAGATTGTTTGATACATTAAAGCAATATTGTTTTTAGTGATTGTAAATTGCTTAAAAAATATGATGCAAGTTAATTTATGCTTGCAAGTTATTTTTATTTTTTTCTGTTTGATATTGTGGATTTATGGGAACAATCATTTTCTCAGATCCAACTAAATAAGTTATTTTATATATGTTGTACTGAGTTAATATTTTAATCTATATATATAAAGCAAAGTGGTCGGGTGCCCGATAGGGCACTTCCCGGCGCCGCAGGCGCGTCAAATTTGGCACTAAGGTGCCTTATGGCGATAGAACACGAGGGCCGGTGACGGTTCGGCAAAAAGTCTACGGAGCGGGGGTCAAAACTGACCTCGACTGACCGGCGCCTTATATGGGCTATATTACGAAAAAAAAATTCCTCCGACGACCCCCCTTGAAATTTTGTGAGGTGGTAGGAGAACACCTTGGGGTGTCACAAAAAACTCGGCATATCTGGGAAAACTTCGTAAAGGGGTCAAAACTGACCAGTTGTATTTCCCTATATAATCTTTGTATTTTATGGGAAAAACAGAGGGTCATTTCAACGCAGACTTTAGGGTACTTAAGCTCAGTATAACTGGCTAATTTTTTGCATGCTCCTAGGTCAATGGCTTGACCTTTAGGGAAAACTGTCGGTTACACTCAAAGCCCTCGACGAGGGCTAAAAAGTGACCGCGAGTGAAATTCTCTTTATATGAGCTCTATTACGAAAAAAAAATTCCTCCGACGACCCCCCTTGAAATTTTGTGAGGTGGTAGGAGAACACCTTGGGGTGTCACAAAAAACTCGGCATATCTGGGAAAACTTCGTAAAGGGGTCAAAACTGACCAGTTGTATTTCCCTATATAATCTTTGTATTTTATGGGAAAAACAGAGGGTCATTTCAACGCAGACTTTAGGATACTTAAGCTCAGTATATCTGGCTAATTTTTTGCATGCTTCTAGGTCAATGGCTTGATCTTTAGGGAAAACTGTCGGTTACACTCAAAGCCCTCGACGAGGGCTAAAAAGTGACCGCGAGTGAAATTCTCATTATATGAGCTCTATTACGAAAAAAAATTTCCTCCGACGACCCCCCTTGAAATTTTGTGAGGTGGTAGGAGAACACCTTGGGGTGTCACAAAAAACTCGCCATGTCCGGGAAAAATCGGGAAATGGGTCAAAACTGACCAGTCGTATTTCCCTATATAATCTTTGTATTTTATGGGAAAAACAGAGGGTCATTTCAAAACGGATTTTAGGGCACTTACCCTGTTTACATCTGGCTAATTTTTGACATGTTTATAGGTAAATGGCTTGACCGTAGGGCTGACATGTCGGTCTTACTCAAAGCCCTCGACGAGGGCTAAAAAGTGACCGCGAGTGAAATTCTCTTTATATGAGCTCTATTACGAAAAAAAATTTCCTCCGACGACCCCCCTTGAAATTTTGTGAGGTGGTAGGAGAACACCTTGGGGTGTCACAAAAAACTCGCCATGTCCGGGAAAAATCGGGAAATGGGTCAAAACTGACCAGTCGTATTTCCCTATATAATCAGAGGCGTATCCAGGTTTTCGTTGTAGGGGGAGCGAAAAGAGCAAAAAAAAAGGCGCCGAATTTTTAACACGTTCTATATACATGTATTTTATATATATATATATATATATATATATATATATATATATATATATATATATATATATATATATATATATATATATATATATATATATATATATATATATATATATATATATAATTACTAGCTGTATGTCATTACTTCGCTTTGATGTAAAATAAATTGAAAGTAGCACTCTGAAGAAATAAGAAAAAAACACACAATGTAGGCCGCCAAAACAAACATTGTATCAATCTAAACAAAAAAGCAAACAAAATATACACACACTACAACCAAAAACAATGAACGTTACACAATCTGTTTTGTAATTCTTGTAAAAAATTTCTTACATAGTAATTCCTGGGAAATTATTTAAGACAAGTGAAATAGGGGAAATAATTACTCTCTTAATATAAATATGTATATATCTATACATTTAATTATCAATGTCAATACAAATAAATAATTAGTTTAGAATTATTTAACACTATTCGTATTAACAAAATGTTTTTGTCTATAATCAGAATTAAATATATCGTCATCATAAATGCTAAAGTGTTACAGCATAATGAAAGTTTTTGAAATCAGAGTTGGTATAAAACCACGCTTTTCGATTAAAAAGATACACATTCGGAATAACAGCCTACATTTAACTAAATATCGGTCTTTTAGTTCAGATCATATATTTTTTAATTTACTACTGCTTCTTTGTGTTCCTTTAAGATTATTTTTTAACATAGTGATAGTTATGGGTTAGATCACTGTATTGCTCACACACCTTTTTACTGTCCGGTCACTTTAGGTCAATTATCCCACCCAGTGTATACCTAGGTGTGACATTAATGTCGCTCTACACAATTGTGGTGGTGAGGTGTGGGGGGGGGGGAGAGATAACCAACTCAGAGTGAACATAGCGTCAGTTTTTAGATGACTGTTCTAAACATACATATATATTACACATTTATACTGATTCAGAAATATATTTAAATAAGTAGCAGTGGTATTATGACAATATTTTTTTTTACAGAGGGGTCCATGGGGGAGGAGGGTTGTAACCGTTTCATATAAGTTGCAATCGTAATCACTATCGCCCAAACTGTAAGAATACTACTACTTCATCGTGATGACGTTGTTGACCGTGTCAAAATATCCCCACCGCTACGCAGTTCGCCCATAAGTAAATTTAAATAGACGTAAACGTAGACACTACTAGACTAGTACAATAATGCTTAATTGCTGCATGAAAAGAAATCTTGTGATTCACATAGATGTGCCGACCAAAAATATTTTTTTAACAATTATTGTTTAAAACTTTGAGTTTAAAAAGTTTCCAAAAAGGCGCCACTTTGCTGAAAATGGCCAGAGGGGGAGCGGCCGCTCCCCCTGCTCCCCCCCTGCGTACGCTACTGTATATAATCTTTGTATTTTATGGGAAAAACAGAGGGTCATTTCAAAACGGATTTTAGGGCACTTACCCTGTTTACATCTGGCTAATTTTTGGCATGTTTATAGGTAAATGGCTTGACCGTAGGGCAGACCTGTCGGTCTTACTCAAAGCCCTCGACGAGGGCTAAAAAGTGACCGCGAGTGAAATTCTCTTTATATGAGCTCTATTACGAAAAAAAATTTCCTCCGACGACCCCCCTTGATATTTTGTGAGGTGGTAGGAGAACGCCTTGGGGTGTCACAAAAAACTCGCCATGTCCGGGAAAAATCGGGAAATTGGTCAAAACTGACCAGTCGTATTTCCCTATATAATCTTTGTATTTTATGGGAAAAACGGAGGGTCATTTCAAAACGGATTTTAGGGCACTTACCCTATTTACATCTGGCTAATTTTTGGCATGTTTATAGGAAAATGGCTTGACCGTAGGGCAGACCTGTCGGTCTCACTCAAAGCCCTCGACGAGGGCTAAAAAGTGACCGCGAGTGAAATTCTCTTTATATGAGCTCTATTACGAAAAAAAATTTCCTCCGACGACCCCCCTTGATATTTTATGAGGTGGTAGGAGTGTCACAATAGGGTGTCACAAAAAACTCGGCATATCTGGGAAAACTTCGTAAAGGGGTCAAAACTGACCAGTTGTATTTCCCAATATAATCTTTGTATTTTATGGGAAAAACAGAGGGTCATTTCAACGCAGACTTTAGGGTACTTAAGCTCAGTATATCTGGCTAATTTTTTGCATGCTCCTAGGTCAATGGCTTGACCTTTAGGGAAAACTGTCGGTTACACTCAAAGCCCTCGAAGAGGGCTAAAAAGTGACCGCGAGTGAAATTCTCTTTATATGAGCTCTATTACGAAAAAATTTTTCCTCAGACGACCCCCCTTGATATTTTGTGAGGTGGTAGAAGAACACCTAGGAGTGTCACAAAAAACTCGGCATATCTGGGAAAACTTCGGAAAGCGGTCAAAACTGACCAGTTGTATTTCCCTATATAATCTTTGTATTTTATGGGAAAAACAGAGGGTCATTTCAACGCAGACTTTAGGGTACTTAAGCTCAGTATATCTGGCTAATTTTTTGCATGCTCCTAGGTCAATGGCTTGACCTTTAGGGAAAACTGTCGGTTACACTCAAAGCCCTCGACGAGGGCTAAAAAGTGACCGCGAGTGAAATTCTCTTTATATGAGCTCTATTACGAAAAAAAATTTCCTCCGACGACCCCCCTTGATATTTTGTGAGGTGGTAGAAGAACACCTAGGGGTTTCATAAAAAACTCGGCAATTCTGGGAAAACTTCGTAAAGCGGTCAAAACTGACCAGTTGTATTTCCCTATATAATCTTTGTATTTTATGGGAAAAACAGGGAAATTTTAACACAATTTTTAGGTTACTTAATGTCTGTACATCATGCTAAGTTTTTGCATACACTACTATAGATGACTAGGCCGTATGGAAAAACTGTTGGTCAGACTCAAAGCCCTCGACGAGGGCTAAAAGATGATCTTGAGTGAAATTCTCCTTATATGAGATATATATATATATATATATATATATATATATATATATATATATAAATAAATTGACGAACGATCCCCTTAATATTATGTGACGTCGTAGACCGACCATGGAGGGTAACAAAAAAACTTTATTCCCGTCGGAAACAGCCATTATAGTCGTTAAATAAGTTCATATAACGTAATTTCTTATATAAGCAAACAATATAAGTAAACAATGACATACGTCATACGTTCAGTTTTCAAGGGAGGTAACGTTTTTAAAATTATTATTTTTCAAATAATTGTATACTATTTTAAACAGAAACAGAAAATGACGAAGTATAGCATTTGTTTTAGTACAAAATTAAGTTGTTAATTTAGTTAAGTATGTTAATTAAATTAATTAATTAATTTCAAAAGGCAATGTAATATAAACTATGAGATATACTGTTCATGAAACCTGTGTAGTTCTAATTCCATTTTAGTTATACATTGCGTACTTTCCAAAAATTCGCTACGCATCTGCATGTAAATGACTAACAAAAACATTTTTTCTAAAGTTAGCATTACTGTTTAAATTAAACTTATTAAACTTATTAAAGCACTCCACACCCAATCCATCGCTAAATAATTAAGTATGCAAATTCTCAAATGCCTTTTAAAAACCTAAGCGAAGCTAGGCAGTATGCCTAGTTGTACCATAAAAAAAATGTACAACATGAGTGAAAAAAAGCAACACTTAATTTTGTTTGTCTTGGATACAGGTCAAATTCTCCAGTGCATCTCTACAAGATTATATCAAAAGTTTATTACACAACAAAACAGCTTTAGAAGGTTTTATGAAAGTTTTACTCACAATTTTTAAAGACCATCAAAGGGATGACAGGTGAGTTTGTTATAATAATTAGTGCAGTGAATTCTGGATTAGTGGATTACTGGGTGGGATGGGTGCATTAAATGCTTGATTTGGGGATTACTGGGTGGGATGGGTTCATTGAATGCTGGATTAGTGGATTACTGGGTGGGATGGGTTCATTAAATGCTGGATTAGTGGATTACTGGGTGGGATGGGTTCATTGAATACTGGATTAGTGGATTACTGGGTGGGATGGGTTCATTAAATGCTGGATTAGTGGATTACCTGGTGGGATGGGTTCATTGAATACTGGATTAGTGGATTACTGGGTGGGATGGGTTCATTGAATGCTGAAATAGTGGATTACTGGGTGGGATGGGTTCGTTTAATGCTGGATTAGTGGATTACTGGGTGGGATGGGTTCATTGAATACTGGATTAGTGGATTACTGGGTGGGATGGGTTAATTAAATGCTGGATTAGTGGATTACCTGGTGGGATGGGTTCATTGAATACTGGATTAGTGGATTACTGGGTGGGATGGGTTCATTGAATACTGGACTAGAACAGGACCAACAAAAGTCAATTAATTTGAAGAGTATTGAATGACGAAGAATATCTTTGCCTATTTTTCCACTGTTTATTATTTAACAAACTGGCATCTTCAGCATTAAGCTGCAATTTTGCTATCAAATATACTCCATTTCTAGGGTATCCTTGCCTTTAATTAGGCTGCAAGTATAATGTCAAATATTTTCTATTTCTAGGGTATCCTTGCCTTTAATGAAAACACTGGACCATATGCTGTCATGGGGCCTTTTGGAGAATCTGTCTACAGACAATGAGTAGGTTTTTTTTTTTAAATAACACAGGACTTGTACTAGATTCAACACATTTTAAGAACAAGGGAAAACAAAATCCTGTAACTATTTTCTTGTGTACTTAGGGAATCTGTGCCCAACCAGATAATTGAGCTAATCAAGACTGAGGTTCATAAATCTGGCAGTCCACAGAAACTGATGGCTGGAGCAGATGTGTAAGCCATTTTAAAATTTATTTTGTAAATCAAAACTATCAGAAATAATCTGGATTTAACAAGTTAATAAAATTAAATTCTTCTGCAATATTCTTTTAACTTAGAGTTACCTTCCTTTACACGAGAAATGCCTTTCAGGCTTGGGTTCTATCCCCTAGGACCTCTAAAAATTTAATTTGGATTCATATAGACATTTATAACCATTCAGACTTAAAAATTTTTTCATTCAAGTGCTCTCCCCTTTAACTAGAGTACAGTGGTTTTTTTCTTCAGCATTCTTTTTGTATGAGCTTAGAGAAAAACAAATATTTGAAAGGTTTTCAATTTTTGGCAGTTTATGAAAGTTTATTTAGTGTAAGGGAGATTATGTTTGTTTATTGGATATAACCATCTATATAGTTATCTATATATTCTCTCTATTCTCTTCCAGATACTGTGGTTTACTGCAGTTCCATGGAGCACCAAGGACCAAATGTTTGACACACCTCATGATATTGTTGTGTCATAAGTACCCAAGGGTGAGTTGGTTATATCATAAGTAGGCTACCCTAGGGTGAGTCGGTTATGTCATAAGTACCCAAGGGTAAGTTGGTTCATAAGTACTCAAGGGTGGGTCAGGTCTACCTAGCCTTTCGTTATTGTGGATGACATTGACGTGTATATTTTCTGTTTTAATTAATTGTATGTTAAAATCTACCAAAATATTACTATTTATTCTAAACGTTGTTCTTCAATCTACTTGAAATGAAACTCTTTAATTTACAAGCAAATGACATTTTTTAATCTACTGGATATTTTACTATTTAATCTATCAAAAAATCTATTTAATGTAGCTTTTGATCTTATCTTGATGTAGGTAAGGAAAACAACATCAGACAAGCTGTATGAGGCATTGCTGACCTATGAGGATGTTGTTTCTGAGGAAAACACGACAGAGATCATGACTGTCTTAAGTGAGACCAGTTGGTGAGTTGACCCAACCCACTAAATATACTTTCTCAGAGCAAAAGGTCATGCAGGGGAGACCACTCTAAAAATTAAAATAAAACATTCATCCCCAGCAGTATAGAATGGTTATAATATTTTAGAATAACATTCCACTTGTGAACTTGTATTTTGAGTTGTGACCTTGACCAGTGTAAACTTTGACCTTTTGATTTTTGTTTAGGGATGCGTTGGACATGGCAGATATCAGGGACAAGCGCAACACCTTGTGTGACCTTCTGGGTATTAAACGTCCAGTTTTTCTCAAGGTAAGGACAGGGTGGAAAATATTTTTATAGATTCTGCATAAAAAATACACTGTTTACAATATAAATGTAAGGTTCTTTTTCTAACATTAAAACTTAGCTTTCAAATGTGTTTTTTTATTTATGTTTATGGTTTTTGTTTCCTGTATAAAGACTTACAGTCAATACCATTAGACAACCATGTAATAAACTCTGTTAGATAGTGTAGTGGTCTGACTCTTGTTACAAGTAATGACCTGTGTTAGATCAATAACCCATGTTACATTTATTGACCCTCTATGCAAGTAATGACCCATCTAATAACCCATGTTACTTCTGTTGACTATTGTTACAAGTAATGACCCTTATTAGATTCAATAACCTATTTTACATCTTATGTCCAGTGTTTCATTTAATGGCCTTTGTTACATTTAATGACCCTTGTTACATTTAATGACCCAATTTAGGCATTATGATCCTTGTTATATCTTATGACCCATGTTGCATTTAATGACCCATATTAGACATAATGACCCATGTTACATGTAATGACCCATGTTACATGTAATGACCCATGTTACATATAATGACCCATATTACATATAATGACCCATGTTACATATAATGACCCATGTTATATGTAATGACTATGTTACCTATAATGACCCATGTTATATGTAATGACCCGTGTTACATACAATGACCCATGTTACATATACTGACCCATGTTTTGATGTTCCAGAAAACATAACCCTTCTGGCACCTATGAACCAATATCCAGCTCAGCAGCTGTTGTGTGTCTATTGTGTGGAGCCATGAGCAAATATGAGCAGAGCTGGTGAAATCTTCAAGTGACCAGCCCTCTGTGTCAAATGTTTATTGGTCGAATTTAAAAACTAATACAAAAAACTCACAGGCTGTCTGCATTAAATCATTTTAAAAAAATCACAAAATAATACAAGTTCAGCAATGGACTAGTAATCCTATCTAGTCTGACCAAGATTTTATTTATTTGCTGATTTGCATAGGTTAACTCTGGAGTTGTTTCTTTGATTAAAAATTTCAACTTTTTAAATTTGTTAGCAAGTCTGTCTTTGTGCTGTTTTGTGTATGGCCAAATCCCATAAACATTAGAGTCAAATGTTGAATAGGTGCTATATTGAATGGTGATTTACTGCTATGTTGAATGGTGACCAAGTATGGTGTCAAATAGGTGACTCATTGCTTTGTACAGCCAAGTCAAATGGTGACTCAAATGGTGACTCAAATGGTGACTATGTGAAACATCTGTCTGTGATAACTAATCCAAGTTTTTATTATGTTGTGAGGGAAACAAATTTTTTGACAGAATTGAATGAATGGCTTCCCTAATTTGCTGCTTTTTAAAAATTGAATAAAAATTTGGTATATGCATTTTATCTGTTGTATTATTTTTTTAAAAGTGTATGCGTTGTTAACTTCCTCTTGAAGAACAGTAGAAGAAAACAACAAATTTAAAATAAAGTTATACTAATCTTTTGAATGCACTCAATATAAAAAAATAATTAAGAAGCATCCTTCTATAGAAAAAGCATTTCTAGCTAAAAATATATAAGAGTAAGAGATTTAATGAGCTCGATATTCAAGATTTTAAGATCCATGATTAGAACACCAAACTCTGCCTAATTTACCACCCATCTATCCTCACGACACAGTGTCCTCCCACCCAGATATTCTGTGGTGCCAAGAAACCCATGGATGTGGAGCTGTCCCATTGAGCTGGGCTCTTCACTTCTAGGTTATGTTTTCATCTCTCGGCTTCAATTTTATTCCAGCTTCTACTTAAAGAGAAATAAATATTGCTCCCTTTTCTCCTAGTTTTTAATTACCTGAGCATATATTTAAATATATTAGTTCTAAGTACCCCGTAAATTATAGTACGTCCAAAAAAAAACCCATTGTCGATTCGCCTATTTATTCAGCGAGCGGTTTGAAATGAGCGCTGAGAAAACAGATCCAATTGGCTAAAAAAAATGCAAGTGTCAATTTACTGGCAAAATGCGTGCGGCGTCAAAACGGCCAATGACAAAACGAACCCGACAAATCGGCCCCGTCAAATTGACCCCGTCAAAAGGGCCAGTGACATATGGACCCCGTCATATAAGCTCCCGACAAATAGGCTCCCGTCATTTAAGCTACCGACAAATAGGCTCCCGTTATATATGCTCCCGACAAAAGGGCTCCAGTCAATAAGGCTCCTGACAAATAGGCTCCCGTCATTTTGGCTCACGACAAAAGGACCACTGACAATACCGTTTCTGTAGAGACTAAGTCTCCCGGCAAAGCGGTCTCATTGAATATGACACCTGCCAGTGGGACCCCTTCATCAATATTCTTTAGAGTTAGCTTATCCAACACTCTTATGTAATACAACGTATGCATCTCTTGTTCGGCAGGCCTTATTTTTATATTAGTTTATCTATTATAAAATATAGTGTTTTAATTTAAGGGTAATCTATCTATGACATCCATAATTGAGTCGGTTATAGGCTGTTCCAACTCAGTGTGTGGAGAGAAGGGTCCACGCTGTACCTTCCTACCTGCAGTATGCTTGTAGGTTATCAAAACAAAATGCTGTTATCATGTAAACATCATGTATATCATACATTTACACTTCTGTGCTCGCTTTTAAGCAACAGATCTTTTCTGTTGTAAATTAAACATTATCAAAACTTTAGAATTGGTGGAATTTAGCTGTTAAGGGCTCGATTTGTTTGTGAATTAATGTTGGTTCATGAAAAACAATTTCATTCTGGCATTTAAAAGAGTTTATAGTGGTATTGGAGGTGGGACAAAATGGTTACTTTTATGCCAATAGTGGTCATGCCATTCATTGGTCTGGAGCCAATATGTCGGGAGTCATTTTGTCAAAAGCCAATATGTCGGGAGCCCAATTGCCGGGAGCCAATATGTCGGGAGCCCATTTGTCGGTAGCCAATATGTCGTGAGCCCATTTGTCGGGAGCCCATTTGTCTTGAGCCCTTATGTCGGGAGCCAATATGTCCTGAGCCTATTTGTCAGGGGTTAATATGTCGGGAGTCCATTTGTCGGGATCCTAAATGTCGGGAGCCCATATGTCGGGAGCCTATATGTCGCAAGTCAATATGACGGGAGCCAATAAGTCGGGGCCCTTTTGACAGGGCTATTTTGACTGGGTCGTTTTGTCGGGGGTCGATTTGACGGGGTCAAATTAACGGCGCCGTTTTGACGGGGCCGATTTGTAACGGGCCGTTTTGACAGGGCACCGGCAAAATGACATGCACTATATGGGACCTCATAAGAAAACGCAAAGAATGCAGGTACATTGTAAATGACAGTCTACAAGGACTCAAAACATGTCTCAAAATGTCAAAGCAGTAGTGTCACAATTTAGAGGAGGAGGGGTGCAACCTAGGGTAGGGGGTGGAGGGTGGCGTAGGTTGTACAGACTAGGCAAGGGGACACCGTCCTCTGTACGTGTTCACCACAGCAAATAACAATACAGAGACTTTTGGTCCAGTTAGTGTCACAGAGGCGTAGCGACAGGGGGTGGGGGGGGGGGGGTGCGCCAAAATAAGCTCATTTTAGCTGCTATTTTGAATTATAAATATAAAAAAATTATTGGGGGGGGGGGCGCCAAATTGAAAGTTTGTCCCCAGGAGGGATCGCCACGCCTCTGTAGTGCCATCATGATATTCAGTACAGGGTGCAACTGCTACACAACATCAACATTCTACAATAGGTACTCACCAGTTGAGGGTGGTGGGTGGGCAGCGTTCACAGCTCACGGGAGTTTGGTGCTTGTCTATTCCACATCTCAAGGTTCGACTCCACAAACGTAAAAAACATTTACAGTAGGCAGGCCAACCTGGAATGGAGTGTGTGTGTGTGTGGGGGGGGGGGGGGGCAAACTTAACTGAATCAGGCCAACCAGATACAAATATAAAAAGTAAAATACTACCAGGTCTGTTTAAGTTTGAAAACAGTTAAACCTTGATCCTGCAGAGAGAAAAGTCCTGAATGGGACTCAATGACAACGCGACCGGGGTTCTATTGAGCAGTATTGACTCTGTATATGCGGTGTGTGTGTGTCTGTGTGTGTGTGATTGTGTGTATGTGTGTGTGTATGTCTGTGTGTGTGTGTGTCTGTGTGTGTACAGTGGTGGCCAGCAAACATATCGTTTGAATCTGTTCAGACTTGTATTTGGGTTTAAAATCTAGCTGCTCAATGGTTCTCAATCTAACATTGGAGTCGCCCTTTTGGGGCATCTGTGAGTAAAACTTTGGGACTTTTGTGAGTAAAACTTTGAGACTTTTGTGAGTAAAACTTTGGGACTTTTGTGAGTAAAACTTTGGGACTTTTGTGAGTAAAACTTTGGGACTTTTGTGAGTAAAACTTTGGGACTTTTGTGAGTAAAACTTTGGGACTTTTGTGAGTAAAACTTTGGGACTTTTGTGAGTAAAACTTTGGGACTTTTGTGAGTAAAACTTTGGGACTTTTGTGAGTAAAACTTTGGGACTTTTGTGAGTAAAACTTTGGGAATTTTGTGAGTAAAACTTTGGGACTTCGGGGAATAAGCTTTTGAGACTTAAGTAAAACATTTGGACATCTTTATACAACTTTAGGACCTCTTGTAGTAAAATGTTTTGACCTCGAAATGCAATACTGGAGACATTTACGGATTTTATGCCTAAAATCATACAAAATACAATTATTGTAAATATTGAAAAGGAATATATTAGTCTGTATTTTTACATTTCTTTTACTTAGTTTATTATTTTCTGTACGGGGTATTCAATCATATATGTGGCAAAATTGAAGGCTGCCATGTAAATTATCGTATGGTGATTTTAATTATTTAAAAAATGTAAGTCAGAATACTGAATATTTCTAATCCTTTTTAAGTTTGTAAAATATATTTTAGAAAAAAAAGACACTACCCACATTTAATGAAGCGCAAGATTTTATAATTCTCAACATAAAACCGATACTTTGGTCAATTTTTAAAACTTTTTGTTTCTCCGACTCTTTATGGGAGATAACTTTTTATGACTGTTTTTCCTTAAAAAAAAAATAACATGACTTCTCGCCTGTGATTTTTTAAAACCGCTTACAGTGTGTGTGTGTGTGTGTGTGTGTGTATGTGTGTGTGTTGACAAGGGGGGGGGGGGACGGTGGTCCTAAATATGTTGTGTAATGAGGGGTGGTGGTCTAAAGAAATGTTATATATTGTTATATATGGTAGGTGCTGGGTCATAACCCCCCCCCCCACTTTAATGTGACATATGCGCCCCACCCTACCTACCCTACGATATAAAGAATGTCTTATACCACATGTATACTTAGCCCAGTAGAGTGGCATAGCAAGAAGTTAACATGGGGAATAACTTCTACAAAATTCAAGCCGAATGTGCTTTCTACAAAATTAAAGTCACGTGAACAAACAAGCGTATATCACGTGACCGTATAGGTTACCTTGTCCTAAACAGCCTCAGAACGAACAACACGGATACAAGCAGACGAACAACAGAGCAGTGTACGTTCTGCGCGGAGATTTTTTTTTTTCTCTCACACATTACTAAACTTCGCCTGGCCCAATTTTACTGGTTAATGAGTTCCTTGATACAAGGGAAACAACTTTCGGAGTTTTAAAGAAGTAACCTTAAAGGTAGGCTAATTTGTTAAACATACATTGCTTTGTTTGATAATTATATTTTATTTAAAAACAAAACAAACGGTATTGTTATACCTGCTGTAGAGATATCTAGCTTGGGCGTCTGTTTAGACATGCAGCTTTAAACTTTTATAAACACCGTAAAATTCTACTCGGTTTTTTATTAAATTAATCAGCTGGTTTTTTTTTTAGTGTACTAGTCTTCTGAGTTGCATGTGTTATATAATCGTATAGATCTAGATCTACATGACATTATGTAAAATTCATTATGTACATGTGCAAAACCTTTCGTTTTATTTTGAAACTATGTAAAATAAACCGGTAGTGATCTCCCCTAAACTCTCTCGAATATTCTTATATAAAACAACAGGGGATGGTAACTGGGGATATAGTTATGATTTTTAATCCATTTTAAATACTGAAACTTTTAAAAATAGAATATAATCTCAGTAAAAAACAATTGCGCACCAAGCGAACGCCTAATAAAGGTGTGTATAATAGTGCGCAATAGTATTAGTACTTAATAAATTTACATTAGTTTTTTGAGAAATCGGAAGTAGCGTAAATTACTACTTCCGGTCAACGGAAATTACTCAAAATTTAACAGAAGGTAGAGAATTAGATCTTTTACTTACATGTGAAATTTCATTTATCTATCTGAAATAGTACTCAAGTTATAGGCTTTTGAAAAATTCAAAGTAGAAAAAGTACCACTTCCGGTTGTCGGAAATCGCTCAAAAGTTGATACGGATCTACGATTTTGATATAATACTTATATATGAAATTTCATCAACCTAGCTGTAACGGTACTCAAGTTATCGTGTTTACACACGGACACACATACAGACACACACACACAGACATACGGACAAGATTGCAAAATTATGTTTTTCCGTATCAGTGTCTATCAGTGAGGTGTAAAACGTCGAGATTTGTAAAAATCTCGATTTTTTTTTTTGCACGATTACAATACTTTCTCTATACTACGTATATACGAGAAAGTAAAATGTGATGTTGATGTACTTGTTTTAATTGCAAATAAAAGTATAAAAAAAAAAAAAAAAGTACGAGACCGTATATTGAAACCAAGTGTTTCCGGACCGAAGGCTTCCGACCGAAAGGTCTCTGACCGAAGGTCTCGGACCGAACATTTGTGACAACCCTTAAAACAGTCTTTCAGAGCAAAACTCCTTCTGTGGACCCCCACCCCCCCACCCCCCCCCCCGTCACACAAGACTAACTTTAGCTCTACAAGAAATATCTGCTTGTCACATTGGGGAGGGTGTGTGGTGGTGGTGTGTGTGTGGGGGGGGGGGGCGTTCACGTTAGCTTTAGTAGCTATTTTGCATTTGAAAAATACGTTTTTACTTTCTCGTATATACGTAGTATAGAGAAAGTATTGTAATCGTGCAAAAAAAAAAATCGAGATTTTTACAAATCTCGACGTTTTACACCTCACTGATACGGAAAAACATAATTTTGCAATCTTGTCCGTATGTCTGTGTGTGTGTGTGTGTCTGTGTGTCTGTGTGTCTGTGTGTCCGTGTGTAAACACGATAACTTGAGAACAATTTCATATATAAGTATTTTATCAAAATCGTAGATCCGTATCAACTTTTGAGCGATTTTCGATAACCGGAAGTGGTACTTTTCCTACTTTGAATTTTTCAAAAGCCTATAACTTGAGTACTATTTCAGATAGATACATGAAATTTCACATGTAAGTAAAAGATCTAATTCTCTACCTTCAGTTATATTTTGAGTAATTTCCGTTGACTGGAAGTAGTAATTTACGCTACTTTCGATTTTTCAAAAAACTAATGTAAATTTTAGAAGTACTAATAATTTTGCGCACTATTATGCGCTTTTTTATTTGGCGTTCACTTGGTGTGCAATTAATTTGTCTACGAGATTTTATTCTATTTTTAAAACTAAGTATTTAAAATGGATTAAAAATCATGTCTATATTCCGAGTTCCCATCCCCTGTTATTTTATATAAGAATATTCGAGAAAGTTTAGGGGAGATCACTCCCGGTTTATTTTTTAAAAAAATAGTCATTACACAAAAATTTGATCAAGTGAAGAAATTGTTAGGGCAAAGGAATAGGGTGAAATATGACTAATTTTAGTGTGTGTGTGTGTGTGTGTGTGTGTATGTGTGTGTGTGTGTGTTGGGAGGGGGGGGGGGGTTAAGATGTCGGACTTTTTGTTACGATTTGCGACAGTGGAGTGCTGGGGTAGGGGTACCTGAAAATGTATGACGTCATGTATGGACGACTCCTAGGTTAACGACCTTGCAGACCCTTGTTCACTGTGCCATCTATGCAAATTTATGCAAATGATTTAAAACTTCTGGGCGATTTCTAGTTGCAATAAACTTCCTCAAAATGGGACACACCTACATACACATGTACTTACACCGGCTAGAACGATTTACGACGGTGTTGTTGTGTTATTTTAATATTTTGTTTATTTTATCAGGTCCTGATATAGGTAATCTTTACCCCCCCCCCCCTCCTCCACCCCCACCCCCTTTCCACCCTACCTTCCACTTGAAACATGTTTTTCTTTCCCTGTTGTTTTCAATCTTCCAAATAACAAGTTCAACTTTTTAGAGGATATAATATTTAGCCCAAAGATATGTTGTTTTTCTGATAACATGTGGCTATGGGATCCCCTGTGACTATTGGGTCACGTGTGACTATTGGGTCACGTGTGACTATTGGGTCACGTGTGACTATTGGGTCACGTGTGACTATTGGGTCACGTGTGACTATTGGGTCACGTGTGACTATTGGGTCACGTGTGACTATTGGGTCACGTGTGACTATTGGGTCACGTGTGACTATTGGGTCACGTGTGACTATTGTGTCACCTGTGACTATTGTGTCACGTGTGACTATTGTGTCACGTGTGACTATGGGATCACGTGAGACTATTGGGTCACGTGTGACTAAACATTAAACAACCGCGCGTTAATATCTTCTTCAACATGGCCTTAATAAATTCGTGGCGTTTGTTGAGACGGGTAAAAAAAATCCTCAATGTTGGTGGTGTGTTTGTTATGTGTGTTGATTGCAACTTTTTGTTTTTATATAAGCCTGTACGAATGCAAAACTTTTTGTTTTTATATAAGCCTGTACGAATGCAAAACTTTTTGTTTTTATATAAGCCTGTACGAGTGTAACTATCAACAGCCAGTGGTGTAGACGGGGAAGGGGGAGGAGGGGGGTACCACGAAACGAAAGCTGTCTCATATTACTTTAAAACTATTGGTGACGGTACGCTCCTGTCGCTTTAAGTTTACAATTTGTTTATTCACCAGTTCACGTTTCTTTCGGCCCGTACGCCTCAACTGTTTTCGTTAAGCCAATACACTATCTCCTTTACCCAACCTTAGCACTCATTTCAACATAACATATTTTCTTTACGCTATTAGTTAACCCAATCTTAGCACTTTTTCAAACACACTTTATTTTCTTTCGTCAATATTATATAAAGTTCACCCAAAGCTAGTAAGCTACGTCTTATCCCAACACATTGTAGTTTCTTTACGCCAATAGTCCACCCAACCTTAGCACTACCAAAAACACTCTAGAACTATCTATAACAACCAGTGTTTCTTCCAGACTTTTTTCTCCGGGGGGGGGGCACTTGAAATTTTCGGGGGGGGGGGGGGCGGTAGACTTTCTTCGGGGGGAGGGGGGGGGGACCCTGTTAAAAGTATATATTTTCTATATAAATTATATAAATTTCATTCCGTTCGGGGGGGGGGGGGCGGTAAATTTTTTTCGGGGGGCTTTGCACCCCCCCCCCCCCCCCGAAGAGATGCCTGGAAGAAACTCTAATAACAACATACCCCCATGACTGTGGAGAAAACTTCCTCCAGCCCTCTGCCTATATTTCTCCGGAATTTAATACATATGACTTTATATGACTACTCGCATGACCATATAATGTATGACATCACAGCACCCACACAATCCCATTTCCTAACTTAATTTTTTTATCTGATTAAAAAAAAAGTCTACTTAAATTTGACACATTTTAAATCAGTATGGGAAGTTCACTTTGAATTAAAAAAAAAATTGGAATTTAAAAAGTCCAATGTCTTATTCAACCTTTAAAAACTGGAGTCTACATGTCAAAACTTGAACTGGTCTGTTGGCTTGGAGTTAAAATGTCCAGCCAGCCGGCATAAAATCGGCGACCGCAGCGGTGGGGGTCCCATCCCATTCGTCAAGGGGGTAATCTGCCGTGAAGATGGTGCCATCCACGGGTACAGTTATAGAGAGAAGTTGTAGAAAACAAATTTATCTCTCCAAGTGACATGGCTACAAAAACAAAAACCTGCATCTGAATTTCTAAAATCTCATCTCGCCCCCCCCCCCACCCACACACACACACTTGATGAAATGATTCGATAAAGAAAATATAGAGAGTAAGTTGGGTGGTCTTTAAAAAAATATTTTTTTTTGATTTCTCTTTTTCTTTGGGGGGGAGGGGTGTCCGATACCCCGCCCCCAAAGAAAAAAAGGGGGGTGGGCTAAGCCTCCATTTACCCCCCCCCCCACTTCCCCCCTTTCCCCGTGGTCCGCACTTAGATTGACATAATATACATATTGAAAATATAATATTTTATATAAAATATCACACAATTATAAATGTGCCAAACGAGTTTTAAACATTTAACCAACCCCCACCCCTCTTACTCTTAAATGGAGGTTTGTGTGTGTGTGTGTGTGTGTGTGTGTGTGTGTGTGGGGTGGAGGGGGGGGGGGCAGACGTCACACTATTTAATGAGAACCAGTGGAAGATGGTCAGATCCGTATAAAAATAAAAACAAAAGAAATAAAGGCGTGACAAAGTAAACACGGTGTTCCACGGGTTGATCACGTTTAGTGTTTAGGTTAGGGTCACACGGTCATATGATGGTCAGTGTGAGAGCTGTTTAGGTTAGGGTCACACGGTCATATGATGGTCAGTGTGAGAGCTGTTTAGATTAGGGTCACATGATGGTCAGTGTGAGAGCTGTTAAGGTTAGGGTCACACAGCCATTTGATGGTCAGTGTGAGAGCTGTTTAGGTTAGGGTCACATGATGGTCAGTGTGAGAGCTGTTTAGGTTAGGGTCACACAGTCATATGATGGTCAGTGTGAGAGCTGTTTAGGTTAGGGTCACACGGCCATATGATGGTCAGTGTGAGAGCTGTTAAGGTTAGGGTCACACAGCCATTTGATGGTCAGTGTGAGAGCTGTTTAGGTTAGGGTTACACGGCCATTTGATGGTCAGTGTGAGAGCTGTTTAGGTTAGGGTTACACGGCCATTTGATGGTCAGTGTGAGAGCTGTTTAGGTTAGGGTCACAGGGTCATATGATGGTCAGTGTGAGAGCTGTTTAGGTTAGGGTTACACGGTCATATGATGGTCAGTGTGAGAGCTGTTTAGGTTAGGGTCACATGATGGTCAGTGTGAGAGCTGTTTAGGTTAGGGTCACAGGGTCATATGATGGTCAGTGTGAGAGCTGTTTAGGTTAGGGTCACACGGTCATATGATGGTCAGTGTGAGAGCTGTTTAGGTTAGGGTCACACGGTCATATGATGGTCAGTGTGAGAGCTGTTTAGGTTAGGGTCACACGGTCATATGATGGTCAGTGTGAGAGCTGTTTAGGTTAGGGTCACACGGTCATATGATGGTCAGTGTGAGAGCCGTTTAGGTTAGGGTCACACGATCATATGATGGTCAGTGTGAGAGCTGTTAATGTTAGGGTCACACGGTCATATGATGGTCAGTGTGAGAGCTGTTTAGGTTAGGGTCACAGGGTCATATTATGGTCAGTGTGAGAGCTGTTTAGATTAGGGTCACAGGGTCATATGATGGTCAGTGTGAGACGTAGCTGGTGAAAAGGGGAAGGGTGGGGGTGGCATGCCGGTCAGTTTCGGGAACAAAACTTCAGTAGATGAGCCGCTGTTGAGTACATAACACACCACCCTCTCTCCAACCTTACACACACAGACCCCTCCCCACCCCTCAGTCTACTCTACAGACCCCCCATTCCAACTTTCACCTACCAGCTGTTACTTTGGAATCTACCCCCCCCCCTCCCTTGACACAGGCAGATGTGCCAATTATAATATTAATTTAATTAGCACTGTACCGTTTGTCACAACGACTATCATTATCGACGTTTTCGTGGCTCCTTGCACTATTGCTCACTAGCCCACAGCGTACTGATGGTTCAATCAAGTGGAAGATCCACATCAAAGGGTGTTTGTACATCAATAACAAATATCGGTGTGGAAGATCCACATCACAAGGTGTACTGTACATCAATACCATCCATCTGTATGGATGATCCACGTCACATGGTGATGGCATCCATCTGTGGGGCAAGGGTTAATGGCTAAAAATACAAGAGCTGTTTAATTTTAGCCGACACAAGGGGGTGTAGTGTTGGCATCATGTGACTGGTCGTGTACCACGTGACTGCTCGTTTACCACGTGATGCACGGCCAGTCATAATCGTGTATAATCGTGTGAACCTTGACCCAAAGACACTGACCTCTCATCAGTGGCGGAGCGGAACTAGAAAAAAAAACGGCTTCCCCGCAATGTTTTTTGCCCCCCCCCCCCCAATTATTTATATATACTTATACCACTATTAATTTTTTTTCCTGAGAAATTAAAAAAAAATATGTCGAATTTCTTTTTCAGGCCTGAAATAATAGTATTTTATAATTATTTGTATAGGTTTACCTTTTTGTTATTTTTTTTAAAAGTATTAAAAGCAGTCTTTAATATCGCCTCTATAATAACAAAGACATCAATTCAATTTCAAGTTTACAAATACAACTTCCTAATATGAAAAGACGATCTCTCATTTATAATCTGTATATTTATTTACCTGACCCTGACTATTTATGCTTTCTCTACTGAATACTTTTTAGCATTTGCCTACATCTTTTTCACAACAGCTGTTGGAAGGTTAATGTGACACCTGCTTGCAAAGTCTATAAGGTAGATGAGTATATCACTCAACTCCACACCCACATGGAGCTTTTCTTCTTCACGTAATTCTGGTAAACATTGAGTTACTTCCCCTTTCCATTGGAAAATCTCTGCTAATTCTCCAACTTCTCCAACCAAGTCTCCAACAAGTCTCTTTCTTTTATAAACTTTTCATTTAGCTGCCTCAAACTTTCTAAATTCATGTCTGTAAAACAGAATCCTTCATTTCTGTTATCTTTACTCTCGCCACTTACTGGTTCACTTGGTGTTTCGTTAGTTTGTTTGTTAACATTGGTTACTTCTTCCATTGAGAAGCTGAAATACTGTTACTGTTTCCCTTTCTTAGCTTAGCGGCTAGCACCTGAAAAGTATGCAAAATTGTGAATGAAAATCTATTACTTCAGACAAGCTGATCAAAAGTATATAAACACGTAAGCTTGAGTTGTATAATGGTTTCTCGCGTTATGTTTATGTTTATTTTTATGATTTTTCTTTTTTATATTATTAATTTTGAATACATTCATTTTTGTAGCTATACGATTATTTAGTATGTCTTATTTAAGTAATAATTAAAAGAATTTATTACTTTTTAATTTACATAGTACAAAACTATTTAAATATCTTCATGGGCAGCCCTATTTTAAAGAAGGGCAGTAAGTCATGGAAGTAGTGAGAATCGTTTGCCTACCTTTCAAACTACAGCTCTTACAGAGGTTAAAATATATTTCTACGCAACTGTGTGTAATAATTACTGTATAACAATAACTGCTATGCAGTGGCGTAGCGAGGGGGGGGGGGGGGCGTGGGGGGGACACATGTCCCCGGGCGCCGACCTTAGGGGGGCGCCAAAATGGGTTGGAACAACAAATTGAAAGTTTGAGGTGGGGGGTGTGCAAATGAAAAGTTCGAGGGGGGGGGGGGGTGCAAATCGAAAGTCCCCGGGCGCCGGGAAGGGTCGCTACGCCTCTGCTGCTATGGTAGACCACTTTGTTTTTACAAAACCTCTATCAATGTGCACGAAAAACATTATTTATGAAAATAAAATTAATTGTTTTTTTGGTCGGAATTGGGCCCATTAAACGTCCTCTTGAACAAGAGACGTATAGCTACACGAGAGAATGCCCCGCCCGCCCTTACAAAATATTCAAATGTTTTTTTTTTTAAATTACAACAATAATCCTATTCAAGAGTTAGCGCCCTTGATCTAAAAATAACCCGGTTGTTCGCAGGGAAATAACTCTTGTCATACCTGCTCCTCCGTCGCCCCGCTTTTAGCAGGTTCATTAAAAGGACTTATCCTTCTGTCATATATTAAACATCCCCTCATATACCATAGAACCCCCCTCTCCCCCCACACACACATCTAACACCCGTTTGATTAAGCCGTTATAATTCCTCCAGCTGACTGGGAAACATTAAACGCCAGACGACCCCGAACCAATTCATTAACGAATTGATTAGCATTGTTATTAAAATTAGTAATTCACACGTGTATACTGAGCTAAACACACCACGCACAAAAAAAAACGCCTCGCATCATGTGTTGTTAGCATTAGGATTCATGTAGAAGACAGTAACCGTGGTGGGCTTTTATCAATTACCGTACTCATCCCTGTAAATGCTACAGCCGATCTACTCCCCCTACGATGTGGTGCTCCGATTGCCCGAGTCTGGCTGCGAGCCGAGGTAAGGCAGTTTACACGTTCATTCACTCTTACTGTAAGGCAGTTTACACGTTTCATTCACTCTTACTGTAAAGCAGTTTACACGTTTCATTCACTCTTACTGTAAGGCAGTTTACACGTTTCATTCATTTTTATAAACATGAGTTGTGTTTTTTTTTAGAATGAACAGCTCTGGGGTTTCTGAGTTTAGATAGTTTATCAGCGAGTAGCGGAATTGTGGAACACTGGACGCAGCATTAGCTTGGTTCAGACAAGTGGCGGACCTAGGGGAGGTGGGCAGGGCTGTCTACCCTCCCCTGTGGTGCATATTGCATTAAATGTATCATAAATTATATATATATATATATATAAATATATATATATATATATATATATAAATATATATATATATATATATATATATACACATATATATATATATATATATATATATATATATATATATATATATATATATATATATATATATATATATATATATATATATATATATATATAATAAGATGGAGTTCGGTGGGCTGAAGCCAGGGTTCAACCCTAGCCTAGAAAGAGACTAGCTATTATCTTTATGAGCTGCCAGGAACCAGGCAGGCAGTACTAGATTTAATTGCTAATTCCTGAACGACTATCAATTACAGGCTCGTGACCAATCTATGTGTGGTAATTGATACTGGTCATGCTATGTTTGTAACTAAATTAGCGATGACCGCGCTGTTGTATTGTGTGCTTGGCACCTACAAGCACCCCATGTACGTGTGTGAGTGTGTATATGTGTGTGTGTGCTTGGCACCAACCACTACGTCATGTTGTGTATTTGTGTGTGTGTGTGTGTGGTTGGCACCAGCCACCCCATGTTGTGTGTTTGTGTGTGTGTGTGCTTGGCACCAAGCACCCCATGTTTCAGAAAAAGACCGTACTGTAACTTTCATTATTGCTTTATCCCCCCCCCCCCCTTCCACCGCCCAGCGGGTTCACCCTGGCCAAGTACTACGACTACGAGATGGACGGCAAGAGCCCGCGGGGTTCCAAACGACCGCTCATCATCGTCTGCATCGTAGCCATCATCGTCGTCGTCATCGTCGGCGCTGTCGTCTGGAAGGTGACCAAAGATGCGTACCAGACGACCCCGGGGGCGATTATGGGCCCCGGAAGTCAGACCACGGCTGGACCCACCGTGACGTCACAAGCACCAGAAAAAACTTCCCTTAGCCCAGAGGTAAAGATAAAAAAAAAACATTTCCTGTATGTTTAAATAGGGCTGGTAAGTAGGTCACCAACACGTTCTATGGCTCATGCAGGGTTTATTGAGCCGTAGAACTGGTTGGTGACCTACTTACCAGCCCTATTATGGGATGGCCTGGTTGGATGTTTGAGCGTACGGCTGATTACCCGAAAGACTCTAGTTCGGATCCCAGGCTTGATTCAGTATGACGTCCCTGATTTGAGTTAGAGAAAATAAATTCTGCTGGGCATAATGCTAGCCACACTATCACTTCATCTGCTGAGGTCAAAGAAACAGGTGCACTCTACTTCTCTACACATGGCTAATCCATCTCCATTTAAGTGAATGACAAGAATTTTTAGATTTGATTGCCTGGCAAAGAACGATTACTCTATCGCTACCTTTCTTAAAAAAATGCAGTTAAGATGCTCAAAATTATAATGCTCGTTTATCTTTTAAAGTATATGCTTTTTCATCTTCAAGTACATGTGATTTACCAATGTCTTCAAGTCGTATTCCAGCTTTTTAAAATTCTAGTATCAGTGCCCTGGATCTAAGCCCTAGCCTAACTCAAATTATGACCCCAGCTATGACCTGAACCCTGACCCAAGTTCCAAAATTAACCCTGACCCTCGCACTGTTAGCTGGAGGAATAATTTCCGATACTGCACTGTATCTAACAAAAAATTGTATCTTAAAATAAATAACCTTTGATGTTTATTCAGGATGTGGGATGGGGGTATGTTAAATAGAAGCTAACTGTAACGTTCTTTAAAAATGCGGGTACTTTATATGTTCTGGATAAAGAAACGTATTCATGTGGTTCTAAACGTAAAGTAATTGTTATTTTTGGAAGTAGATAACAAATATTTTTTTTAGCATTTAGATATGGACAACTACTAGTGTAATCATGGCTTTTATTTTTGTTTCATGTTTTTCTACATTTCCTCATGTTTCCCGATGTTTTCCCAATATTTCCCTTGTTTTCCCTGTTTTCCTAGCTTACTCCATGCTTTCCTAGTTTTCCAAATATTTACTTAGTTTTTCGCGATTCTCCCCATGTTTTCCCACGTTTTCCCAATTCCCATATTTGTTTGTTTTTGTCGCCAGGAGCTGAAGGCCAACCCGTGGCTCTCTCTGCGCATGTCACGTGATGTCCTGCCCGTCCATTATGACGTCACCATGTACCCAGATTTTTACGACACGGCGGGAGAATTTTACGGCAACGAGACGATTGAGGTTGGTTTTCTCAAAACCCATCAGAGTTTCTTCCAGACATCTCTTCGGATGGGCGTAGCCCCCCCCCCCCCCCTCCCCGTAAAAGTCTACCGCCCCCCCCCAAACGAAATGGAATTTATATAGAAAATATATACATTTAACAGTGTCCGCCCCCCCCCCCCCCGAAGAAAGTCTACCGCCCCCCCCACCCCCCCGAAAATTTCAAGTGCCCCTCCCCTCCCCCCCCATCCCCCCCCGCCCCGGAGAATAAAAGTCTGGAAGAAACACCGCAACCCATCCATACAGTCTACACACACTGAAATGAAACAAATCTGTAAGAAAAAAATCTAAATAACAATAAGATTTTGAATCCGCTAAATAAGAAAAAAAAAGTGGTCGAAATTTCCCTAGTAACCATTGCTTTTAAAGAAAGCTAGTTTCTCTACACACCTCTATATTACATACAAATGGGCCATCCATTTATGACGTCCACATAAAAAGATTTAAAATGTAATTCTAGACTTCCTACTCGTCCACACTCGTCCTTTGTTATAAATCAAAAGATCACCTGGACTTCATGACCCCCCCCCCCCCAGATACTTATTTCCTGATTCTCCTAATGTTTGCAGCAGTAGGCTACTCATCATGTCATACATGTAGATAACGTGAGGTAATTAAAACACGAGCATTGCCTTTGGAATGTGTGCATTCAAACGCGTTGTTGCATTTACGTAATTTGATGCTAAACTCAACATGTGGCCGTCCATGTTGACCCCCCCCCCCCCCCAACCCCACTACACACGAATTTTACAAAAGTCGACTTTTTTGGACCCCCCCCCCCCCCACTGTTCGTGCGGACGTAATTAATGTATGACCCCTAACTACATCCACATACAAGTCTACACTCCGCGATACGATCTGTTCAAATGTAATTACCTTACAGCACATGTAACCTATCCATTACCGATTACACATGTGCTGACAATTAGCTTACACGTGCGACAATGAACGTCTTTTAATGATATACAAACAGCAGTAAACGCGTCTGGTTAGCCATTCATTCCAAAAATGTATCTTCATTTACATACAACACGGTAGACACAATTTAAAATATTTAAAGATAAATAAAAACAATTTCAACATCTAATTAAAATTGTTGTTAGCACTGTAGTGGGTATTAGCATTTTTGAAAAAGTATAACAAACATATTATGAACATTTTTCTACTTTTGTTTTCTTTTAAAAAAAAAATTGGTTACATTTGCATGCGCGCGCAGGTGAACGTGACGTCACCAACCCGCTACTTCCTGCTGCACGTGCACACGACCTACATGAACGTGACGAGAACCCACGTGACCGACAACACGACAGGAGCTGAGATTGACGTCATCAGGACGTTCTACTACCCGCCCCACGAGTTTTTTGTGATCCAGGTCAACGAGGTGTCGGCTGGTCGAGTCGTTAGACTGCAGCTTCAGTTCGAGGGGAGCCTGATCAAAACCATCATGGGCTTTTATAAAAGTACTTACGTCAACACGATAACCAACCAGATAAGGTTTGTAATACCACGTGAACACCAGAACCAATCAGATAAGGTTTTTTATACCACGTGAACACGTGTAGACCAATGAGATACGTCCAGTCACACCACGTGAAAACGTTAACCAATCAGACAAGTTTAACTGAAAAACTTAACTTTTTTTAAACTAATGGGGGGGGGGGGGGTTCATAATTAATTAAATTAATTAAATAAAGAAAGCTTTTTTCAGAAAAAAAAATCTGCAGGTAAAATGACTTACGAAAAATAAAACTTCCGCACTAACGTCTGCTGAAAATGTAGCTGATTGACAAATGGCCGTTTGTAAATTCCGCACCAAACATTGCGCACTCTAAAAAAAATATTGTAAATTAAAAAAAAAACTTGTAGGTCATTTCTGTTTATAAATCTTATTTTATATATATTTTTTTCTTCCATGACATGTAAGCATAATGGCATTTTAAAATACAATTTCTGTATAACGTCATGTTGTTCACTATTATGATGAGTACAAAAATTTGCCCCCCCCCCCCCAACCCCCAGAAACCTGGCCTCGTCTAAATTCGAACCCACGTATGCCCGCCAAGCCTTCCCGTGTTTTGACGAGCCCAACATCAAGGCCGAGTTCACCATCACCCTCATCCACAGACCAGAGTACATCGCCTTGTCCAACATGCCCCAGGACGGGCAGGTGAGTACAGGCTGACACCGCCCAGAGGTTATTGGGTCAGGCTAGGTTACTGACACCAATGGCTAGATTACTGACACTAATGGCTAGGTTATTGACACCAATGGCTAGGTTATTGACACCAATGGCTAGGCTACTGACATCAATGGCTAGGTTACTGACACCACCCAGAGGTTATTGGGTCAGGCTAGGTTACTGACACCAATGGCTAGGTTACTGACACCAATGGCTAGGTTACTGACACCACCCAGAGGTTATTGGGTCAGGCTAGGCTACTGACACCAATGGCTAGGTCACTGACACCAATGGCTAGGTTACTGACACCAATGGCTAGGTTACTGACACCACCCAGAGGTTATTGGGTCAGGCTAGGTTACTGACACCAATGGCTAGGTTACTGACACCAATGGCTAGGTCACTGACACCACCCAGAAGTTATTGGGTCAGGCTAGGTTACTGACACCAATGGCTAGGTTACTGACACCACCCAGAGGTTATTGGGTCAGGCTAGGCTACTGACACCAATGGCTAGGTCACTGACACCAATGGCTAGGTCACTGACACCAATGGCTAGGTCACTGACACCAACGGCTAGGTTACTGACACCAATGGCTAGGTTATTGACACCGCCTAGAGGTTATTGGGTCAGGCTAGGTTACTGACACCAATACATAATTTTTTAAACAAATAAAAACAAAGTTTCTTAAAAATTGATTGATAAATTTCATGTTGTAAACATTGACATAGACAAAGCTGACAATGTTTTCGATTCTCTCCCCCCCCTTAGCCTAGACCAGTGGCCATGAAACCCGGCCTTGACCTTGTGGCCAGCAAGTTCCAGAGGTCGGTCAGCATGAGCACCTACCTGGTGTGTTTCATCGTCTGCGACTTCAACTACACCCAGACCCAATCCAAAAGAGGCGTGCCGGTAAGTCTGTCTTAAGTGTAGGGGAGGGGGGTATTTGTTTGTCTGGTCCAAGGTGGGTGGGGCCCTAATTTTTAAAACTTCAATTATAATTGTTAAATATTGATATTGGATACAGATTTATAGTACAGAATTAAAAAATATATATTTTTATTCTCATGGAGGCAGATGAAGTAGAACGCATCAGTTTCAATCGCCTGGGTATATAAAGGTACTCAGTGGACGGCCCTTTAGTCATACACCCTCTACTTCCTCTACCTCCAGGCTTCTAATTTCGAACGAAGTATAATTTATATACTAATTTAAATACTCCAACCAGTGTCCGCCCCCCCCCCCCCCCGAAATTTAATTCCGTCCCCCCAGGTTAATAAATATCTGAAAGAAACACTGCCTCGCCACCCTCTCGTCTTGAATACTCCGGATGTTTAACGAAGTTCATTTTATCACCCGAAACTCGAACTCAAACTCGAATCATTCGAGTTCGACAGTCGAATCCCTGTCTCTTAGCCCAACAATCCCACAGTGTGAGATCACTTTTGTGTGTTCTACGTCACAGATTCGTGTGTACTCGACCCCGGACAAGCTGGACCAGACCCACTACGCTCTGGACATGGCCAGACACACACTGGACACATACGAGGAGCTCTTTGACATGGAGTATCCTCTACCCAAACAAGGTGATCTTTTCGGTGCACTTCCATATGGCATAAGTGCTCTTTATATGATCTTTTCTCTTCCGGTAAAGGGACGCTCATAACTGATGTCATACTGAAATTTCCCACTCCCTACCCATCTCCCAATCGTCAGATCGTCACAAGAAGTGAGACCCTCTAAAATTAGTAATTCTTTAATCTACCTTCTTTAAGGGGATGTAAAGAGGCGTGAAAGATTTACCGAAAAATGTTTATTGAGTTGTTTCCCTTGCAACAAAAAATCTGAAATACCCTACATTTGTGGTCTTTAACTTTTTTCATATTCGCATTTACCGAACCACAGCACTAGATACTGAAAGTTTTTGATAATATGGGTCAGCATTAGACTTTAACTCGCTGATCAATTTCCCCCACCCCAAGGTTTATAGACGACCTCTAACTGAAGAAACTTAGAAACATTCACGCAATCTATTTTTCAGTAACTTTTACCCACAACTGAAAACGTTTTTAATTTCACTATAAACTTCTAGATGAAAAGCATTTTATTTGTACATAAAACGTTTTAATGTCGTGATTAGGGTTAGGCTTAGGCTTTACAGACATGACAACTACACCGAAGGTCGTGTGAGTCAGATGATATCGGCCCATGAAATAATTAAATCCACAATTTGTACAACACTTAAATCAAAACACGTATCACATTTCATTACACGGATGTTACGTAAGTCTTCTCACATAGTCTCATAATAAACATCGACCAGAACTAACACTTTGAGGCGAACACTGAGTTTAGAAACCAAAATAAAGGGAAATCACTCGCATTTCATCGTTTATTACCAAGACATAAACACTCGCACTGTCATACTACATTGACGTAGACACACCCACACACATTGACAATACTGTTAAATATGCGTTTAATAAATAATTTCAAGTTCAGAAAAAAAAAACAACATCCTAACTCACATCAAGCGCGTCTTGCCCCCCCGAAGAGTCGCCTGGAAGAAACTCTGATGCTATAGTTATATATAATTTGATTTTGTTATCCTAGCATCCAAGCAGAGCTAGTTAAATACTTTATTATGTTTTGTACGAAACATGCTTTTGTTTTTATATGAATAAATATTATTTGATACTTAAACCCATTTGAAAATGTTATTGTGTAATTAATGACGTTTATAATAACGAATTTAAAATGCCGTCAACGAATATATTTATCGTCCCCCCCCCCCCCCCCCATCCCCACAGATCTGATAGCGATCCCAGACTTTGTGTCTGGCGCCATGGAACACTGGGGGCTCATCACCTTCAGGGAGAGCAGGCTCCTCTTCACACCCAACCAGTCGTCCATCAGCAACCAGGAGCAGGTGGCTCTGGTCGTGGCTCATGAAATGGCTCATCAGGTACGTCACATGTGGCTCTATAACAGGTTTACAGGTAATTTACAGGTGGCTCTATATCAAGTTTACAGGTACGTAACAGGTGGCTCTAAAACAAGTTTACAGGTAATTTACAAATGGCTCAATAACAAGTTTACAGGTACGTTACAGATGGCTCTATAACAGGTTTACAGGTACGTTACATGTGGCTTAATAACAAATTTACTTTTATTTACTTATGGCTCAATAACAAGTTTACAAGTAATTTACTTATGGCTCAATAACAAGTTTACAGGTAATTTACTTATGACTCAATAACAAGTTCACATGTAATTTCCATATGGCTCAACAACACGTTTACATGTAATTTACAAATGGCTATGGACATGGCTCATTAAATAATTCTTGCACACATCCTATGAAATGGTTTATATAGTACGTCCCAGATGGCTTAATAACGAGTTGACATGTATTAATCTACATATGCCTCTGGACGGCTCATTTAGTGAATATCACACACATCCTATGAAGCGGCTGATTAAAATATGGTTGTAAACATGGTTCATTAGATAATTTATATATGGCTTAAGAACAAGTTTACATGTGTTTTACACATATTTTATGAAACGCGTCAAGTAATTCACCAGGTAATTCATCAGGTAATTTATCAGGTAATTTACCAGGTAATTTATCAGGTAATTTACCAGGTAATTTATCAGGTAATTTACCAGGTAATTTATCAGGTAATTCATTAGGTAATTTATCGGATAATTTATCAAGTAATTTATAAGGTAATTTACCAGATGATTTACCAGGTAATTTATCAGGTAATTCATCAGGTAATTCATCAGGTAATTCATCAGGTAATTCATCAGGTAATACGCATATGGTCCCATAACTGGTTCACAGGTAATTCTCTTTGTTCCAGTGGTTTGGTAACATCGCCACCATGGACTGGTGGAATGACCTCTGGTAACCCGGTGTATGACCCTAATTTGTCTCTTTGTTCCAGTGGTTTGGTAACATCGTCACCATGGACTGGTGGAATGACCTCTGGCTCAACGAGGGATTCGCCAGTTTTATGGAGTACCTGGGGGTGGACGGCAGGGAAACGGAGTGGAAAATTGTAAGTCACAAGAAATCAATTACACAATAATTTCAATAACTAATCTACGAAATCAATGCACAATAATTGTATAACTAATCCACGAAATCCATTAAACCATGGGATGGAGTGGTCTAGTGGTAGAGAGCTGGACTGCTAACCCGTAAGTCACGAGTTCGAATCCGGGTTCAAGCCAGTAGACAGTCCCTGAGTCCACCCAACTCTGATGGTTACCTTACTCATGTTAGCATAGTGCTGACCACACTATCGAGGTCACAGAAACAAGTTAACTCTACTTCACTTGCCCCAAACTGTCAGGTTTGAAAAGGGAACTTAACTTTAATCCACGAAAGCAATACACAAAATTAATTCTATAACTCATCTACACGCAATAAATTCTATAACTAATAAACGAAATAAATTAACAAAATTAGTTCTATAACTAATCTACGAAATCAATACACACAAATTATTCTATAACACAACATAACATAATTCTATACTCAAAATAAACTGTATAGCCAATTTACAAAACCAATACACAAAATACATTTTGTAACTAATCTACAAAATACCCTATCTATTTAATTGTTTAAGAGTTTAAGACTGATAAGACTACGCGCAATAATTTGTAAGGAATGTAATAAAGTCCTATCAGTTTTAAACAGTTTTATTAAACGATGCAACATCATATCGGTCCACTATAAAATGTCAGACGTTTTTCAGATGGACAAAATCCTGACCATGGACGTGTTCCCCGTCATGAAGGAGGACAGCCAACTCTCCTCCCACCCCATTGTTGTTGACGTCATGTCGCCCAGCCAAGTGACGTCAGTGTTTGACAGCATCTCGTACTCCAAGGTTCACTTCCGTTCCACTGACCCACTTTGGTATTACAGGCAGAGTTTCTTCCAGGCATCTCTTCGTGTGGGCTCCGCCTCCTCCCCCCCCCTCACCCCTCTCCCCTCCGAAGAAAGTCTACCCCCCTACCCTAATGAAATTGAATTTATATAGAAAATATATACTTTTAACAGTTTCCACTCCCGCCCCGGGTTACTTAGTCCGCCCCCCCCCCCCCCGAAAATTTCAAGCTCGCCCCACCCCGGAGAAAAAAGTCTGGAAGAAATACTGATTACAGGTCTAGATTCACCTTAGACTCACTAAGCTAGCTCCAGTTAAGGTCCAATTGTCTTGTGATGGTCAAGTTTACCCTAATCCTAACTTAATCCACAGGGTATGGCTGTGATCAGGATGTTGGAGGCAATCATGGGGAAATCAAAGTTCTTTGAAGGTATTGCTTTAAGTGGTTTTTTTTAGCTTATGTAACTTGATTCTCTGTATGTAAAACGTTGACAAAATGTACATTCTGGTAGCCTACATGCCACACGAAAGTCTAGTTTGTTCAACTTGAGCTAAATGTGAATAGGATGAAGCTTTTGCTGATCTTATACAGCTGAATAAGAGTGTGTGTAATTGAACGTTGCTGGTATAGTTTCATTTCACGTGTGTGTGAGTTGAATTTGGTTGAAAGGGGAATTGTTATTTTGAGAACTTTTGTTGAACTTCAAAGCTGGATATTGTTTCCTGCTTAGTGTTGAATTTAAAATAAATTAAACAGTGTTAAATGATGAATGTTGAATTAATCGAACACTGTTGAATGATGAATGTTGAATTAATCGAACACTGAATGTTAATTTTGAATGAGTTGAACACTATTGAACGTTGAATATTGAAAGGGATGAATGCTGTTTAATGCTGTATATTGAGCTAGTACTATTGAGCTCTGAATGTTTTATATTCCAGCTGTATCTAAAGAGACACAAGTGGGGTAACGCCGTGACGCAAGACCTGTGGCGAGCGTTGTCAGAGGTCAGTTGTCCGCCATCTTTACTTACTATGGCCTTGCCCCGTAGATTGTCGTAGGCTTCAGTTGGTTAGGCATCTGTTGCTCGTCTTTCCACCGTGCCCGTTCTGGTAACTTTCATCAGTTTCAATGAATCATAATCCTATTACAGAAATCGTGTCATACACTGAAAAAAAAAACGAAATGCCATTAGTAAAACCTACACATATACTAATATATTAGCGGCGTAACAAATAGCATATCATTTTTATTAAATTTGCGATAGGAAAATAGTTTAATGATTATGCAAAAAAATGAAATAAAATAGTCTAAACAGTCGTTTCAATCGTAATAAAATAAAGCTTATTAGAGAAATTAGACCTCTTAATATAAATGAAAAGATTTACCCGCCATACACATTTTTATATAAAAAGTATGTATATACAGATATGTCACTTTAATGTAGAATACTAATTAATATGTACGAGCCGGCCCGCGGCATAACATACGCCGCTATTTAGTTGTTTCTAATTTTCAATAATTCATAATTTGTGAATTCGACAGTACCAACGCTGACACTGAAAATATTTCTTTAAAACACTATAAGTAGCTCGTTAAGGACCATAACCCCCCCCCCCCTTCCTTCCCTCCCCCCCTCCTCCCCCCCCCCTACGTTTAAAATCGTTGGCTCTGCTTGTAAACATTTAGAGTGAACACAGCTCACTAAAACCATGTAGGGGTGGGGAGGTAGGGAGAGCGTTTGCAGCTTGTTTTCTAACGGCTCGAAGAAGAGAATTATATATATAGATTGTGACAATACTAAAAATTAAATACTGGAAGTTGGAATTTAAAAGTGTTAGTTACTTCCCATTACATTTTTAAAAGTAATTAAGGGGAATCAATCTCCATCTTTGATCATAAAATCACTAAATATAGTTAAGTTAAATTCATTTGCCACAAAATAGTACATGTAAATCCTAGTGTATTTTAGAATTAATCATGTACTTCCAAATTCGTATACTATGTTTATTTTTTTGAATTTTATATTTTACAGAGAGGAGAATATGAGTAAATGAGAAACGTATTAGATTAATAGAACATAATATTTGAAGACTTATAAACAATTATTATTTTTATTGAGAATTCAAGATCTTCACCGATTCTAAATAATTATTCTTAGTTTTTGTTTCATTAAAAACAAATAAAGTAACGCACAATTTGAATCGATTGATAATAACTGCTGAATAATTAATAAATAGCAGGCAACAATAGGATTTAAATGTTTTTGTTATCTACTACATTTTTGAAATAATCTTTTAAAAAAAATATCAAGCGATGAAATTATAGTTACATTTGTAAAAATTAAAACCGTTTGGGAACTATCGATTACACTCATTTATTTATTTTTGTATCGAATATAAGCCGTTGAAAAGCCGTTTAGAATTATTTTATCAATTCATATATTTTCAAAAACCGCCCTGAACCTCTCTTTGAAATCAACCGGGATGGCAGAGTACAACAATAAAAGTTGGAACAATTGTTTTCGATGATAAAAATACACAATAGTGATCTATTGTGTATAGTGTAGTATTGTATTTATATTAAATAATATAGCATCCGCAATTACCACAACGCCCTGACTCTACTAATCTAAATTAAAAATAAAAATGTTTGCTAAATTACTATTATATTGTTAGTTAATTATTTCTTTGACCATTTCTAATGAAACCGGAAATAATTCTGTACTTATTATACCGTTATAAAATATTCAATTTTGGTGGAAAAATATGCTTTCTGGCAACAAAAATTTATAACCATTTGGAAGCAGCTTTTCAAGTCTATTGTCTATGATAAAATACGTATTACCTACATTTCTAAATACTGGAAAACTGAATGCTAACATAATGCGTCTGATGGAAACAGTACAAAATAAAACAACTTGCATTTAGCAACCTCCACATGTTCATTAAAATAAATAGCCACTGGGTGAGACTAGTTGAACGGTACAGACAAAGCAATAAATCAAAACATAGGTAGATTAACCAATAGCTCAGAGCTAAAGAGTGATTAAAAGAGCATGATTTTAAAAAAGGAAGAATAAACTGCTGTTATGTCACAGAGACGGGTAGAGATTATTTTTTGCAACATACACACATATTGTTTGGTGATCAATTAATTATGGATAGTTATATATATATATATATATATATATATATATATATATATATATATATATATATATATATATAGGATAGCACCTAAATTATACATATTATTATACATTTTTCTTTGGAAAATGTGTCCAAACGCTTAATACAATAATTGTCATAATGCCGAAATTTAGAAGTCCAGCATGTTTTTATGTAATTGTATTTTCACGAAAAAAACTAAAAAAAAACCAACAAAACAACCAATAACAACTAAAAAACAAACACAGCCCATTCCATGTGTATAGTATAGATACATTTTGCTGATTTCATGTGTGCAGCATAGATAAATTTTGTTGATTTATCTGTATTGTATAGATACATTTTGCTGATTATTTAAAGAGACTGAGAATGATGTTCAGAAAAAAATACTCTCAAACTCCTTTTATCTTATCACATTAGCTAAAACATCATTTTTGTTTTGATGTTGCCAACGTATCACATCACCTTCAAACATCCTTTTTGTTTTGATGTTGCCAACGTATTTCATCACCTTCAAACATCATTTTTGTTTTGATGTTGCCAACGTACCACATCACCTTCAAACATCATTTTTGTTTTGATGTTGCCAACGTATCACATCACCTTCAAACATCAATTTTGTTGTAATGTTGCCAACGTATCACATCACCTTCAAACATCCTTTTTGTTTTGATGTTGCCAACGTATCACATCACCTTCAAACATCACTTTTGTTTTGAATGATTCCCAAACTGTGGACAGGTAGACGGGACTCGTGACGTCAGCCACATCATGGACACCTGGACCATCCAGGATGGGTTCCCCTACATCAACATCACCATCCTGACCAGCGCGTCAGGCGGGACAACTCTCCGTGCCCAGCAGAAACGGTTCATGAGTAACCCAGGTACCCAGGTCAACGTGGATGCTTCCCCTTTGAGGTTCGTGTGAGACGAGGCATTTTGTAAAACGTGTCGTCCATTAATGACGGCACGTTATATTTCTTGTTGATGTTTTATACTCCATCCTCTTCCACTACTCACACACCACAAAATATGGAGTGCGGGGTGGGGGTGGGAGAAGAGATGCGATGGGGGGGGGGGGAGGCAGAGGGTTCCGGTCATAAACCCCTGGACATAACCCCCCCCCCCAAACAACAAACATTTGGAAAAATCACTTTAAAAAAAAAGAATCGAATAGTTTTTTTAAGTATTTTATAATAGTGTTGTGAGCGACGCCTCGCTAATACTCTAATATGGCGAGCTTATTAAAACTTTGAACTACGGTTGCAATTCTAATAAATAAATAAACAAATAAATAATTAAATAAATTAGATATGTGTATGTGTCCAGGAGCCTAAACAGATCCGTACGCTAAAGTGGTTGGGGCGAAGAGATGTTCGGTGATGTAAAGGCGAAAGGGACAGCAGTTGGGTAGGATACGGCCGACGGTTTAAAAAGTACTTAGGGTGTTTTTTTACACGGCAGCTTATACCTGTAAATACAACACTAGTAACACCCCCAAAATCAACGCCAATGAATGCGCAAGCATACGATCCCGCCTAATCAACACACCCACATGAGATCACGTGATAATCTCCCAGTCTTTAGGTACACCTTGTACTTTTCTTCTTGCAGGTACAAGTGGTATGTAGCACTGGACTACCTGCTGGCCTCTGGTGGGAATGGAACTCGGGTCATGGACATGGGGGACAGTAAGGCAAACTATACGTTGTTTTTAATACCTGCCTAATCATTATTACAGTGGCCTAAGCGGTAGAGCGCTAGGCTGTTAACCCAAATGGTTTGAGTTCAAGTCAGTCAGAGGCGTAGCGACCCTTCCCGGCGCCCGGGGACAAACTTTTGATTTGCACCACCCCTCGAACTTTTGATTTTCACCCCCCTCTCAAACTTTCGATTTGCACCCCCTCCCCCCCTCGAACTTTTGATTTGCACCCCCCACCCAAACTTTCAATTTGTTTTTCCAACCCATTTTGGCCCCCCCCCCCCCCTAAGGTCGGCGCCCGGGGACATATGTCCCCCCCCCCCCCGCCCTCCCCCCTCGAGACGCCCCTGAAGTCAGTAGAACGTCCCTGAGTCAACCCAGCTCTGATGGGTACCTAACTCATGTTAGGGAACGTAAAGGCTGCTGGGCATAGTGCTGAACACACCTGCTGTTCATATGCAAGAAACATGAACTACATCTGCCCAATAGATCGCTATGTCTAAAGAGATTTCTTTACTTTTAGTCATCATTATTTTCTAAAGCCTTTTTAGCTGGCCATGCAGATTTGAACCGAAATGATACTTCACTAAACAACTTGAGTACTGGATCATTGTTTTTATCATTTGTCATGTCAAGCTGAGACCATCTAAAAAACTGACTATAATAACCGTTGCCTTGTGGACAAAAACCGAATAAAGACTGATATTATTCAGTTGACATTATTCATAAAGCTTATCCTGACAAAATAACATTGCAAAATGATTTGTATGTCTGTTACTCGTGGCGTGCTGTGATAATATATTATATATATTAAACACAAGGTATAGTTTGTAGATTTTAGATTTCAAACCGATCTTTCAAAAAAGATTCTAAAACCCAATTAATCATCTACACGTACAAACTAATCAATGTTTTGTATGCTAATGAGCAGTTGAGTGGAGTGAACCCTTGGATTTAAACCAGGCCAGCTGGGTGAAGTTTAACCACGGCCAGACCGGCTTCTACATCGTCTTGTACCCAGATGGGATGTGGAGAAATTTTTCTAACTACCTGCTACATACGGCATACACGGTACGTAGGTCACACGTCATACACGGTACGTGGGTCACGTGCTACACACGTCATACACGGTACGTGGGTCACGTGCTACACACGTCATACACGGTACGTGGGTCACACGTCATACACGGTACGTGGGTCACACGTCATACACGGTACGTGGGTCACGTGCTACACACGTCATACACGGTACGTGCTACACACGTCATACACGGTACGTGGGTCACACGTCATACACGGTACGTGGGTCACGTGGTACACACGTCATACACGGTACGTGGGTCACGTGGTACACACGTCATACACGGTACGTGGGTCACACGTCATACACGGTACGTGGGTCACACGTCATACACGGTACGTGGGTCACACGTCATACACGGTACGTGGGTCACACGTCATACACGGTACGTGGGTCACACGTCATACACGGTACGTGGGTCACGTGCTACACACGTCAAACAAAGTACGTGAGTCACGTGGTGCACACGTGGTACACACGTCATACACGGTACGTGAGTCACACGACATACACGGTACGTGGATCACGTGGCACACACGTCATACACGGTCCGTGGGTCACGTATTGGGGATCAGTACCGCCCTCCCCCTCCCATGATTGTCTAGCACTAACCCTGAGCTCCCCCCCCCCTTCCATGTTTGTCTTACCCTAACCCTGAGCTCCCCGTGTACCCATGTTTATCTTACCCTAACCCTGAGCTCCCTGTGTACCCATGTTTATCTTACCCTAACCCTGAGCTCCCCATGTACCCCCAGGACTGGCTGTTGTCCAGCAGTGACCGGGCTGGACTTCTGAACGACGCCTTCATGCTAGCAGACGCCGGCATGACGTCATACGAGATTCCCCTGGAAATGATGTCCTACCTGGCAGAAGAGCGGGACTTTGTCCCCTGGTACGCCGCTATTATAGGGGGCGTGTCCTACATCAACAACATGCTGGAGGTGGATCCGCAGTTTCCGGTGTGGAGGGTAGGTCATTTAATAATAGTGCACGCTGTAAGCTACAGAAATTTTGTGACTGAACATTAGATTTACAATAACAAAAATATTCCATTATATCTTATTTAATGTCTAATTTATCGCGCTAGGAGAGCTTTATATATTGTAGCATTTTTTAATTAATTTAACCTTTAAGAAAACATTAACCAAAACTAATTATATGACTGTGGTCGAATGGTAGAGCATACGACTGCAAACCCAAAAGTCTCGAGTTCGGATCGGGGTTCAAGTCCGTAGAAAAGTCTCTTAGTTCATTCATCTCAGATGAGTACTTAAATCACGTTAGGGAAAGTAAAGGCGCTGACCACACTATCCCTTTAAATGCCGAGGTCACAGAAACAGGTGAACTCTACTTCACTTGCCCCATGGACCGCCAGGTTCGAAAGGGAACTTTACTTTTTACAAAAAGACTGCTTAAAGAAAGCACGTAGGCTTACCTACGTGTTAAAATATTTTTATGCAAATAAAATATTTCCTGACAGGTTTTAACAATATAAAATATTTTAATGTGTTTTTACAATATCACACGTTAACTACAAATCAATCACGTTGAACAATAGGTCTAGTTATTATAATACAACACATCTATTAGGCTGGACCTTATTTCAGACTACCAAACTAGACTACATTCGTACAAACTAGACACAAGAGGTTAAAATTATTAGACTGATTTGTTTCAATGTAATTGATTACAGAAAATATTGTACTGTTTAATTTTCTTTACGACCCAGAAATTTTTGTCAGCTCGAATCCGCCCTGTGATTGAACGGTTGGGTTACCTGGACATAGGGTCTAACCAAGAAAGGTAACTCTGCTTTGTCTCTGCTAGGGGAAGTAAGCAGGAGAATTTGAATGGGAATGATAAGTACAGTTTAGGAACTGATTTTGTGTGCACCTTTTTGCCATTATAAGGACGAAAGATAAAATTATTATTGTTAAATTTGATCCGTGGGATATTATTCAGGTTTTTAAGAAAATCCAAGCTTTGATATTTTTTCGTCTACCGTTTAGTAGCTGCATGTGTGTACATTTTTTTTTTACTAAGGTTTCATAAACCTTTACGAAAACATTAAATTTGTGTAACATAGTTGATCTGAACATATTATGTAAAATTTGTTAAGAATTTGTAGAGTCAAGCATTCAATGCAGGCCTACAATGTGCAGGGGAGTAGCGACCCATTCTGGCGTCTGTGGCGAACTATCAATTTTTGCCCCCCCCTCCCCCCCCCCCCCCCTTTATGAATAACTATTCGCCTTAGCGAAAATAGCGCACCAATATAGAAAGATCGGGACAGTCTCTTAACAGTTTTTTAGTTTTATTTATATCATGTAAAAAGCAGGATAACAGATCAATAAATCCATAACGCCACGTAGCAATAAAGTTTCCTTACTTTGACTTTGTACTGTTCAGTGATACAGCTCCGAGTGTTCTTTTTTATATTTTTTTCTACCCCGTTTGGCGCACCCTACGGTCGGGGCCTGGGGTGGCTTCCCCGCCCGCCCTCCCCTAACTACGCATCTGACCATGTGTTTAAGTTGAATGACCAACATATATATATATATATATATATATATATATATATATATATATATATATATATATATATATATATATATATATATATATATATATATATATATATATATATATATATATATATATATATATATATATATATATATATATATATATATATATATATATATATATATATATATATATATATATATATATATATATATATATATATATATATATATATATATATATATATATATATATATATATATATAATTCTCTTCTGGGTGCCGTTAGAAAACAAGCTGCAAGCGCCTCCTTGCAGTCCCCTCTCTTTCTCTCTATCACTATCAATATCACTACCACCCCCACCCCACATTGTCTGGTGAGTTGTGGTCACGCTAAATGTTTACAAAGCTAAATGTTTACAAATTTGTAGAGCCGTAGAGCCGGGTTTCTATTAGGGGCAGATAAATTAGTTCGATTTTAAACTTACAGGAGGTAACTAAGAAATAACTAAGAGGAGGCTGCTTTCACGGGGGGGGGGGGGGGGGGTGGTGTAGGGTCGGGGTTATGGGAAAGGGGGGGGGGGGGTTAGTGTTTTAAAGCAAATATTTTCAGTGGCAGCATTGGTACTGTCGAATTCACAAATTATGAATTACTGAAAAGTAGAAAATAAAACAACTAAATAGCGGCGTATGATGCGCTGCGGGTCGGCTCGTATATATATAATTCTCTTCTGGGAGACGCTAGAAAACAAGCTGTAAGCGCGCTCCCTACCACCCCACCCCTACATGGTCTGGTGAGCTGTGGTTCACGCTAAATGTTTACAATAATAGAGCGGGTTTAGTGACGGCTATTAGGGGCAGATAATTTAGTTTGAAACTATTTTAAACTTAGGGGAGGAAACTAAGAGGAGGCTGCTTTTACGGGGGGGGGGGGGTAGTAGGATAGGGGTTGGGGGAAAGGAGGGTGGGGGTAGTATCGTTCTTAACGACCTACTGATAGTGCTTTAAAGCAAATATTTTCAGTGGCAGCATTGGTACTGTCGAATTCACAAATTATGAATTACTGAAAAGTAGAAAATAAAACAACTAAATAGCGGCGTATGATATGCCGCGGGTCGGCTCGTATTTTATATATCTCGACCATTCAATGTACTGAGTGTTCAACTTGAATGACCTACATATTTATACATCTCGACGCTGTTCAGGAACCTGAGAGCGACCCTGCTCAACCAAGCGTGCCGTATGCAGGACCCGCCTACTGTGTCCAACATTAACAGCCAGTTTCGTGATTGGCTGGACCGTAATGTCAGGTGAGTACCCGTTGAATGCTGGGAGAAAACACACTTGCTTTATTTAATAAAAGCTCTGCTCGCTCATATCTTTTACACATTTTACCGACCAAAGCTTTTAGCAAGTGTTTTTTTTTTTCAAATTCCATCTCAAAATCAAACAACTGCTGCCTTGTTGTTTGTTCTTGGTTGGAAGCTAATCCAAAAACAAAATCAGGCTGAGATGGAGGACATCGGCCTATAAGGCGCATAACATGTAGACACGTAATACTTAATTGTGTTGGAGGAAATCCCTTCCAACATTACAACTAAGAACGAAGAATAAGTTGCAATAGTAAAAAAGATAGTCGTTAAAATGTATGAAATCTATTTCTTGTGTTACCAACTATATTAGTATTAGAGCTAATGAAAGAAAATGTGGCTTTTCTGTTTTTTAGAACATAGATGGACCACATTTGTTTGATCATATCCCCTAAACTAAAGCCTGTACATTACACTCGACACACTCATATATTCCAACATTTACCTGTATGTTCCAACATTTTCCCAACTTGTTCAGTATAACCTCACTTACCTGTATGTCCTAACATTTTTCCCACCTGTAGAGTATAACCTAACTTACCTGTATGTCCCAACATTTTCCCCACCTGTACAATATAACGTAACTTACCTGTATGTTCCAACATTTTCCCCACCTGTACAGTATAACCTAACTTACCTGTATGTTCCAACATTTTCCTCCACCTGTACAGTATAACGTAACTTACCTGTATGTTCCAACATTTTCCCCACCTGTACAGTATAACCTAACTTACCTGTATGTTCCAACATTTTCCTCCACCTGTACAGTATAACGTAACTTACCTGTATGTTCCAACATTTTCCCCACCTGTACAGTATAACCTAACTTACCTGTATGTTCCAACATTTTCCTCCACCTGTACAGTATAACGTAACTTACCTGTATGTTCCAACATTTTCCCCACCTGTACAGTATAACGTAACTTACCTGTATGTTCCAACATTTTCCCCACCTGTACAGTATAACATAACTTACCTGTATGTTCCAACATTTTCCCCACCTGTTCAGTATAACCTAACTTACCTGTATGTTCCAACATTTTCCCCACCTGTACAGTATAACCTAACTTACCTGTATGTTCCAACATTTTCCTCCACCTGTACAGTATAACGTAACTTACCTGTATGTTCCAACATTTTCCCCACCTGTACAGTATAACCTAACTTACCTGTATGTTCCAACATTTTCCTCCACCTGTACAGTATAACCTAACTTACCTGTATGTCCTAACATTTTCCCCACCTGTAGAGTATAACGTAACTTACCTGTATGTTCCAACATTTTCCCCACCTGTACAGTATAACCTAACTTACCTGTATGTTCCAACATTTTCCCCACCTGTTCAGTATAACCTAACTTACCTGTATGTCCTAACATTTTCCCCACCTGTAAAGTATAACATAACTTACCTGTATGTCCTAACATTTTTCCCACCTGTACAGTATAACATAACTTACCTGTATGTTCCAACATTTTCCCCACCTGTTCAGTATAACCTAACTTACCTGTATATTCCAACATTTTCCCCACCTGTAAAGTATAACGTAACTTACCTGTATATTCCATCATTTTCCCCACCTGTAGAGTATAGCCTAACTTACCTGTATGTTCCAGCATATCCGCCAACCTGAAGTCTGTGGTCTACAACTACGGCATGGCAAATGCTGGCACCGACGAGGACTGGCACCACGTTTGGACCAGGTACCTCACGGAACCCTCGCCACAAGAGAAGGAAAAACTGGCCGCCTCGTTGTCGCAGACTCCAAAACTACATCTGATTGCCAGGTACTGAATTATACAGAGTCTTAACGACATTAATTAAACCAATGTAAAATATGTCTTGGTTTTTTTAAATACAAGTTTATAGATACAAATTTATTGTACCATCTTTGAACGGATATGTAAACATTTTTTAAAGATAAAAAAAAATCCCACAATTCATCAGACTTTTTTCCCTATGGTTGCAGGCTGCTGGATAAGGCAAAGAGCCAGGATGGTATAAAGACGCAGGACTTCTTCACGCTAGTCAATAACATTGCCAGCAACACGGCGGCCGAGGGGATGCTGTGGGACTGGGTTCGTGAAAACTACGACAGTTTTATAGACAGGTAATGAGGGAACTACGACAGTTTTATAGACAGGTAATGAGGGAACTAAGACAATTTTATAGACAGGTAATTTGGGAACTAAGACAATTTTATAGACAGGTAATGAGGGAACTAAGACAATTTTATAGACAGGTAATTTGGGAACTAAGACAATTTTATAGACAGGTAATGAGGGAACTAAGACAATTTTATAGACAGGTAATTTGGGAACTAAGACAATTTTATAGACAGGTAATGAGGGAACTAAGACAATTTTATAGACAGGTAATTTGGGAACTAAGACAATTTTATAGACAGGTAATGAGGGAACTAAGACAATTTTATAGACAGGTAATTTGGGAACTAAGACAATTTTATAGACAGGTAATTTGGGAACTAAGACAATTTTATAGACAGGTAATGAGGGAACTAAGACAATTTTATAGACAGGTAATTTGGGAACTAAGACAATTTTATAGACAGGTAATGAGGGAACTAAGACAATTTTATAGACAGGTAATTTGGGAACTAAGACAATTTTATAGACAGGTAATTTGGGAACTAAGACAATTTTATAGACAGGTAATGAGGGAACTAAGACAATTTTATAGACAGGTAATTTGGGAACTAAGACAATTTTATAGACAGGTAATGAGGGAACTAAGACAATTTTATAGACAGGTAATTTGGGAACTAAGACAATTTTATAGACAGGTAATTTGGGAACTAAGACAATTTTATAGACAGGTAATGAGGGAACTAAGACAATTTTATAGACAGGTAATTTGGGAACTAAGACAATTTTATAGACAGGTAATGAGGAAACTAAGACAATTTTATAGACAGGTAATTTGGGAACTAAGACAATTTTATAGACAGGTAATTTGGGAACTAAGACAATTTTATAGACAGGTAATTTGGGAACTAAGACAATTTTATAGACAGGTAATGAGAAAACTACGCCAATTTTATAGACAGGTAATTTGGGAATTACGACAGTTTTATAGACAGGTAATTTGGGAACTACGACAGTTTTATAGACAGGTAATGAGGAAACTACGACAGTTTTATAGACAGGTAATGAGGAAACTACGACAGTTTTATAGACAGGTAATTTGGGAACTAAGACAATTTTATAGACAGGTAATTTGGGAACTACGACAGTTTTATAGACAGGTAATGAGGAAACTACGACAGTTTTATAGACAGGTAATGAGGAAACTACGACAGTTTTATAGACAGGTAATTTGGGAACTACGACAGTTTTATAGACAGGTAATGAGAAAACTATGACAATTTTGTAGATAGGTATTTAGAAAAACTATTTTTTTTATGAATTTTCAAAATTTAGGTCCGTTAAATACACTAAATTTTGGGGAATTTTGGGGCATAAAAACTAGTGTTTTTAACAGACCCACAATTTGAAAATTCATAATAAATTAGTTTAAAGATATAAAATTTTCAGCTGAGTACCCCAAAATATGGTAGAAGATTATGAATTCATTGTTTATGGGGCTTAAAATATAATATTTTATGAATGGTGAAAATACTACAAGTGGGTTAATTTTTCAAGATAGCCGCCGTTGTCATAGTTACAAAGATTTTCCCACTATTTTTTTTAATGAAAACACATTTGCAGATGTACCTTAAAACAGCTAAAGAAAAACAATTGTTTCCCAACGAGTATTACATTATTTTTTAATGGAGCCTACCCTATTAAATTTGATTTTGTTTCCCTTCTATTGTTCTAGGTTCACCACTACATTTTAAATTTGATTTTGTTTCCTTTCTATTGTTCTAGGTTCACTATTACATTTTAGATGTGATTTTGTTTCCCTTCTATTGTTCTAGGTTCACTATAGCTGACAGGAACTTCGGGAGAATGGCGTATCTGGTTGTGAGATTCTACAACACCAGGTTTAAACTTCAGCAGGTATGTCTTAAATGCGTGGGCAGGTAAGTCGTCAATAAATGGGCTGGTATGTCGTTAATACATTGACAATATGTCGTAAATACATTGGAAGGTATGTCGTAAATACATTGACAATATGTCGTAAATACATTGGAAGGTATGTCGTAAATACATTGACAATATGTCGTAAATACATTGGAAGGTATGTCGTAAATATATTGGAAGGTATGTCGTCAATACATTGACAATATGTCGTAAATACATTGGAAGGTATGTCGTAAATATATTGGAAGGTATGTCGTAAATATATGGACAGGTATGTCGTAAATACATGGACAGGTATGTCGTCAATACATTAGGCCATATATTGTGGTTTCATTGTTATAAGCCATATATTGTGGTTTCATTGTTATCTCCAGGTTCAGCATCGTGGTGTTCCTCCAAATTTAGTGGTGTCAACATATTGAATGTATTAATTTATTAAATGTTGTTAAATGCCTCAAGTCAAATCTTACCAAATCTTGTGATCGAATATAACGTTGTACTTGAACAAAAACAACGGTCAGATACAGTGGCGGAACTAGAAAAAAAGGGCCACCCCGCAAAAAAAAATTTGGGCCCCCTCCTATATATATATATATATATATATATATATATATATATATATATATATATATATATATATATATATACAAACACAGAATACAAACATTGGATACTCATTAATGGCTTGATCGTTTTTTGAAAAAAAAAGTGTCTTTTGTTTCAATTTAAACAAATTACAACAAATAATGTGTGTGACTGCATTAGTCTGCTTCAAAAATTTATTTTTTTAGGTTTAGAACTAGATCGATGTAATACTTCCTACCCTTTACCCTTTATCCGGTCAAAAGAATATAAAACATGAAAGCTTTGTAGGTGTAATGGTTTCTCGTGTTATTTTTATTTTTAATGTTTTTTGTAGTTTTATTATTTGTTTTAAATATATTTCATTTTTATGCTCTGTCAGTGTCATGTTTAGTATGTATTTTTTTTTCAAATAATAAGAAAGAGAAGTAATTGCTTTTTAATTTGTTTAGTACACATATATTAAAAGGAGTTTATGAGCACCCCTATTTAACTATTCAAAAAAGGGAAATAAGTCATGGAAGTGTTTTAAACGTTTGCCTATCTTTCACATTACAGCTACGAATATATTTTTTTCCGCAACAGCATTTGTTATCTACTGTATAACATCGCTAATGTAGTAGATCTGTTTGTTATTTACAAAAGCTTTTACAGTCAAGTCAAAAATCCAAGAAAATTATTTTTTTTTTACTATAAAAAATGTATTATGGTCGGCTATGGGCCCCTAAATGTCGTGGGCCCCCCCGCATTGCGGGGTCTGGCGGCACTGTAGTTCCGCCCCTGGTCAGATATTTTCTAGAAAACATAAACAAATGATATATAATGCAAAACCAACCTAAAATTACTTTTTATTTCAGGTGAAAGATTTCTTCGCCTTGTACCCCAACGCTGGCGCTGGCCAACGTTACCGTAAAATGGCGATCGAGAGTATCGAGAAAAACATTTTTTGGATGGAAAACTACAAGCCAGTCATTGTCGAGTGGTTGGAGAAACATGCGATGTAAAGATTAAGTTTAAAAATAGAATGAAAGTTGGGGAAAATAAGTTTAAACGCAGAGCATTGTTGCCACGAGACCTATTGCATGTTAGAAGCAAATCAGCAACTAATACACCTCTGGCCTTCCTAAAAAATATAGTTTTTAAATACCGTAAAAGTATTTTTAGATCACTAAAACAAAATATATATTTTAAGAAATCGAAATTTAAAAAGTTTTTTTAGTATTTTATTTTCATCGAATAAAAAGCTCATTATTTGAATTCGGACAAATCCGAGTACACTATATTTCACTATATTTTATGGTACAGACTTGTTGTACACGCGATTGCTTCCCTTTAGTTGTCTCAAATGATATATAGTACTAGAGAGTGCTAAGGGTCTACTAGAATGGATCAAAGTATTTTACAACACAAACCGTATTGATCAATGTATCATTTTCTTTATATATATATATATATATATATATATATATATATATATATATATATATATATATATATACTATATACCTATTTATATGTTAACCACGAACCTATAATATGACAGGCACAATAAGAAATTAGTTGGTAGTCTATGTTCATGTTATATACTTTTTAGAATGTAAATGATGTGTTATATAGTTACTAAAATCTAAATGATGTATTATATACCAGATGTCTGTGTAGATGAAATGATGTCTGTCATTTTTTATTGTCCTCTGACTGTATGATGCAGGTGACGCGTCGATTAGATTAATTATCCATTAGGTGCATCAAATTAACCCTTACCTTTAGTCGATGAACTTTTACATACACCACATTGACCGTTACCTTTAGTCGACGAACTTTTACATGAACAACATTTACCATTACCTTTAGTCGACGAACCCCACTTCTACTTAAATATATTTATCACACAACAGATCCGCAGTTTGTTGCTCTCACACTAACAGTCACCCAAAAATTAGAGCGCTGTGAAGCTTTCACAAATATTTTTATTGCAATGTTTTTAAATTAATGCCAATAATTGTTCTCTGTTGATCGATTTTTCTGTTATTTCAAGAAAATAAATATAAATAAATAATCCGAAAGTCTCGAATTCGAATCCAGGTTCAAGTCTGTAGTACATCCTTGAGTCCACCCAGCTTTGATGGGTACCTAACTCACGTTAGGGAAAACAAAGGCGGCTGTGTATCGTGCTGACCACACTATCCCTTCATATACCGAGGGCTCTGAAACAGATGAACTCTACTTCATCTGCCCCGTGTGTCTTAGGCACGAACAGGAAAAGATGATGAGATGAAAATATAACATAATTTAAGCACCACACGAATTCCATCATACGCTATTTCAACTTTCAACTCAAAAGCTCATGCTACTAATTATCTCCACGCTAAAATTATCTGTCACTCTACTGCATCTCGGCTGTAAAAACCTACATGTCCGGCTGATCACGTGATCTCTTGACCAGTCACGTGGGTACATTTCCCCCACTCCCCAGGGCTGACCAATGGGATGAACATACGTCATCAAGTTATTGCGTCCTATTTTCGCTGTCCTTCTCTCTAGTTTCTTCACAAACACAAACACAAGCTCAAACGCAAACACAAACGTGACCACTGACAAAAGCACAATCACTTAAATGGCCACACACATTTAAGACATATCAAAGTAGAGGAAAAGGAAATGTTTCCATTTCAACCGCTTGGTAACAATTTTCCAAGGAACATTTTCTGTTAACATTTTTAAAATAGCAGATTGTAATGGTTTAAATGCATACGTTTTACAGAATTAATTGCTGTAATGGTTGTGTTATTAATGGCAGATGTGTTTTTATTTTTATGTAGAAATGAATGCTTGCTGTGTTTATGGAAAAAAAATAATGTGTTTTTAAATCTATTTGATAGAAATAAAAGAGAGATTTGTGTAATGCAATTTGTGGTTTTGTTTTTATTTGTGTCGTGTGATAATTATCATAGGATGACGGAGATGTGTGATTGGACAAGGTTGGGTGTGGGGTGACTGTGGTCAGTTGTCGATAATCTAGCGGTCAGTGACAAATGATCGATAGCCTTGTGGTCAGTGGTCGATAATCTAGCGGTCAGTGACAAATGATCGATAGACTAGCAGTCAGTGGTCGATAATCTAGCGGTCAGTGGTCGATAATCTAGCGGTCAGTGGTTGATAATCTAGCGGCCAGTGGTCAATAGTCTTGTGACCAGCAGTCGATAATCTAGAGGTCAGTGGGAGATATCATATACAGTAGAACCATAGGTCAGCATGCTAGTTTACAGCCTGAAGTTGCAAGGGAAAAAAATCATCTGCAAAACTCAGAACATAGGATGTTGAAGATAACGCAGTATACAAATATTGGACGAGCTGATTCCCGAAGCGTCCTTGCAGATGTCATGAGCGTCGAGGGCACCTTCTTGTTCTAAACGACTGTATTCCAGAAATGTGATTTCCCATTCTGCACAAAATACTGCTCACACAGGCGAAAGTTAGCCCGAAAGAAAATCACCACAAACCAGGGGTCGGCAACCTTTTGAAGCGGAAGAGCCAAAAGTTACAATTTTCAAAATTTCCCTGGTTTTAAAGAGCCACTAACATTTTTTTTTATTTCAAATATTTTATTTTTTGATTAAGATTATTAGTATTTGTGCAAGGAGCTGGAGAGCCGCATCTTGATATCAAAAGAGCCGCATGCGGCTCGCGAGCCGCAGGTTGCCAACCCCTGCCACAAACCATCACTTCATCACAAACACTGACTGGCGGCCAGGGCTACACTTTGTACAATGGCGCACCACAATACTGGAAGTGTAGAAATAACAAACTTCAGTAGAACACAGACACAGACACAGACACAGACACAGACACAGACACAGACACAGACACAGACACAGACACAGACACAGACAGACAGACAGACAGACAGACAGACAGACACACACACACACACACTCACACACACACACACACACAAACACGCACACACAAAGAGAGAGACAGACACATACACACACACACACATATATATATATATATATATATATATATATATATATATATATATATATATATATATATATATATATATATATATATCCCTTGCAGATATTCATTGTAAACAATATGTGAAAGTACATCTGTCACGAAAACGTCTTGAGATAACGTGTTGTTTGAAGCTGGTGTTTAGAACAATCACGTTGAAAGTAAAACTAGTGGTTTAAATCTTGATAACCTTTGATAATTATAATACACAAACATTCTCCCGACCCTTTTATTGACTTTATACTGTTACATTTATTCTCAAAAGGTCAAAAATAATAAACTTTATTCATAGCTTTTTCAACGCTTAATTTAATGAAAGACTAGGTCGGTTCATTATTTTTGTTTCGATTTCACAGACGGTGTTTTTTTTTTACTTCAGGGAAATAACTTGACACTATTTTCATCCACAGTAATTATCTTAAAAAATAACAGGTGACTCATCATCGTAATTAGGAATGACAAAGCAGGAAGACAGACACCTACTGTGAGAAGGTTCAGTCACCTAATTAGAATCAATAGAGTCACCACTCCCCTAATCAATAGAGACGTTGGGTATATGGAGTGATACGTTGTTTTTGTAGATTAAAATGTGAGGGTGGGATGGAAGATGGAGTAGAATTATTTTTAAACGCTTTACACGAGGAAAATAGATAATCTTTGTTATAGTCTTTAAAATAATATTTATGGTAATCTTGTAGCTAATCTCTAGGCTAATCTTAAGGAAATATCTTAAGATAAATTTTAACGTACACTATATAAGATAATCTTGAATGTTTAAAACTAAAACGTGAGACTTTTGAACGTTTAATCTGTCTGTCAGTTTGTAAGTGGGACGGGCAATCTCTCTGTCACTGTGTATGTTGAACGGCTAATATGTTTGCCAGTTTGGCTGTTTAACTGTTTAGCTGTTTATCATTTAACTTAAGCTGTCTGACACGGTAATCTGCCATGTGCTCAAGTCAATGGATTTACGTACGTTTTTAATTTTTTTCAGATAGCCGTTAATCTTATCGTACGTAGCTTTCTGCCTTGAATTCCCTCCATAAGCAGTTGGCGACAAGGAGATTTACAAGACTTACTCTCTGCTGACTGCTTACACCTCGACACCCAGCTCTCTACCCGACACCCCACTCCCTACCCAACACCCCGCTCCCTACCCGACATCCCGCTCCCTACCCAACACCCCGCTCCCTACCCGACACCCCGCTCCCTACCCAACACCCCGCTCCCTACCCGACACCCCGCTCCCTACCCAACACCCCGCTCTCTACCCGACACCCCGCTCCCTACCCGACACCCCACTCCCTACCCAACACCCCGCTCCCTACCCAACACCCCGCTCCCTACCCGACACCCCACTCCCTACCCAACACCCCGCTCCCTACCCGACACCCCGCTCCCTACCCGACACCCCGCTCTTTACCCGACACCCCGCTCCCTACCCGACACCCCGCTCTTTACCCGACACCCCGCTCCCTACCCAACACCCCGCTCCCTACCCAACACCCCGCTCCCTACCCGACACCCCGCTCCCTACCCAACACCCCGCTCCCTACCCGACACCCCACTCCCTACCCTACACCCCGCTCCCTACCCGACACCCCGCTCCCTACCCAACACCCCGCTCCCTACCCGACACCCCGCTCCCTACCCGACACCCCGCTCCCTACCCGACACCCCGCTCCCTACCCGACACCCCGACGCTATGGAAACCACGAGTCCCGTGATAACAAGCCCACAGCCCTACGATGAAATCGACGGGACCCACGTGACGCTAAAACGTGTGGTCAACCCCCTGGTGGCGCTGCTCAGTCTGATGGGAAACTCCCTCAACTGTGTCGTGTTGGCCAAAAGTGGCCTGGCCAAACCATCCAACATGTTTCTCTTCTCCCTGGCCATCGCCGACTTCTGCACGCTACTCAAAGTCCTTTTCACCACCATCTTTTTATCTCT